ACATTATTGGCCTGGTCAGCAGCAACAATTTCAATTGCGTGTTACGATTGGACAAGGTGAAAGGGGAAGTGGAGAGGTTGGGGAATGTCTCGTATGAGTGGTCTCATAAATAAATGAATTGAAAACCATACCCCGTAAACCGTAAACCGAATAACGAATCCGAAACCCAAATGCTGAAAACTTCAAAAGCTCGCACGCAAATGGCAAATGGAAAGTGTTGGCATACGATGGATGAGAGGTGGGTGGTGCTGAGGGGAAGAGGACACAGGAGTCATGCAAGCCAAACGGAAAGGGAAGGAAGCAACAAAAATTCGCTTCGTGCTTTACAATTTTCCAAAAAACATTTTTTTTCGCCATTTTTAATATGTATTTAATACATATATTTCATTCCAACTTGCACCTGTAGAGAGTTTTATACTTTTTGTCGCGAGGTTTGTAACGCATTGAAGTGGACGTCTATCAGCATCAGATCAGAAAGATTTGATCTCGTATAATAAAATGTTTTCTTTACTCAAACTTACAAAATGACCACCATATATCATATAGCTTCCATTGGAACAATCACCCTTTCTATATGGAAAATAACTTCACAAATGTCGAAAATTGGGCTCGGAGCAATACAATTTCTCAATAACGTACCGAAACACAAAATAAAGTCACATACATATATCATATGCATGTGCGTCCTTTCGTCCTAAAAGGATGTGGGCTGTGTGACTGGAGGCCACCAGCACAGTTGACAAATTTGGAAAAATTGCAGCAGCGACAGGCGTGTAGGGGCATAAGCACACACTCACACACACACACACTCACACACACACACACACACATCATATTGTTGATGGCGATAATAAAGCAGATGATGATGATGGTGAAAATGATTAAGCAAGATGTTGAAGCGCTCGCAATTTTCGCAGCAGCATCGCAAAAATTTTGTTTATCGTTCATTTGTACACAACCAGCTGAACCAAAAAAAAAAATAATAATAATAAAAAAAAAATCGGCTCGAATGTTTACAAATATTCAGTTAAGACACACGCGCCCCACACACCCAGCCTCTCTCTCTAGCCCGCTGACAGACCCCCTTCGCTGCCGCCTCAGCTGCCCTTTCGAGTTTGATTGATTTTTGCGGTTATAATGTACAAATTTTAATATTTGCACAAAACATTTCAACGCTCATCCTCCAGCCCAGCATTTGTTGCTTATTGCCACTCAAACACTCTGCCCCTCTACTAACCCTCCCCACCCCTCCCACTACTGTCTATTTATTACCACTTGACACACGTGATATATACTTGATAATTTACTTAAAATAAGTAAACGTTTTTTCGTTACTGATAATTATTATAATTATTACTTCATTTAAACATCTCCAACAAGTTTGTGTTAATAGAGAAAATAAACTTAAATGGGTTTTAAGCATATTAAACTGAAAAGTGCTCAAGAACAAAACACAAAACCAAAATGAAGAATTGTAGATTCCTATTTTGTTTCAATTAAGTTTTCAATTTTTCATTTAAAATGTTTTCGCAATACAAATTTATGTTGAAAATGTTCAATGTTGTGTCATTTTTGTACAGCCCGAAGACGAATTCCGTTAGGAATCGAAATGTATTGCAATATCTAAAAAATAAAACATGTTTAAATTATAAAAAGAGCTCAGCAGCAAACAATACATTTGATTAATGCAGTTTCTTCATTAATATTGTTTAAATTGCCAATGTACAAGATTCAATTAATTGATAAATTAAGATTCGAATCCTTGACAGTTTAAGATTAATTATGTTAACCAGATTCTCGGTTAGGACTAGTATTTAAAATACTGCTAAATTTGTAATCTAAAATAAAAAGAGAATTTAAATCTACATGCTTGATGGACAAGTGCAAAGTGTTTGGGGACTTTTGAAATCTGCTGCGGCTTGACTAGACAGATGAGAATAGCCCATCAATTTATGTTACGAAAGTCAGCAGTTCCAAATTAAAGCCTAGACAGGCTGAAGTTGGGTGGCGGGGGGAGGGTGGTGCAGGGGTGAATGCAGAACCTGTCTTAACTGGCTTAGGGCGGCTGTCACACGAAGGGTAAATCCCCACAGGAGAGCCCACGCAACAGAACCGGAAGTCCAAAAGCAACACCAACAGCAGCAATAACAAAAGATACGTGAATAATTCGTAAAATACGCGTTTGTATCTGGTTTTGTCACAAAGCAAGACTATCTATATCCGGTATTGTGTATCCAACAATGTGTATCAGAGATTTGAACCTCGCTTGCGTAAGAACTCACCCCCCTCTCCTCTCTGCCGCATGCTGTTGCTATTGCAACAGATTAGTAGTCAGTCCATTTAACTGTCACCTGCAGGACAACAGTGGTGTTAACGTCAAACAGACAGACAGACAGACTGCAGCTAAGATGATGACGACTACGACAATGTCTGCGTCACACAAACAATGCACAACTTTCACTTGAGGTTGCAGATGGCAACAAAACAACCGATGACGGAAGGGAGTAGGACACACTTGAAGGTAGCGATTCTATCACTCGCTCAGTTCCTCTCGGTCTTCTATTTACATTTTGGCATTTTAGCTAACAGAAAGCAAATAAACCTACAACGACAAACATACAAAATACAAATATCAACTTGAAACAGTTGAACAAATTGTGTATTGCTTTAACAAATTTGAAGTGAAAGTTGATAGGGCCACAACGCCCTGTGGCGGCTGCTTTTCTAATGAAAAATGTCACACAAAGAAATACATAAATCACATGCATACATCCATACATAATTCAGGAAAGAAAATCCCAAAAGAGCTTGTCTTCCACTTTGCGACCCCCGAAAAAGAAAAGCAAAACAAATTATTGAATCATAATCCGATATGAAAACATGAAAAAGACTTCTTGCGTAACGAGAACGCGCCTCGTTCCCCATTCATCACCAGCGTTGCCCCAACACCCCCTCCACCAGGGGCTCCCAGAATCGGGCGCACCGTTTTTATGTCGAAGCATCAAAAATATATTTAATGCAGGTGTTTCGAATTTGTATTCATCTTACCTGCCGGCTAAAAAATGGTTCCACATTAAATCGAAACTGCATCTCATCAGTTGTTATCTAAATTCAGTAACATAAACATTGAAATTGTTCAAAATAATAAATAAATAAACGAAAAATCGAAGTGAGTTGGACTAGAAGATACCCTATACTAACTAGCTCGAAAGCTTTACAAATGCAATATCATTTCAACTAAATAGCTTTTATACAGTTTTGAGTTGTTGTAGTTTCGTGAATTCAAAATTTACATAAATTCTGACAGTTTGCAAAGAACTAAGATAACAACAACATTTTTAAATGGGAACACAAAAAGTAAATGCCAAAGTGGCTTTCATCAAATAATTTTTATTGTATGCAAACTTTTTTTTTTCATATGATAACATTTATCTAATAATAGATAAACTTTGTGTTAGATTATTTTACTAGCTGGCAGTGTCGATAGACATGACTCTCTGCCGAATTTTCAAAAATTGGTTATTATCGCTTAAAATAAAGCTTGTGGGCAAGTTTTTACTTAATTTAACATGTTTGTATTTATTTTGGTTTGATGAGTTTTCAACTTGCGCTGATGTTTATGATTAATCTGTCGATTTAAAGCTGTATTTAGATTGCTGATAGATAGATAGATTATTCTTCCGCTCTCTCTCTCTCTCTCTCTCTCTCTCTCACTGATTCTCTTTTTAAGTGGAGATCCCTTCCAATTTATTTCCTTTGATTGATCACTTTGTGTGCAATTTGTACACCTCTCTGTGGAAATAAGCTCTTCTGATTGTGTGGATTACTACGATTGGATTGGATTGACTACGATTCACAACAAATTTGAGAAGACATTCACTTGCATAGCAATCAAATCGCTGTGATTGACTTTCAGATTTTAGTTCGTGCTCAATGCATTTATGCTGATATGCGCATATTTGTAAGACTTTGAATTAAATGAAACGAAAACCACTTCACTTCACATCATAATCAGTGGGAGCATCATCTCGAACTATGGCTGAGCCACAAGATGCCACAATAGTAGGTAGTGGGTCAATCAAAAGTCAGCTTATGGCTTATGCCAAACCCGTTGCCCAATCCCTCGCAAAATAATTGGACGTAGGAGGAGAAGGACAGTAGTGAGGGCCTGGGCCTGGAGGGTAGAGGACACCAGTGGCATACAAACAAAGTTTCTTCACACTTTTCACAGATTATCTGTATCCCCCCATCCATTCGCCCAACGATTCCCTCCTGCATTTTCTCATTCTGCTTTATATTCTCCCTTTGCCTTGCTGCAGTTAACTTCAACATCTGCTGGTTGAGAAGTGCCATAGTTTATAGTACAGTTGTTGCACGAAAATGGAAACTTTTAATTAGTATCATAATTGTCAAGGTTTCTTGTGACTTTTCTTAAAAAATAATCGAATATGCTGAAATTGAGCTTTAGATTTAATTGATATCAATTTTTAATATAGTATACTGTGAAATAATAACACTTCTTTCCAATTAAACATTATGATTGAAATTATAATTAGAAATATTGTTCGAAGCGTCAATCATAATGTTTAATTGGAAATTGTCACCACACTCCAAAAAAAATCATCAAAATCTAATTGTTCGTTTCAAATCACTTCAAATCAAGATATTTATGGAATGAAAGGAAAAACACAAAAATATATTTTGTAGCGACCGTTATTGAGAGAGAGAAATTCGAAATTCTTTAAAAGTTCTTATTGTCGAATGTTCACTGTAAATGCTAATGTTGCCTATGTTCGGGTTTGTGCAATATTTATTCTGGAAAATTGTATATTAATAGAATTTCCGTTTTTTGCTGCCGTTGCTGCTGCTCACACATTAACGCTTGGCAGCTGCAACAAATTTGTGGAAGGGGCTGGCAGAACATATTTATATTTCTTGAGGCACTGCGTCAGATGCAGGAATGGATACGTATCCGTTATGGAAACTGCTATTGGACTTACCTTTGATAAACAGGCAGAGCCGTATAAGGCAATTCAGCCAATGAAGTTGTGCGGCGGCAGAGCCAAGCGATTCGTAACGGTATTTAAGCCTGCTGCTCGACGCCATTGATAAGGATTTACATGTTGTTCTGATAACGCGAAATGTTTCGAGTACACACACACACAAACACACACAAACGTAAACGTTAACAAAAATACAGACAAAAATAGCAAGTCACTCAATCTCCAAGTGTCACTTCTTGTCGTATTATTTTGTAAAAATGTAGGCTACAAATTAGGAATGGGGACAAGAACAGCAACAACAGAACTACATGCATATGTCGATTAAAATGCGCGCCAAAAACTGTTTACTTGGCCAATAGGCATGCCTACGAGGGCCGTGCGCTGTCGTTGAATGCCAGCATGCAACTGATGATGCGTTGCCAGCAATTGAACGCGAGTGGCTAAAGTTGGCGCGCGAGCTCCAAAACAAAAAAAAAAAAAAGTGGAAGCAGCAGAGGAATAATACAAAAATTCATACATGATGCCAAAAAAATGCGCAAATATGGTCACACTCTGTTAATTCAAATGTGACAAGTTCGCTTGTGTGTAGCAAACATGCAATATATTTAATAAAAAAAGAAGATAATAAAAATAAAAGTAGTTGATTTGAGTTTGTAATACACCAAATGCAGCTGCTTAAAAATTTTTCTAAACCTGTTTTCCAATACAATGGAAGTTATTGAAGTGGTGATGTGAGCTTTTTCGTGGTGGCAACGCTGTCTGCCTGCCATAACATTAACATTAACATTAACATAAGCTGTTTGTGGCGCTCTGTAAAACTAAACTTTTTGTTTACATTTGCTGCATTTGCTTGTTTTGTACCCTTTGCGTTGCAAGGATGCAAGGATGCAAGCGTTGAATAGCAACAATTGCCTAACGTGCCTGCACAAAATCGAAAACGACAGCGGTGAGGCGACGAATACAAACGATGTGCAGCTGCAACGTCTGCTAATGCAGCTGCTCGACTGGCAGCAAGCCGAACTCGCCTCGGACCAGTTGCCCCAACGCTTGTGCTGCACCTGCTGCCAGCTGCTGCAGCGTTTCGAACAATTTCAGCAACAGGCACGCATATGCCGGCAACAGCTGCTGGACAACCTACAGCAGCAGCAGCAACAAAAGCCGCAACCTGCCGGCTTTGAGATTATCTACGATGAGGAAACTGCGTTGCCAACATCCGAACAGCTACTGGAGACGCCTCATCCCGCACCCGACCCGTTTGATGATGACACAGGCAAGTCCAAGCGCTGCCCGAGTGCGACGAAGAACAGTTTCAAGTGCATGCAATGTGGTCATTCCTTTGCCCGCCGCCTCACCCATGATGCCCACGTGCGCAAGGTGCACGAGGGCAACAAGCGTCCGTTTCAATGCGATCGCTGCGACAAGGCTTACAGCTTTATGGGCGGCCTCTATACGCACATCAAGGAGCTGCATGGCAGCGCGGTGCGGTCGCATCGCTGCGATCATCCCGGCTGCGAGCGTGTCTATGTCAGTCGCATTGCGATGCACAAACACAAACGACTGAAGCATCAACAGCCAACGCCGGCCTCCACACGGAAGTATGTGTGCGAACAGTGCGGCGCCACCTTTAATCAGACAGCGAATCTGAAGCATCATCGTCGCACCAAACATCCCACAGCGGCGGAGGCAGCAGCCAATGCCAGCGATAGCGTTCAATATTATTGTGATCTGTGCCAGAAACATTTCCATTCGCGTTACACCCTCAAATATCATCGGATGCAACAGCATACGGACGCAGACGAGGATCGGCACGAGTGCCGTGTCTGTGGCCGTCGAATGGCCAAGCGTTTCATGCTCATCCAGCACATGCTGACGCACAGTGCCGAGAAGACGCCCTGTGAGCATTGCGGCCGTCTCTTCACCCGTAAATTCGAGCTGGAATCGCACATTCGGGCCGTCCACCTCAAGTTGAAGCCATTCACCTGCAGCTACTGTGACGAATCGTTTGCGTCGCGCAAAACGTTGCAACATCACGAGTACATCCATACGGGCGAGAAACCCTACGTTTGCCCCATCTGCGGCCAGGCATTCCGCCAGCAGACGTGCCTCAAGAACCATGGCAAAATCCACGACAAGTCCAAGTGAACAGCAGCCATTCTTACTTATATTTAAAAATATATTAATTTAAATATATACAGCAAGTACATATTGCGAAATAAATTTAATATTTGTAATTTCAGCAAGAGATGGGTTCAGATGGATAGGTTCTCCTGATCCTCTTTGCGTTCAATCCATTTATAACAATGCGAATCTAATATTTAAAGAAAAAATGGATTTAAAAATCAGCTTGCCGCCTGCTGATGATGCTGCTGCTGCTGCTGCTCCTGCTGATGATGATGCTGCTCGCGTTCTATGTAAACAGGCAGATCATCCAATGGCTTGTAGTAGAGATGCACAGCTTGGGAGCCGGCCATCATGGCCAGCAGAGCACTGCCCAGAAACTTTGTGTACTGACCCCACGAGACGCCGGCGGGCATGCTTAAACTGTGTTCTGTTGCTCTGGCAACTGCTGCTGATGATGATGCTGCTGCTCCTCCACGTAGTTCTTGGCCTGCCTGCGTTTAAATGTGCGATCTGTGCAAAGAGCAAACAAAAGCAATATTAAAGTATTCGTTTTTTTTTTTTTTTTGGTGTAGAACATACAAAAGTTGGTCTCGCCCACCGTCCAGTTGATCATGGAGAACTCGAGTGCTGCCCCAAGCGCAAAGAAGATGGGCAGGAATCTGTAGATGCCAAAGCGACGTTTGCCGGGCCAACTGTCGAGGAGACGTCGCACGTAGCCGCTGTGCAGATTCATCGGTTATAGCGATTATATAAGAAGCCAACCAGCAGCTGCCCAGCTCAAATTGCCCTCCTTTCCTCCGGTCTGCTTCAAGGCAATGAGTTTGGAGAGCGTCGCTGCATCCAATGGGGTTCAGTAAACCGTAAATTTAATACAAATAATCAAATAAAAATGCAAACTGCGCGTGTTTTTTCAATTCAGTTCTCGAAATGTTTCCCACAAACAGCTGTCCCTAACAGCTGTTAAGTTGCTGTTAACTACACTCCATTTGGCATTGCTCCGCTGCATGCTGATCATGCTGTTTATGCAAAGCTTTGCATTTAAAGCTTATTTATTTACTTTATAAAACCTAAAAAAATACCAAAATTACGTATTTGGTATTTTCCAAGTAAGATCACACTCTTCACTCTTTATATATTATTAATTCAAATTTAAATGTTGTATTGTAGTTTATAGTTTGTTACATTTCCTTATATAAATAAAACTATATAAAAATCATGGGCATACCAAATTTGTCAACCTTTGGTTCTTACAAACAATACAAAGCCTACAACGTACTAACTTTCCAAATTGTCAATTAAAGCTATTGTTATTCTTTTGTCAAAACTTATAAAAAATATCTATCAATCGTGATAAAAAAAATCTTATATGATAGTAGTGTTTTGGGTAACAAATTGTCGAAACAGAAGCAATCAAAATACTTGTGCGGCACATTTGTAACTGTTTTTGATTACGGTGCTCAACATTCTCGAGCTTATTTGGTATTTAGTACTTGGTCACATTGCTGAATAAAACAACAAGAGAAGAAGAAGCGAATCGTAATTATTGACAAGGTGAGTTGCATTAATTGGCAGTGAATGAATGATTTAAATAATTCATATGTGGCATAATTAAGACCACTGCGCAAGATGGTTTGCCTGCCCTGCTTCATCATCCCATTGCTGCTGTTCATCTGGCATCGATTTGTGCAGCCCATTTTGCTGCGTTACTGGAACCCCTGGGAGAAAAAAGATGCCCAGGGCAACATAATCAAGGCCGGACCGGATTTCCCCTTCGAATGCAAAGGCGGCGTCTGTCCATATGTGCCCGGTGGCAAGAAAGAGGCAAACGATGCTGCCGCCGCGATTATCAAGGACGTCACTGACAATGAGGGAGTGGCTGCCACTGCATCAACAACTGAATCGCTGCCTCAAACAACAACAGCGGAATCCAAAAAACAAAAATAATCTTAAATCTGTATAGCTATAGTATATATATATATATTTTTTTTTTCCTATTGTGTGTGTGTGGGTCTAATACGCTTTAATGATGCACGCATAGTTGGCATTCCAAAAATTGTCACATCCAAAAAACCAACAACAGCAACAAATTACGCTTAACGAAAATGTTTATTCAAAGAGGGCAATGTGTCTATAGCATAAAATGAATGATACTACTTGAATGATTTATGATTTTATTTTGTTGGCGATACACATAGTAATTATTAAGAAGCATTCTTTTAGGCGTATCACAAAGATCAAAAGTTGTAAGACATACTGTGAAATTGATAAATTGCTAACTTGCTTAAATCCTTACATATTTTCAAAGGACATCGCGAGCTAGGATCGCAACGACCAACTCTATCGAACTGCATTTAAGGCTTGTTTCGTCATCGAAGAGTTCAAACAGCTGTAAAAATTTCACTGCCAGAAGTCGTAACCCGAAATTCATAGTTTTCTTGGCAGCTACAAGGACGATTTGCATGTCATTTGGTCAGTCGATGGTTGAGCTATATGTCATTTACTGTGTCATTTTATTTGAAGTATTTTCGTTCTTTTTGGTTGCTTTTTTTGAAATGGCAGGCCAAGAACATTTCACATCCGGATCCTTGATCCCTGAAATGGCAAGGTTGAACACAGAATACAGATTCTCAGATACAGAATACATAAAAAAAATTTTCCAACTCAAGTGAAAAAAAAAAACAGCTAACATTAACTCTCAGCAATGAAAATATTCGATTCGATTCAAGCAAGTTTTCATTTGTTAACGCCCACGGTATTATTATTTTAATTATTGCTGTTATTATGATATACGTTCAGTATATTTTAGTAATTGGATATATTAGGTGTGATGCCAATAGCCCAATGGACATATTGAATTATAGCTTTGTATTATATTTACAATCAAACTAGACATACACAATTGAGAACAAAAACTATTATAATAAATATTGAGCCAACTTTTGTGTGTGGCACAATTAAACTAAAGTCGCATTCAGAATATATTCTGTATGCACATGCAGTAAACACATTTTACAATTTTATTGCATCTTTTTTGGAAATTCGACCTTTTTTGCGAGTGTATGTGTGTGTGTGTGTGGTTGTATTGTTCTTCGGTTCGTCCCATTGGTAGAAATATACATTAATTATTATTATTATTCGATGTGCTTGCTCCTCGCATTTTTACAGCTGATCCGCGAGTGAAATCGTGTAAAACGCTTTTCGCACATTCAATGGTAGCAATTGTGGTCAGTGAATCGCAGGTGTTTGTTGCCTCGACTTTTTGTACCGTTGGCTGTCAGTAGAAGAGGACGGAGTGGAGAATCACACGATTTCTTCGCTCCTCAAATTCCTGGATCATTTCATCGATGTCGTTGTCGATGTCGTTTGACTTCGCCATCTGACAATTGGTTAAAAAAAAAAACAGTTCTTAGCTATTAAACAATTGTTTGTTTTGCGCAATTTACCAAATTGAGCATGTCTGTAATTAGGAATGCGCCCATCAGTGCATCCTCCGTATTGTCAACGACATCCACATTCAGCACATGCACGGGTCGGTTATCAACGGAATTCATTGACTCCATGTGCAGCACAACCAAATCGTAGACGCGCTCCTCCACCGTGATTATAATATCGAATTGTTCTTTGGTTTCTTGAAAGCGTTCCGGGCACTTTTTGATGCGCCGGTTGCGGTCCAGCATGTGCAGCAGTCCGTTCTGTGTGTAACTAGACCAGGACAAAAGAAAATTACAAAGTGAACGAGATGCTTATGGTAATGATGATAATAACAATAATAATAATAATAATAATAGTTATAAATATCATCAGTGAAGCCACATACAATTCTTTGTCCTTGGCTTCCAGGTCGCGGTAGATTTCCTCGTAGCTGGTCCCAAATTCGTAGACATTTGGTTTGTCGAACGCCAGGCCGGGCAATTTGACCCGTTCGCCGGTGCCGTAGGAGCGCACATTGAATCCCTTTTTCGCTAGGAAACTGTGCGCCTCCATGGAACGGTTCATGTTCGATGAACAGACCACAGCGACGCTCAGCTTGCTCGGGTCAGTCATGTCTACTTTGGCAGTGTGATTACAATTTGTTAATAAACTAATTTACAATAACTAAAAAAAAACGACTCCGCACGGAATGACGAGATGGTCTCCTCGTCAATGTTATTGCACAGCGTGACGAGGAGATGGCAGTTCGCCGATATATTTGACAGCGTTGCCGAACTGACTAAATTTGACACTCTTGATCTGGCAGCGCAACAATTTGCACGTTACTATTTAAAAATTGATTCGCCACCAGCGATAATGGGAAATAGGAAAAAAGAACGGCAAGATAAAATTTGTAAGGTCGTGTCACTTGGCTGGCTTTTATATTACATAGAAATAAGAATATTAAAACTCGACATAAAGTGGGCACAGCATGTTGCATGTGGCAAGTTGCTAGAGCAATCCTCAGCAAAAGCAAAAGCGCAAAGAGTGCGCGCCCGCTGCCCCATCCAAATCCAGCCGGTACTCGTGGAATGCGGCTTAGCAAGTTGAAGCTGCTGCTGCTGCTGCTGTTGGTATTGGTGTTGGTAGCACACACAAATACAGCCACAAATGCAGATGTGCAACACAGTGCTGAGTGCTGATCAGGTTCAGGTTATTTACTTGTTTCACAGTGGAATTCGGCTAGCAAGCAAAAATAAATTGAACTTTTGCTGAAAATAAAACTTAAATAATATAAATATATTTTTTGGATTATCAAAAATCATAGCAGATTCTATACATAAGCATAAAAATAAGTTGACTAACAGTTTTTTCTTCATATTTCTGTACAAATTGCAGCTTACTAACTCTAGTCTAAGACGTCTTGTTTTTGTCTGTTACAATTTTTTTTGTATGACACTTTTCGACAATTTTCCAAGCAGGGTTGTCAGCACTGGCAAACCTGGACACGAGTAAATTTTACCACGGTGACACGGCTCTCTTTCGCTCTCTCACACACATATACATATACTTGTATATATGAATGAATGTGCGATGCTTTGCTAACTGGTTATGCGAATAGTTTCGGCTTCGGTAGCCAGTCAGCCCCTGTGGATAGAACCAACGGCTAATGCCGACTGCGGCATCGAACTGACCGACGAATACGACGATGCAGACGAAGACGAAGGCGAAGCCGACGACGACTGATAGTCGTTGTTTGTTACTTGATCTCTCATCGTTCACTTGTCGCCCGACTCCAACTCCGGCTCCGCACAGACACACACACAGGGACAAATGTGTATTTTTACATATTTACATCGGAGCGCTGTTAACTGCAAAGCGGTTTCTTTTTGCCTTGGCTCTCAGATTGGCCGTTTGTTTTGCTCGGTTGCGTCCAGTTGCTTGTCGTGCGTCGATCTTTAAGCGTCGCGTTTGTAATTTTTTGTATTATTATTATTTATATTTTTCTGTTGTTGCTGGTTGTTGTTTGGCGCAGCATGAGGATGCCGCTGCGTTGGCCAAACCTATTATCGGTGGCATGCGTGTTTTAGCCACACTTCAGCGATATACATTCATTTCTATAACATTTATTTGAAATTATTTTTTAGGCCATTTGGCTTAAACAATTACTTCTTAGCCATGGCTATGCAAATGTCATAGCCACTGAACGGAAATTAAAAAAAAAAAAAAAAAAACAAACAAAACCAAAAAAGAAACAAAAAAAAGGTAAACTTGTTTTACAACTCGCCAAATTGCATTTCGGCCATATCACAGTTTCCCGCAGTGTTTACCACACATACCATACACTTATTATATACATATATAAACACATACATATTATGTATGCGCAAATTTACAAAGTTTTCGTTTGTTTGTTTTTTCGGTGTTTATTTTTTTTTTTTTTGTGCATGTGCCAATTTGCAAGGTAATCAAAATTAGCTTCAGCTCATCTTTGAATTCAGTGTAAAGCAAAGAAATGTTGCCGAATATTAAATACTCTATTCGACATTTAATCGGTACAATTAACTATCGCTTGCCCCAAGAGAAAACTAAAGATAATAACGTCAATCAATATGGGCTATCAAGATACCTAATCAAATGTTTGCCCATAGGCCGATATGTATATATGTATATATACTCTTCTGATGATGATCAGCGCACATTTTATAACACCCTTTGTAAGGGTATACAAACAAAAACAGCGAACTCGCTTTGGTCAGCTTAAAAATTGAATTGTGTCTTCCACTGAAATTTGCCAAGGATTTTTTCAGCTTAATCAATTTTTTTTCGTATATTTTTGTTTTGCCAGACTTTTAATCGAAGTGTATTTGGCACCGTTATGTATTTGTAATGCACTTGGAAGTCATTCTTGACTAAAGTGGAACTCTTCAGGTGTTTTTCGTCTTATCGACAAACATTGTCCGTGCTTTCGGTCATTTAATTTTTATTGTAAGTTGAGCGTGCGAATGGGAGTCTTATCTGCCTAGCTAGCCATCAGTTCGTTGCATGTTGTATGTGGCAACGTGGAAGAAACCCATTAAATCGGTGCCGAAGTCAAATTAATTGAAAACCCAGCATTGACGGGGAGTAGCTCAGTTTCCGTGTGCTTAAACTCTACATAGATAAATCGTATGCGCTTTCAGGGAGTATTTTTTTTTTATATTAAGAAATATGATATGACATAATTATGTCTGTGAAGTCATTTTAAACGGTTCAAACTATGCTTAGATGATTATGTATAATTATATATGCAAACTACAAATATATTATATTTTGTACATATGCATTTGTAGTTTGCAAAGACAGCTTGCTGCAAAGGCATTCATTATGTGAACCACCCATGAGGAGCAGACTTAGCCACCAGCAGCAGCAGCAGCAGCAGCAGGTGCCATCGGCAGTGACAAAGCGAAGAACAAGGAAGGAAGGACGAAACGACGAAAGGAAGGAAGCCGAGTTAAAGGCCGAATCAAACTGCTCAACTGCAAGCGACAGGAAATGCTGAAGCACGCCTCAAATGCGAGCAGCGCCATTGCTGCTGCCCCTGTCAACGGACAGCTGCTACGCACCGCTAACAACAACAACAACAACAGCAGCAGCAACAGCAACACTAACAGCAACAACAGTAACAGCAATAGCAATAACAATAGTAACAATAACAGTAGCAATAGCAATTGCAATGGCAGCAGCAGCAATACACCCTCAGCAACAGCAGCAGCAGTAGCAACAACAACAACTACAGCAGCAGCAGTAGCAGCAACCACCACCAAAATCAGCCCTGTGCCAAGCGCATCGGTGGCAGCAGCAGTTGCAGCCGCAGCCGCAGCAGCAGCAGCGGGTGCATCACCAACACCGGCGGCAGCTGCCGTTGCGAGCACAGCACGCAATATACACCTGCGACCGCCACAGCCGTTAAACATTTCGGCGCTGAATGCAGCGGCAGCGTGCAACAACAGCAGCAGCAGCACAACGCTGCTCAATGGTGCCGCATGTGGCCGTATCGCAAACGCATCGACCCTCCTCAATATTGCAACGGTGCCAATGAAACCGCTCACCCCCCTAACACCCAATGGCCATTGCAATAGCAACTGCAACAGCAACAGCAACAGCAATAGCAACAGTCTACACCATCACACCTACACAAATCAGCACATGTTGGCCAGCAGCAGCAGCAGCAGCAACGTCCATCTGCAGCAGCATCAGTCGCAGCAGCAACAGCAGCAGCAGCAGCAACGCTGCCACCATCATCACCTGTCCCCGCACCATCTACACAACAATAACAACAACAATAACAACAACAACAATAACAATCATAACAATCATAATCACAACAATAATATGCATAATTATAGCCACTGCAACAATTTGGCAATTAATCCAAATTCGATGCTGCAGGCGAGCGCCAAGCAAACGAAACATGGTCCAGGACCACGCGAAGTGCTCACCAGTCTGGGATTGCTCTGTTTGGGTGAGTTAACTTGAATTGAGCCTGCCAACTCCATTAACCTTTTCAATAAAACTAGCCACAGTTGAGCCACAGTGTTGGGCAGGCAGCGTTTGCAAGCATTCCTCCAGCCAATTGGCAAATTGAAAATGCTCATTCTACGACAAACACACACATATTGTATTTATACACTCATAAAAAGCAACCAACATTTTAGTCACCCTCTTATACTTATTCAGAAAGTACATTTCTAAAATTTATGATTGCGGCTTTCTAAGAACTTCAGCTTGCATTTCTAAGTTTCTGGCTGAATGTTTCCTACAATTTGGAAAAGAGAAATGTGTCTAATTTGCTGTGTTTGTTGTTTTGTGTGTATAGGCAAGGTCTAAAAATATGAACGTTCAATAATAATAATAATATTTTATTGTTTGAATATTTACTAATAATAATAATATAAGTAACAAAAATATTACATTGAATTTATGTTACTTGTATTATGATTATAATTAAACATAAAATCAATAAAATATTACATTGAGTTATTGTTATATATATTAATATTGTTATTAAAAATGAGTATTTTTAGATCTTGCGCACAAACACTTTATTATATATTTAAACTTACGATTTCAAAGGAATTCGAATCCTTGGTTGGAGCTAATTCAAACGAGAGCTAAACACTAATATATAAACTAAAAATTAAGGTTTTGCATTTCTGCTTTTTTAGAAACGTTTATCTTAATAATAGAAAATATCTCTAAAAAAGAAAAGATAGAAAAAATCTGCATATATTTGGGATTGTCGATTTAGGACAAGCCTTTCTTAATTTTAGAAATTATGTTCCAAATATTTACAAATGATTTCTAAGAATTAGAAAAACTTTCTAGTTTTTAAGACGATATTCATTTTAGATTGATTTTATTTCTGATCACACAGATATGTGTATATTTTTTATATATAATTATTTATGCTCGTTGCAGTTTCGCTGCTGCTGGCGCTGCTATCGCTGATCTTCCTGTTGAAGATCTCGCCGAACAGCCGCGAGGATGCGCAGACTCGCAGCATTAGCAGCGAGGACTTCATCATCGTCTACGATGTGACTCTGGCGCTATGCGCCTTATCGCTATCCCTGAATCTCTGCTGTCTACTCGTCTGCGCCATTCAGTTCCTGTTCGCTGTGAAGCTGCTGCGCTCGCCGATGTTCGATGGACGCGACAACAAATACTTGGAGAAGTCGAGCGCGAGTAGAACGTGTGCGGTTAGCGGATTCTTCATCTCGATACCCGTCTTCCTCACCGGCATCATACTGTACACGTTTAATCATTTTCATTCAACACCCGCGATTATCACGAGCGTGCTGATTGGCGTCGGTATCGTGTTCTGCGGCGGCGCCATGGTCCACAATGTGTTCGTCTGGCAGAAGGAGAAGACCATCAGCTATCGCAGTCCACCGTTGCCGCTCAACATGTCGCTGCTATCAACCGCAACGCATATAATGCCGTCATCGCCGCCGCCGCCGCCGCTGCCACCTGTGCAATATCTAACCAGCGGCGGTTATCAGGCGCACAGCCAGCCGCCGGCAATGGTGTCATCGTATGGCCAACAGAATCATTCGATGCTGTCACATCATCATCCCACATCGGTAACGCCCGTCTCGCCGAATCATTCGCATGGCAGTTTCAATCCGCTGCTATGCACCGCCAGCAATGGCAATGGCATCGGTGCACCGTTCCTTGTCCGTCCAGCGACGGCAACGCCGCCAACACCCAAACCCATTGCCATTGTGGCCAATGGTAGCTGTCTGGTGGGTCGCGAGGCCACCGGATCCGTCAGTCCGGGCATACCGCCTACGCTGGACATGAGCAACATAACCATATCGCTGCACGAGCTATCCACTCTGGTCTAGGCCAACGACCGATCGACATAGTCCCAGTTCCCAGTTCCCACATACATAAATGCGAAATCGAATTAAGCTAGCTGTTAGATCGAATCGATAAATTTGATAGTTATAGACGACATCCACCGTTTAGCTTTAATGATGTCCCAACTTGCCGCTGCCCCAGTTGCCGTTAATGTTTTAAACTCTTGTAAATACTTGTATATAGCTATAATGATTTTCAATATAACATATTTTTATACATATATATAGCATTTTTCTGTATGTGCTGTGGGTCTTTGTGAAGATACCACTCGGTTGGTGATCAGAAAAAACAAGAAGTATTTGAAAATTTTCAGTAAGAATCTTGATAGCGTCTAAATGGTCACTAGGATGAGGATGAGGTCAGACCATAGCCCTAATTAATACGAGTCATTTACACGGATTGCTTGGAAATACAAATATTTCATTTATTCAGATAACATTTAATTCCATCAACTAACAACACAAATAATAATTCAAATAATTCAAGTGTATACCGAGCAAGTGTGTAATAATGCTTTGTTAATATAACGTAATCATTAACGTATTCTTACGTAAGCTTCTTTGGTCGCCCACGCTTTTTTGGGGGCACACTGGCATCTGGCAACGGTGGCACCTCAACTGCAACAAAATTGTTTAGGATTATAAAGTGTCTGAAGTGATTACCGATTACCAATTACTGATCAACACTTACCTGGGACCACATCGGCATCTTCGGTGTTGCGTCTGCTGCGGAGATTCCTAGACGGAAGCGTCGAGCTGTCTTGTGTCTGCTCCCGGCTCGGTTTGCGTCCACGCTTGGCCACAATTGCTGCAGGCGGCTCACTACTACTGCGCACCGTTTCTGCCTCCTCCTGAATCCCATCCAATGGCTTTGGCAACAGTAGCTTGTGTCGCTTGGGCGTGGACACCGGAACAGGCTTTGATGTTGCTGGCATGGAGCCAGCGCGCAGCAAGCGACGCTGTCGGAGATTACTCGCATCATCGGCGCTGCGCAGGCGACCCCTGCTGGTTGAGGGACTGTCAATTGTTTCGCGCACTTCGGGCGTGGATTGGTCATCACTGGCCCGACTGGAACTACGAAGACTACGTATTCTTGATGATGGGGTGGTCACTGGTGACAGTCGCATCTCAGGCGTGGTTTGCTCTTCTATGGAGTTGCGCAGGCTACGTCTCACTGGACTCACTGATGCACTGGGAAGTGGATCTTGGCTGCGCAGGCCGGCTATGCGGTCACTCAATGCAGACTGTTCGGAAGAACGTCGTCTTGGGCGCCCTTTCTGTGGTTTAGCGGTGGGATCTAAAGGCAGCTCTGCCTGCTCCACGCTATCGGATGCAGCCACAATTGGGCTGTTGGGCTCCTCGCTCAGTTTGCGTCCACGCTTGGCCACAACTGCTGCAGGCGGCTCACTGCTACTGCGCACCGTTTCTGCCTCCTCCTGAATTCCACCCAATGGCTTTGGCAACAGTAGCTTGTGTCGCTTGGGCGTGGACACCGGAACAGGCTTTGATGTTGCTGGCATGGAGCCACCGCGCAGCAAGCGACGCTCTGGGAGATTACTTGCATCATCAGCGCTGCGCAGGCGACCCCTGCTGGTTGAGGGAGTATCAACTGATTTACGCACTTCGGGCGTGGATTGGTCATCACTGGCCCGACTGGAACTGCGAAGACTACGTATTCTTGATGATGGGGTGGTCACTGGTGACAGTCGCACCTCAGGCGTGGGTTGCTCTTCTATGGAGTTGCGCAGGCTACGTCTCATTGGACTCACTGATGCACTGGGAAGTGGATCTTGGCTGCGCAGACGTGAGCGCAAGTCAATATTGTGTTCGGCCACTGGCGACGAGTCGGCCGTCTTTTGTTTTGGGCTACCTGCGGCAGATTTATCGGCGAGAGGTATGAGCTCCTCCTCCGCCTTCGGCTGCGGGTCCGCCTCCTCTTCGTTGTCGGAGACGACCAGAACGAGGGTTACGGGCTCCGCTTCATTCTCCTCATTGTCGGAGACAATCAGTATTTCGTTGGATTGGAGTGTCTCTACAGCGGATTCAATGGGATGGACGACCGTTGAACTTTGGTTTTCCTTCTCATCCTGTTGTTTGAAGACAGTGGCGGCTGCTGGCTCCGGGCGTGCCACATAGCCGCGCACCTCGGTACCATCGAGTGCGATAACGCAGTCATCCTCCAAGTCAACATCATCATCCTCCACCAGTGAGCCCTTGGTGGTGTCCTGATCATCCACCGTCTCCAGACTGTTTGCACGATACAGGGATCGATTGGAGCCATTGCCAGCGCCACCATGCACGCCACGTGGACTCGACGAGACATTCGTGTCGCTGGGCAGGAATGAGGTGGGTGTGTGAGACGTGGGCGAACGTGATGTTGTTGAGGAGTCCGCAATCGAGTAGATGGGTGAATCTGGTCGAGGCGCCACCACTTCCGACGAGGATAAGTCCAATAGTTCGCTATTGATGTTAAAGCTGGACGTGACGCGGATGTAGCTCATTGGAATTGGCTCTTCCTCCTCCTCGTCCTCGTCCTCCTTGTGCTCCTCTTCCTGTTCATCATCTTGCTCATCTTCCTGCTCCTCTTCTTGTTCCTCCACCTCCACATCCTCGTCCTGTTCCTCCACCTGCTGCTCCTTCATCTCCCGCTCCATTATATCGCGCTCTAGCAGCTCCCGCTCCATAATTTCCCGTTCCATCAAATCCCACTCTTTCATTTCCTGCTCCCTCATCTCCCGATCCTCTTCCTTTTCCTGTTCCACTTTCACATTATCCTCCTCCTCTTCCACTTTTTCCACATCCACATCCACTTCGATCTCCTCTTCATAGTTCTGTTGCTCATCCACCACATATTCATATGTATATGTGCGCACTGACGACGGCTCATCCTTAGTTGCCCCCGTTGGTTCAGCTTCTGTTGCCGGCTCCAATGCGGTGAGATCATAACTGGACATGCCCAATGTGGTGTCTAGCATCTGTGGAGAGGGCGGCTCAACTGCTTCCGTATGCGTCACGGATCGCATCGACCAAGCGGGCTGTGAGACCAACACAGTTGGATCATCCACACAACCACAGATCGTGGAACGCTCCGAGAACTTCACCTGCGAGCTGGAGCCCATCTTCGAGGAGCACACAGGCGGCACAAATTCAGTCAGCTGCAGCGAGCCCGTATTGCCCATTTGGACAGTAGCAAAGCTTCCAAAGCCACTGCTGCTCGTGTGCCGCAGCAGCGAACTGCGTGGCTGTGGACCAGTTGGTGGTGCCATTGTAGTTGGCTTCTGGTCAGTCAACTGCTGGCTATTATCGGCAAATGATACATTGCAGCTGGCCGGCTGTGAGAGGTATATGGATTCTGTGTCTGTGTCCATGCGCTCCGGATTAGGACTAGCCGACTGCTGGTCTATTTCCACAAAGATCTCATCCAAACCCTCCTCCTCTTCCTCCACTTCCACCTCCAACAGCTGCTGCTGCTGTTGTTGCTGTTGCTGTTCCTGATGATGCAGCTTCTGCTTCTTCGCCTCCTGGTAATGATACTTTGGCTGGTGCTTCTCCTCCTCCATCTCATTGTCCTCGTCCCCGCTGTACTGTTGCATGGCTTCGGCCAGTGGAATTGGCGGCATGAAGCTAAAATTTGTCGTCTTCTCCAATGGCTGCGTTGCATGCACGCTTAAGCGCTTCTTGAGGATGGCCTGCGTCAACGGACTCTGCTCCTGATGTGCTGTTACTGTTGCTGTTGTAACGATAGTACTGGTCTTCAGCTGCAAATAGGAGGGCGGTTGCAGCAGCGCCTCCACCAAGCTGTCATCTTGCAGCGCTCTGCGCTCCTGTTCTGCCCATTCTCCTCGCTTGCGCTTGCTATTTCGAGCATGCGCTTCCTGCGCTTTCTGCGGCAACGTTCTACAGGTGGAGAAGGCGGTGGAACGCAACAGTGGCGCCTGCATGAAGCGCCAGTCAAGACCCTGAAGCGGTTTGCACAGAAATGGCATGTTGCGACCATTTAGAGGTCGCCCCAGTTGCGATTCTTCCCGGTAACTTGTACCGGCCCAGTGTGAGCTCAACACGGCATTCTCAAAGATGTCGCCCAGTTTGCCTTTAGTATTCTGTGCGGCCAGCTGGCAGCTTAGCGGCACCGGCGACAGATTGCACAGACGATCCCCAGTCAGACGATCGCGTATGCGAAAATACTTATCAGTTAGTGATCGATTTATGGGCGCCATCGAGCGGCGATAGGAGGTTAGAAAACTGTTCATGTAATATGTAAATCTGTCGTAATCTTCGGTGCCCTGATGTTGTTGTTGTTCCGCCGCCCCATCATCTATAAGGGACACGGCATCAATATAATTATGGCGCTTCAACAACATGATTAAGTGTGCACAATTCGCCGACGTTGATTTACTTTGACGCAACAGGCGATAGAGGAGCTGCTCCTCGGTCTCGTGCATGGCAAGGCTGTTGAGCACACTGAACTTGCCCGTGGATATGCAGTGATTGAAGACATACTCCAGAAACGGTTGCCGTCCCCTCGCGTCCATGTACGAACGCGCCAGATGAAATGCCTTCGGTATGTTGTTGTTCTCCAACAACACCTTCAACTGCAGCTCTGTCGAGGATATGTCGACAGACATTCGGATCATCACATGCATTGCACTCTTTTTGGCGCCCTGCGCTAACAGCACCCCAACCAGCAGCTCTGTCTGCCAGTCCGGATAACCAGTCTCAAAATCTTTCATGGCTTGCTAAACGATACGGAGATAGATATAGCGATAGAAACTTGAATTAGAATGAGATGTATATATATATTTTATTTTTTATAAATTATAGCATAATTTACGCACTTCATGGAAATCGTTTACCTATTTTTACTTTTCATAATTATAAATGGAATGCTGCTATTATATTTTTCGTTAATTTTCTGCGGTTTATGAAAATTTAATTTTATAATTTTAATTAAATTGAAGTAAATTGAAAGCTTTGCTTTTTTTCTAACTTTGCTTCTTAAAGCATTGGTTGTGAGACTAGTGCTATTATTTTATTATTTTTATTATTATTATTATTCTTTAGATGAGTTTCAAGCAGGACTTTCAGCAAATCAGTAATTCTTACCTTAATATTGTCATTGTCGAGAAACCAAAAGCAGCGTGTTCGCTTCACGGACTCCACACCAATACCGAAGACCGTGGCAAAGTCCGAAGCCAACGTTGATTTGTTTTGAGGCACGACCACCAGTTCATCCAGATCGTGCAGCAGATAGAGGACTAGCTCATGCTTATTCAGCAAACTTACAGTGGGCAGCAGGATGAGGCGCATCAGGGCCTGCATCGATTGCGGCGGATAGAGTCCCTCTTGCTGGCAATTGTGCTTCAATGCAGCCGCACAACCGCTACGCTTCAGCTGCTCATCAATATAGAGTTTAGCATCGCTCTGGTGCAACTTGTGGCGACGTTCCGCATATTTGCGTCGAATGTGCTCCAACGCCTGCTGATTCTCCCTGCCATTAATGGGCAAGATGCCACTCTTAATGAACCAGTAGAGCAAGCGCTGATATTCGTAAAGGACGCTTAGCGTTTTCATCGTATTGTTCAGAGTGTTGATCGTAGATAGAACAAATCGATTTTGGCCCTGCTTAAAAATGAACGACTGCAGCTCGTGCAGTTTAAAGAGCTGTGCGTTTAACGCCTGAAACTCTCTGTGCTCGCACTCGTCCAGCGGATAGCCACCGTAGTCGAACAGGCCCTGACACAGCTCCGAGCAACGCCCCCTAATGTGCGCGGCTCGCTTCACAATCCAGTTGGTCAGTACGGTCAGCGTCAGCTTTGTCGTACCCAACATGTTGCACAGAAAACTGCCATCCAAACAATACCGTGCACAGCTAAACAGCAGAGAATTGCCATCCTGCTCCAGTGCCACCGAAAGTATCACCTCGTACATATCGTGCTATATAAACGGAATACAAATTGTGAATGATTGGAGGGAGACAATGGGAGTGAGACGGCATATAGAGAACATACCCCTGTAAGCGAAGCATTCGCATTGTGCTCGTAGAACTGTGGCGACAAATTGCATTTGATAATCTTGTCGAGAAATGGCTGTGGATCGAGAAACAGATTTGCCTTCTGCATGTACATTGTATTCAGAAAACGTCTCTGGACACCATCATGCACATAGCGGTGACAGCCGGTAACCGTCATCAGGGTACAATCTACAACACATAAAGAGAGGGAGAGAGAGAGAGAGAGAAGGGCGAGAGAGATGGAAAAAATTAGCGAGAGATTTTTCAACTTTGTAATCCATAAGCAGTAAATATAGGCAAATCACAATCGAAATCAAAACGAATGACACATTACATCGACTTACCGAAAGAGAGTGCATTGGGATAGAAGTGTGCATCGTGGCGACGAAGGGCGCTAAAATGGACAATGGATCTGGGGTTTAGCTGCAGATCGAGACCGCTGTGCCGTCCGTTTAGCTCAAGGCCACACAGATAGTTGGGATTGCTGCCCGAACGCCTGCTCGGCATTTCGTCCTTGTACCACTGATTGATGTCAAAGAGCATCAGCTTGTTTTTGCTGTCCACTTGTGACTGCCAACTGATGACGATCAGCAATGTGCCATTGTCGCCGCGAATGCCGATAGTGGACACTGTGCTGCAGCCAATCAGTGAACATTCGCCCGTGTCCAGTACGAGGCGAATGAGCAGCGATGTGTTTCGAAAGTCGCACGAGCGAAACACCTCACAATTGTCATCCGGCAATCCGAAGCGTCTATAATTGACGACATGCAGGGAGGCCATCAGATAATCGGATTGATTGTAGACGGCACATATGTAAAAGCATGGCTGCGGATCATCCGGCGGCAGAATGTAGCACAGGCCCAGTATATCCACGAACGAGTCTTCGGGCAACCCGGCCACCTCAGCGACCATATGAAAACGGCACAGATCATATATAAAAACGCGTCCATCCTGCAAGCCAGCAGCAAATCCCGAAATAATGTCAATCATTTTAATGTTCATGATGGATGACCGCACATTCGGCGGCATTTCCACAATGAGCACCATATGCTTGTCCTGCTTGCGACTGATAAGCAGCGTTGCATCCAATTGTCCACCGTCATGGGCATGATTGAGGGACAGACAAATGATGGCGCCGCGTTGCACCTGGCTGTCTGGGAGGTTAACACTTTTGCAACGTGTTGCAATCAAGTGCTGTGCCTTCACATCGATTAGCAGCACGCTGCCGTCGATGGTGCCCACTGCCAGGCAGCCATCATATTTATCAAGAATTGAACTCTTCTTGCAAATGCTGGCGTTCACGAAGGTCAAAGTGTGCGCGTTGATGCCACCCATGTCAAGATCAATGTAGCGCAACACCTGACTACAGTTGGGCGTGTAGATGGCCACCTTTGTTTTGCCCTCTGGTGTCTGTATGGCAACAGCCAGCAAAGGGGACACGTCTGCATCAATTGTCAGTATCTCTACGACGGCGCGGATGGTGCAGCGAACCTGACCAACCCTGTTATTATTCTTCAAGAATATGTAATTGGCCATGGTAGCGCCGCTTTTCAGCCAATAAATTTGCAGTTCGGCTCTTTCGGCATTCCGGCGTGTCACCCAACCGCAACGGCCGTCATTTATGATGCCACCAATATAGTCAGCTGTAAATAATAGAAGCTGCATTTGTAGATATACATATACATTTCATTTTTTTACTTTTCTTATTTTTCTACTATTAACTAGAGTTTTTAAAACTAGTAACTGACGAACGGCAAGCCAAAAAAAAAACATTCATTTCTAACGGGATCGGCTGAAAAGGGAATTGCAAATAATGGATATTCTTGGTGTTTTTTTTAAATCTTGTTAACTATTTTTAAGAACTCCACGTCATAGTAGAACAAATAAGAATGCAAATAAATCCATAATAAAATAAAGTGAATAGTGAATACATTTGTGACCGTGTTTTAAAGCTTGGGGACAACTTACCACAGAGGGCTTGTTTGTTGAGCGGCTTGCTGAGCATATCCTCATAGCTGGGGATGGTCCCTACAGGGAACTGGGATGTGCGATCCAATTCTACTTCTGTCCATTCCATGGCTTATGGGGCTTGTATTATTTTATTCTTTCTCAAAGAAAAAACAAAAAAGCACACACGTTTTAAATTAAATGAATGTTGTTAGTTTTCGCGATTTTTGCACACATGCCGGTAGTGTTTATTTCGATTGCCATCAGACGCTAGCGATGCGATATAAAGTTGTCTTTTCACTGAACGATTATCGGTTATATTCTTTTTTCTTTTCACTAAATATCGAAAGTGCCCAAAATTTACAATTTTCGCGGTACCAATTAAAGGTATTTTGTTTGATAAAAATTACTTAAATATGTACATGAAATAAATAGTACTATATTGACTCATTGGAATGAGTGATATATGCCGAGTGGCGTTGTGTTGACAAGGTGCACAAGGTGCTCGTGATCCTTAATTAATGTATTCGTGTAAAAACCTATTTTGATAACACTTGTCAGCTAGACGAACTCCATTTAGTGGCAACTCTGCGTGCACGGCAAGATGCCTATCGATAGATCGATTATCGCACTAAAATTGTAATCGAGTCAGCATGCTGCGTTCCTTGTGGACAGAAAAATAGCTCCCCGGAATAGACATATTTTACCGACCCCAAAATATTTCGAATGTGAAACACATTCGCTTTCAAATGTGGCTTCAGGTTTGGCGATAATTGTTAATGCAAGGGAAATACCAACTTTCAAGCCATTGCATCAGCAAATAGAACAAACAGACAAAACAGCCACCAGAAGCAAAATAATCGCAATCGCATACGTCTGTCTGGCCCTAACCGCATTGGCGAAAAATTCCGCACAACAACACAGCAGCAACACACAAAAATCGAAAGTACACCACACGCGCGCGCGAGAAAGGCGGCGGCCAAACCAAGGAGCAATAGCAGTAGCAACAACAACTGCAACAGCATCAGCATAAATATACTTAGCTTCCATACCGGCGAACCGGGTAAGACAATGAAGCAGTGTGTGTAAACATTCCAACAAAGCGAAATGCAAATGGATGATGGAATGGAAGTAGTGCCGTTACTTCAAGCATACGCACACACGCCTACTGTGGAAGGAGAAGCAGCTTTACAACTAAACGTGCTCTAATACGCGTGCATACGAGGGTCGTTCCTGAAGTATGCGACCAAGCAAAAAAGCAATCAATTTTGGGAAAATATATGCATACTCATTTTAGCCTAATGTTGCCCTGATTTATGGTGGGAATATTTTCTCAGCTAACAATTTTTCCATTCCTATATGTTGTGGGCATATATATATAAATATTTGTTCTTGAAATTGGACTTGGCGAAATTTGAAAACGAATATTTCGGGCAATGTTTTATAATTTTTTGCATAGTATTTGAAATTGATCGCGTTTGTTTAACTTTACTGTGCGTGTGTGCGTGCTTGCAATTTGTGATTCTTGCATTGCGACATTCCACTGGTCCGGCTACTTTTGGATACGCCCTCGCACTCGCATACTTTAACGCACGCACTCCATTCTATTTTACATATATATCACCCATAGCAAATATTTTCAATTGAATTCATTGCATTGCATCATTAATTATGACTTACTTAATGTATTTTTTGTGATTTCAGAAGAAGACGAAAAACAATTTGTGCATACATTTTGAAAAAAAAAATATATATATATATATTCATATATATATATATATATATATAGGGGATGGCGCAGCATGGCGTGACGGAGGCGCTGGCCGCAGAACTGGCCAAAGCCGTCGATTTGATAATGCATCCGCAGACGGTGCAGCAGGCACGCCTCGAGGCATACATGGCCTGCGAACGTTTCAAGGAGGAGTCACCGCTGTGCGCCCAAGTGGGCCTCTATTTGGCCAGCTCGGCGCAGTTCAATCAGCAGGTGCGTCACTTTGGACTGCAACTAATCGAATACACAATCAAATTCAAATGGAATTGCATAACGCACGAGGAAAAGGTGTACATTAAGGATAATGCCATAAAGATGCTCAATGTGGGCGTTGGCCCCGCCGAAGATCGCAGTCTATTGCATTTAAAGGACGCCCTCTCGCGCATCATTGTCGAGATGATCAAACGGGAGTGGCCGCAACAATGGTCCGATTTGCTGCCCGAACTCTCGCAGGCGTGCAGCAATGGTGAGGCCCAAACGGAACTGGTGCTGCTCGTCTTTTTGCGACTCGTCGAGGATGTGGCGCTGCTGCAAACAATTGAATCGAATCAGCGTCGCAAGGACATGTACCAGGCGCTCAACAACAACATGAACGATATATTCGAATTCTTTCTGGGACTGGTCGAGCAGCATGTGAACGCATTCCGTGAGACGACCCGTATTGGCAACTACCACAAGGCAAATGCACATAGTCGCGTCGTCGAAACAGTGCTACTAACGCTGAGCGGCTTTGTCGAATGGGTCAGCATCAATCACATCATGTCGAGCAATGGCAAACTGATGCATTTCCTTTGCATACTTTTGAACGACAGAGCATTCCAGTATAATGCCGCCGAGTGCCTGGCCCAGATCACCAATCGCAAGGGTCAGACCAAGGAGCGCAAACCACTGCTCCAGCTGTATGGTGAGGAGCCTTTGCGCTATATTTACACAGCCAGCCAATTGCCTCCGGCCCAGGCCAACAATGCCCAGTCAATTGAGCAGCAGCATAATTTCCTAAAGAAATTAATTCAGGTGCTTAATGGCATGGTGCAGCAGCTCGTGGCACTCTGGGGCAAAGATGATGGCATCCAGCGGCCGCAACATTTGGAGCTTATGTTTGAATGCCTGCTGCTGCTGGTGCAGCATCCATCGCTGACTGTGGCGCATGGCGCTGTGCTCATTTGGCAGCTGCTGCTTAAGCATGATCCGTGCTCCAAGGATTACCTGATGGTCAATTACATTCCCAAGCTCATACACACCATTGCGCCGCGCATTGTCAAAATACCATATCCCAGCAGCACAATCACCAACACCACCATCAGCAGCAGCAGCACCAGCGGTGTCGCCGGCAGCTTGATGCAGGCCCAGCCGGATGCAGTCAATAGCACCGAGGCGTACATTCGCCTCGAGTACGACAGCGAGGAGGAGTTTGCGATTTTCTTCTTTCGTTGCCGCACCGATTTTCTGGAGATCTTTCGTCAATCGACGCTGGTGCAGCCGCTGATCACGTATGGCTATTGCGAACAGTGGCTGCAGTCGCGCCTGCGTCATGCACAATCGGAGCGGGAGAGCAGCAACATGGACTGCAGTGTCCTCGATCCAATTTATTTGGAATGGGATGCACTGGTCTGTGTGCTCGATGGTGTACTTAGTCGCATTCTACTTGTGGCCGAGCGTCCATCGGTAGCCGGCGGGCTGCGGCTGCTCGAGGAATGCCTCAAGCTGGAGACGATTAATCCGCTCATCTACTCCATTTTGCTGTCATGCATCTCGGCGCTCTTTGTGTTCCTCAGCATGTCGTCGTGCCAGCTGACGCCCAACAATTGTGTCGCCATGAGTGGTGTCGCCCTGCTGCCGCGCGTTCTCGACAAAATCTTTCGGGCCCTGGTGCTGAAGCCGCCTAACGAGCTGGAGAAGGTGCAGATGAAGTCAGCAAAGAATCTGCGCCGACATGCCGCCTCCCTGCTGGTTAAATTGGCGCACAAATATCCACTGCTGCTGTTGCCCGTCTTCGAGCAGATCAACACGCATGTCGAGTGCCTGCTTAAGGAATCACCCACACAGCTGTGCCGGATGATGCGCACCACGCTGCAGGAGGCGCTCATTCTAATCTCGAATCATTTTTGTGATTTCGAACGGCAGACCATATTCATTGAGCACATCGTGCAACAGAAGCGCACCGAATGGCTGAGTTTTAGTGAGGTGTTTAAAACGCCGCAGGAATTTATGCGCTTTGTGGGATTGGATAAGCCGCCGGTGTTTCACATCGATAGCGATCCATCCGTTGCGAATCGTGCCCGCATTTTGGATGCACTCAATGTTGTTTTGGGTGTCGTGAAACGCTGCACTTGGCCCGATGATCCGGATCGGGCACAGCGTGGCGGTTTCATCATTGGCTGTACCGATCTGGGCAATCCCATATGCCGTAATCCGGCCACCAAGCATGTGGTGCCGTTGCTCTCGCAAGTCCTCAGCCTGATGCGTGTCCTGAATGAGCTCTTTCGTCCCGAAGCTTTGGCAGCACTCTCCGATGGCTATCGCAACATTCACGGCATGCTCGAGCATGAGAAGAAGCTGCTGATGGGCATTTGCGCCGTACCCGTGGATCCGCTCGATACGACCATTAAAACCGAACCGACCGCATTCGAGAAGATGCAAACGTTCATGATGCTAATCACCGAGGGCTGTTACCATCTGATGGGCTCGGCGGGGCCATCGCTCGGCCGTGATCTCTACCAGCTGTTGGGCTTGTCGGAAGCGATTATTAGCAATGTATTTTGTTGCATGGACATCATACCGGACTTTCGCATTCGTCCCATTATCCGGGTGTTTCTGAAGCCATTCGTTTACTCGTGCCCGCCCTGCTTTTACGATATGGTGCTGGTGCCGCTGTTCGCCCACCTAACGCCGCTGATGTGCGAACGATTGACGCGTCGTTGGCTCTACATTTCATCGCTGTACGAGTCTGGGCAGTTGAATGGCGAAGTGAACGACACCCAGGAGGTGCTCGAGGATCAATTGAATCGCACGCTCACCCGCGAATATCTCGATTTGCTGAAAATAGCATTAGTCGGCGGCCAAATTGGTGCTGATCATGTAAATGCCGCCGGCGCCAATGCGGTGGCCATGGAAAACGAAGAGCACTCCATGGACAGTGCACCACAATCGCGTGCTGCTCAATCCGCCCTGCTGTCGGACATCATCAGCGAATTGGGTGGCAAGCTGTTGCGCAATGATCTAACCGGCAATTATATACTGATGACGCTGATCAAGGCGATCGCCTGGAACGACAGCATGTGCAACATGAAGGCGGTGAATATTGCGGCGCCCGTCATGCGATTCATGAACGTTGAACAGCTGATGGATGAGAATAAGGCGGTGAGCGCGTTCACCGCTGTGCTTCAGGGCATGCAGGTGCATGGCCAGCACGAGGCCAATCAATCCGGCCTAATCACGCTGGGCGTCCAATTCTATGAGCTGTTGCGTCCCAAATATCCCATATTGAGCGAGGTGCTCAAGCACATACCCAGCGTCAATGCGGCGGACATACAGAAATTTGATGAGAAGGTCGCCGTTGCGTCCGTCAAGGGCAATAAGGTGGATCGCGCCAAGAAGGATATATTTAAGAAGATGACCGCTCAGCTGGTCGGACGTAGCGTCAATCAGCTGTTCCGCCATGAGGTACAAATTGCCAATCTGCCGCCGATGGCCAGCCAGAAGCCGACGGGGGGCAAACGCAACAGCAACAGCAACGATATTATGGACAGCAATCAGAATGCCAGCCTCAGCCAGCTATTCCGCACCGAGAAGTGACAGCGCCGAAATGTTGCGGCGACCACAACAACAACGGCAACTACGATGACGATGACGATGACAACGACGACGACTGAACTTAAATTAATTGTCAACTAGTTGTTATCAAGCAGTTTAGGCAGCTTAAGCAGTCGCCGCTTTTGGGTTTCGGATTCGGACTCAGACTACGTCTATCGCTGGCGCTGCATCCTTCTGTTTCTGGCGGTGCTCAAGGCTTATTAGTTAGGTTTTTTTTGTACTATTATTATTTATTGTGTAACATCTAATGTTTAAGTTCCTTCGCAATGCGTGATTCCTTTTCCCTCCCCCCGCGACAAATGTTTTATTTTTTTATGTCGGCCTACTCCAAATGGCAGGTTTTTTATTCTTACCCAAAAACTTGTTAGTTATTTTGCATAAAAAAAAAAAAATCAAAATTCCTCGAAAAATCAAAACCGAAATAAGTTAATCAATCGCTAAGGCAACTTAGCGAATTGTATCGAAATCGTATCCGCGCTGTGTTACACATGCAGGAGCACAGTTATCCCTTCTTTTTTTATTGTTGTATATTACATATGGTGGTCGCATTCAATTCTAAACTCTGTCAAATTCTTGAAACACCAAAACGTTCTTTCAATTTTGAATTGGTTTTGTTTTCTTGTTTTTTCTTTTTTTTTTAAATCATTTTAAATTGAGCAAATTTGTATTTCTCGGCGATCACTGTTAATACATACATATAGAGAACATTTTTTCAATTTGTATATTCAAAAACACACTTAAAAAAAAAACAATCCTTAATTTATATTGTATACATATTGTATTTATAAAAATATATTTTCAAGAAATATTGAAATTACGCTTAGGATTTAGTTTATAAGACAGGAGTTATTATTATATAATATGCATCTTGTATATGAACACAGACACTCACACACCCCAAGACACACATCGGGATTCAAAGAATGTAATGCGAGTATATTTACAATATTCAAACTGAAATTATACACTTAAAGTTAACACGAAAAAGAAAACAAAACGAAAAACTGAAATAAACAAACGAAACATATAAAAATTATATATAAATATATATATAAAAAAAAGAAAAACACACACAAAGTGCCGAAAGAGACATTTATTTGAGCATCCTATATAATGCGGGTTTTATGAGATACATACCTATATTGAAAGCATCAGCTGCCTAAGAGAATCGTGTTTATAACCTATATCATGTAATTAAAAACCCATTGCCAAACACGATTTAAAAGCCTTTGTAAGTTATTTCAATTTGCGTTCAAGGGATATAGCAACTTTGATTTGTGGTCGCTCGAAAATAAGAGTTTCTCGGATTCAAAGATCAATTTTATACACCCAAAACTTCTCATTTTTTCAACAGTCCTTATTATATGGTAAAAATTTGAATCTTAAAATTAATGAGCAATTTCGAATGATTTTAAAAACTTCGAAAATAATTTGTTTTTTTTGAAAATTTAGGTTGAATTGAAAAATACGAGCCGCTAATTCGGGGCAGTTATAATGCGTTCTTATTTATGAAACTCTTATTTATTATATACAAATAATAAAAATATGTATGATTGCAAAACATTAAAATATAATTATATCTAAAGACAAATTTGAGAGGGTTTAAGCATATTAGAAGATCAATTGCTTAGAAACAAACTATGAAATGGAAAATGGTTTGAAAGACATCCCAAAGTGCATCAGAATGATAGATAAATGCATTGAAAAGGACACAGCAACAATTCTAAATGCCGAGCGACCGTTGCGTATGAATATATGAATACAATTTGTTATATTCGTATGCAGCTAGAGCTTATCGATGCACAATAATGTTAAAATAATAATATACAAAGATAATAGATGTAAGCGCAATATTAACATTTTTATACTCGTATGTAATTTTTCCTACTCAAAGTTCACTTTTAGTCTATTACAGAATTAATTGTATAGAACATAATTCATAATACAATAATGCAATTGAAATAAATATGCATGCGTATGTGTGTCTGTTGTGTTCAATTAGCCGCCATGCCTGTTGTCGCACAGATTGCTCCAGTCGGGCACATGCTCGTTCCTCAGATACGTCTCCTTGGACAACGAGCGCGTTTGAATCAAATCCGTTGCCCCACAGAGAGCACCACCCAGCCAGGCCGTGAAATTCTGTTTGCCAATTGTGTTGTAGAACTTAAACTGGAGATCGCCGTGAAAGCGTTCCGCATAGTAGCTATCATTGGCCAACAGATGCTGCAGCTCCGCCTTGAGGCGTGCCATTAGGCCCATCACCATAGCCCCGCCACCAATCACAAATATGCTCTCGACAAGGGCGCATCGCACATCCATGCTGCAGTCGAGTATGGCTCGCAGTATTAGATGCGGCAAGCTGTCGCGTTCGTTATTCTGCTCGAACATCAGCTCGTAGACAGTCTCCCGGACGCTACCCGCTATGCTGATGACGGCGTCATCATCACAGATCGCATAATCAACATTTGGCACCGGTGTCGTCTCCTTATCCGGCTTCGCCTGGGCACGCTCGAAGCTGGTGACAAAGCAGGTGCGTATCTTGATGTCCTCCAGCACGCTTGGCGTCAGCAGAGACTCTTTGACGCCCGTTGCTAGCAACTGCCGTTTGATCTCGTCGTGGACAGCACTGCTGCCATAGCTTTGATCTTTGAAGGCAGACATTATCTGCACGCCGCTGAACACAGGCATTACGGTCGTCTCACTGTAGCCAATGTCCACAACGAGGCCGGTGGGCACGGCCAGCGTGGATAGCGCTATAAGATGAGCGGGCACAAACAGCACGGACGATACATCGAAGTGAATGAAGAGTGCACGTGCCAGCGTCTCTCGTATCACGCTCTGTCCAAAGATGTTCTCCACAACAACAAATTTACGCTCCTTGGGACTGACCAGTAGATGTCTGCAAGCAATCACACTTTATTTAAATATATATATATAAATGAAAGAAAGAAAGCTCCGGTGAACATTCACAGACATATTCTTCTAGATTTGAGATAAGTATATAATTGTAATCTATGTGTTATATATGGTCTGTTGTTAATAATTTGTGGAGTATTTTTAAGAAAATTATCGAAAACTTGTTGCTTTACTTGAAGAATATAGTTTGCAGAAAGTCCACAATTTGATCGTAGAGCTGTTCGGTTGCCACGTAATCGAAGAGTCGCTTTGTCTCGCCCGTTGTGGTTAGCACCACCTCTGTGGGTATGATTTTACGTGGATAGGCCTCTGCCGCAAAGCCGAGCCTGAAAAGGAACAAAAAAAAAAGCAACAACAGTGATGATATCATATCTCCGGCAACAAAAACAAAATCAATATGCACTCACTTTGTGTAGGCATTGCCAATGTCGAGCACAATTGGGGGCTTCTCCTGCATAACAGTCTCATACAGTGGCATAATTTTTGTGCTTTTTGGGCTGGCAGCAAAATAAATTAATTAAACTAAGTGTTAACTTAGAAATAACAAACAGCTGCGCCTCTGCAAATACTGATACCGATAACATTCAACTAAAATTCGCGTACACATATCGATGCATTGTTTTCAATCGGTAAATATAAATAAATATCGATATTATGGATAAGCTCAGCTGATTGCGTATCGAACGCGAAAATCGTATTGAGCCGGTTGTGTTTATTTGTGGAAGATTTGTTTTACACGTAAAAATAAATAATACAAAGAATATATTATTATTATTAATAATTAGAGATGAGCTACATACAATTCGAGAGCGGGCGCGAAAAGGAAAAGGCGCGTGAACAGTTAAGAGAAGCTCGCACCGAGCTGCTTAAACAGGTAAAACCAAAACATGAAAACACCAATTGTATAAAAAGCTAATAACTACCCCAAACAGGCAAAGGAGCGAGCTGAGGAGCGCAACAAGCGGGAGTTGCAAAAGGAGCTGCGCGGCGAGAAGGATTGGATGCTGCCAGCAGTAGCCAACAAATTGGACAAGTTGAGCAAAGCAAATAGCAGCAGCAAGGCGAAGAAGACCAAGAAGAAGTCCAAAGCAAAGTCAGACAAAAAGAAGAAATCCTCCAAAAAGAAGAGCAAAAAACGCAGACACGACAGCAGCAGCAGCAGCGATAGTGAAAGTGACAGCGATAGCTCCAGCTCCAGTTGTGACTCTGACAGGAAGCAGCGCCGACGACACAAGAAATCGAAGAAGAGGGAAAGCAGCGGGGATGAGTGGGTGGAAAGTGAGCCCGTCCAGAGTGAGTCGAAGCCCGCCGCTGTGCAACGTGACAGCTGGATGACAGACAGCGATGCGGTAATGCTGAGAACCTTCGCCAAGGAGCGCAAAGATCCAGCGAAACCCAACGAGAAGATGCAGCAAATTGATGCGTACGATCCGTCGAAGAGCAAACATGAACTGAATCCCTACTGGAAAAGCAACGGCACTGGCCTGCCCGGCTTTCAGCGACCCAAAGCTGACGATGAGCCGGAGTACCCAGATAGGCGGCTGCAACAACAGCAGCAAGCAGCAGGCAGCACGCGCAATTGGCAAAAGAGCGCAACAGTTGTCACAGTTGTCTCCAATAGGCAGCACAGCTCATCTCCAGCTAGCTCTCCGCCAGCAGGTGCAGCTGCTGCCTCGGATGAGGAGAGTGATGCTGAGCAGCCATCGTGTCTAACGGATGAACAAATCAACGAGTTGGCCTCAAAGGCGCTCAAGGCTCAACTCAAAGGCAAACTTGAGCTGGCGTCGGAGCTCGAGAAGCAGGTGGAAACCGCACGAAAGCAACGGAACGAGCTACTGGCTAGCGGTAAAATGCGACCAGCTGCTACCAAAACTCAACTGAATCGTGACCGGAATCGAAATCGGAATCGGGATCGGGATACAAATGATGTGCTACTCACGCGCACGGATGCCAGCGGCAATGTGCGTCCGCTGATGCAATCACGATCGGGAGCTGCACAGCTGGATCCAAATTCACTGTATGGCGGACGCAGGAGAGGAGGCGAGAAGCGAGCCAACAAGAAGAAGCTGGACACCCATGTGGATGGGCAGCGTGTGCGCTATTTTGCGGACGATGATCGCTATGACATCAAGCAAATGGTAATTACAGCTGTTGAGTACTTTATCAAGTTCTAAATCAATCGTTTATTCAATTGCAGTTCGAGCGTGAGAAGCATGCAACAGCCGCTGAATCGAATTTGCAATACGCTGATATTCTATCGAAGCACAAGAACCCCAACGATGATCTAGAGGACATATTCGCGGACAAAGTGCGTCGCAACATTTCTGAGGCGGATGCTGCAGCGCGCGAAGTGCGCCAGGCAATTAGCGAGCATGAGAAACTGGTCGCTACGCTGGAGAACTGTGAGCGTTGCTTTGACTCGTCGTGCCTGGACAAGCAACTGTTGGTTGCCATGGGCTCGAAGATCTATTTGAGCCTGCCCAGCCATGTGGGCCTGCAGAGCGGCCATTGCATATTGACGAGCATGCAACATGCAGCCGCCTGCACGCTGCTCGACGAGGATGCCTGGCAGGAGTTGAATGATTTTCGCAAGGCTTTGACTCGCATGTTTGCCGCTCAGCGCAAGGATGTCATATTCTATGAAATTGCCAATAAGCTGCATCGGCGACCACATCTCACCGTACATTGTATTCCCATACCGGAGTCACATGCGGAAATGGCGCCGTTCTATTTCAAGAAGGCCATTGAGGAGTCGGAGCACGAGTGGTGCATCAACAAGCAGCTGATATCGTTGAAACACAAATCTTTACGCGCTGGCATTCCAAAGGGTTTGCCCTATTTGTGGGTTAACTTTGGCATGGAGTCGGGCTTTGCTCACGTCATCGAGGATCAGGAACGTTTTCCAGCCAACTTTGCACAGGTTTGTCGCCGAGTGAATCATTATATACCTCATATTTATTTAGCGTTAATTGGATCTTACAATTCTAGGAAATAATTGGTGGAATGCTGGATCTTAATGCAAAATCGTGGCGCAAACCGCATAAGGAGAAAAACATCATTGCCAAAGTCAAAACATTTGCTAATAGTTGGAAAAATTACGATTGTACAGAACATTAAGCAATCTTTAACATAAGAAGATAATTAAATAAATTAAGTTAAATCATTAGTAAATAAATATACATGTTAGATAAATCGACTTTTATATGCAATGACTATCCGCTAGATTAATAATGTATTCGAAAATTCAATACTCTTTCGATCTATGCTTAAATTCGATATTTTTATCATTAGTCATCTACAAAATTATTTACATTTAGTTCTCTTTTTTTTAAATTTGAATTTTTAAAATCGGAGTGCATATCGAATAAATTTGCAACATATCGATAAGTAATTGCAAGGGTCAACTTACCAGCACTGGCTTTGTTTGTTTCGATCAGGTGGCAGCCTTGTCTGCTACAATAAGCGCAGCCAACTTCGTTCGCCTTGTTCTTTTTTCCGGTTGACTTTGACAAGAAAGGTAGTGGTTCTTTTTCGTTTACGTGAATATAAATTTTTTTTGATTGCCACAAATAATTGCAAATGCAATACAATAAATGAAAATGTGTGTTCAATAATGTGACTGAGTGAGCGACGCAGTTGAAAAATGCCGACATGTAGATTAAATGACACGGCGTGCATTCACAGAATGTTGTTGTCTCTGTGCGTGTGTGTGTGTATGTGTGTGTGTTTGCGAATAACAACGTGTTTTTATTTTTTTAAAAAATAATTTTTATGTTTTAAATATAATGGTGCTTTTTTGTTGTTTGTTTTTAGATGCCAGGCGTCACAGTGAAGGATATTGACCAACATGCCGTTACTAAGGCGGTCGCCGTCTTCCTCAAGAAGTGAGTTTCTGTCAACAAGAGTAACTTCGACAAAAAAAAAAACCAGCACAAACTTTAAATTGATGCATTCCTCACCTAACCTCAAACTCACACACTAAAATCTTCTCATTTCAAATATTTTAGGACTGGCAAATTGAAGGTGCCCGATCAAATGGACATCATCAAGACGGCCAAATTCAAGGAGCTGGCACCTTACGATCCCGATTGGTTCTATGTGCGTTGCGCCTCGATTCTGCGTCACTTGTACCATCGCAGTCCAGCTGGCGTTGGCTCGATTACCAAGATCTATGGCGGTCGCAAGCGCAACGGCGTCCATCCGTCTCACTTTTGCCGTGCCGCTGATGGGGCTGCACGCAAGGCGCTGCAGGCTCTCGAGCATGCCCGCCTCGTCGAGAAGCATCCGGACGGTGGCCGCAAACTGAGCTCGATTGGACAGCGTGATTTGGATCGCATTGCCAACCAGATTGTTGCCAAGCAGCGTGACGCCGCCAAGCAGACGGGCCCCATTGTTATTTCCAAGTAAAAGCGGATGATGATGATGATATGTACACGATTGTCTTGTGTCTTCTTTTTAAGCGGGCATTAAACACACTTTTTTCTAGGCTTCTATCGTAAGCGTTTTTTTTGTTGTTTGCTCCTGGCGGCAAACTACACACAAATCGAAAATATAAAAACCAATTCTAAGTCTACAAACAACAATCGTAAATCTGCACAAGCTTTGTTTCTTATGGACTACTAGTCAGTCTCTCAGAGGGAGGGATACTTTTAGCAAGGCTGACAAGTGGCAAGAATAATCAAAGCCAGTCAGCGATATGTGCGATGCTTGGTGCATAGTATTGTTGGTCGAAATTGGGTTTCAGTCCGGCGATTACATTCAAATGTTTTGTTGCCTAGCTGCGCTTTTTTCATTAACGTAAGTATTCCATTATTATTATAAGCTACATGAAAAGCTACATTTTGCAAACGGGCATTGTTCAAATTCGAAGATTCGATTGGTTTTTGATCAAATCATCGACGGCTTCATCACAGAATCTCCAAACACTTTTGCATGGTGTTTGCAATTTCTTGATCTGGTCTACGCAACTAGGCAAGTCACATTTTAAGTTCCAGGAAAGAATCCAAATAGCTCGCTTCATCAGCTACATGCTTGTAGTAGTATCTGAGGAGCTGATTATTGTTGAAAGAGGCTGATCAAAATAAATATGTAAACACGTATTTAATAGAACAAACGTATCTGCTGCTCACAACTGTCTAATGCCAGATTCGTGGACTGCCTTCGCAATATATAATACATAGTGTAAATGGTCTCAACACTTTTGTTTGATTTATAATAAATTTATTTAAATTTGATGAACACAAGTGTTCACGAATGTTATGTTTTAGAGCCTTAGGACTAGTGCGTATGTTAAATAGTTTACATTTAACTCATTACCCACTGGTGGACAATGCTGAGGTATGCTAAAGTACTCCAAGGATCAGACTCTATCTAGGGCTTCGACCATGACAATGCTGTTGCCGCGAATTACCTGAAAATAATGAAGAAATGTAATTGATTGGTTAATATTCGTTATCAGTTCGCACTGCAGAGAATACGTACCACCATTCCGATGCTATTCTTGGTGTTGTCCTTGCACTCTTCGATGGTGTCGTCAAGCACAACGTTCATGAATGGATCAAATCCCCGCAAGATGCCGGTGACTGCGCGGCCGCCATTTAACTTTAGCATCATGCGCTTGTCCATGTATCTGGAAAATGCAAGCATTACTTGTCGTTACTTATTGCCTTCACACACACACACACACACACTTACTTTTTAAGCTCTGGTGGATGTGCTTTCGACATTTCGATTTATGTATTTATTGTTTTTTTAAAACAAATAAATGGTACAATGGAGCTAAAATATAATGTGAATGTGACCAGTGTGACCGTTTTGTTGTTAACGTTTAGCCAGTGTTGTAAAGCGAGCGGCAATAGGGCTATCGAGTAGAGTACTGTATTTCGTATATATTTGGGTCACGACTTGCGCACAAACAATACTATCGAAGGAATCGGCAATCGTTTTGCAGCTCTCTCATAGCAACTCGAGCAACGATAACTGCTAGCATCGGCAATTAATATTTTAAGTTTATTTTTATTAGTTCTCCAATTGTGTTTATTTTTTGTTTCTGTTACGTTCAAAGATGTTATTATGTTAACGAATAGATAACGATGACTACAGTTGCACTCGGCAAGCATGCAAATAGTTAATGTGAAAGTCAATTGAAAGCGCATAACACGAAATCTACATAAATCGCATCCGTCGCTGTCGCTATGCTTGCGTGTGTGTGCGTGTGTGTATGTACGTGACATACGTGTGCCTGTGCTTGTGTGCGTTAGTGTGTGTGCGTGTGTGTGCCAGAAGACTGTCGTCTGTTGTCGCCTTTCCAACGGGCCAAAAGGGCGGGTAAAAAGAAAAGTCAACAAGGGCTGACGAAAGTGCAACAGATACAACAGAAGCAACAGCAGCAACAACAGCAGCAGCAGCAGCAGCAACAACAGCAGCAGCAGCAGCAACAACTCCTCCTCCTCCTCCAGCACTTGCTTCCCACACTTGAGCAATTGACGGCTCCATAACGGAACACGCTAAAATGTTCACAAAGAAGAAGAAGAAACCGCTGATCTCGATGCCGAGCAATTTCGAGCATCGCGTCCACACGGGCTTCGACAAGCGTGAGAATAAATATGTGGGTCTGCCATTGCAATGGGCCTCCATTGTGGGCAACAATCAAATACTGAAGTCGAGCAATCGACCCCTGCCCCTGGTCGATCCCTCCGAAATCACGCCCACCGAAATACTCGACCTGAAGACTATTGTCCGTCCGCATCATAACAACAATAAGGCGGACACCACATCGCTGAATAGTAGCAGCACCATGTTAATGACCAATACGCCGGCAGGTTCATCGATGCTGCCTGGCAGTCAGTCTGGTGGGCAGTTGCATCAACAGCAGCAGCAGCAGCTGCAGCCGGGTGTGCAACAGGGTCTGGTGCTGCCGAAGACATCGCATGTGGCACGCTCGAATTCGTTGCGCAGCTCCAGTCCGCCGCGTGTGCGTCGCATGGCCAATGTGCCGCCATCTGTTCCCGAGGAGGAGGCTGCTGTGGCGGCAGCGACGGTGGCTGCTTCTGGCACGGCCACACCAACACCGACACCAACAGCGATGCCCGGCCATGGATTTAAACCGCCACAGCCGATGCCACACAACATGCTCTATCCCAGTCAACATGCACATGCGCATCCACACACGCATCCACATGTACATCCACATCCCAATGGCGGCGCTGGAACTGGTCCGCTTGCCGTGCGCACTGATCAATACCGGGGCGGTGGCAGCGGCAGCGGTAACTTGGCTATTCCAGGCATGCAACAGCAACAGCAGCAACAACAAACATCGCCAGTGAGCTCGGTGGCGAGTGCAACGCGTTCCACGCATTCGCATCACAACAACAATGGTCAGAGCTTTCCAATGTATCCTGCCTCCCAACAGCAACAGCAGCAACCAAAACTGATCGGCGATCAGAATCAGAATCCACACGCCAAGACGATCGCATCGCGTGCATCCAGCTCCAGCGGCAACGCTGCTGCCCTGGCTGCCCAAGCTCAGGCTCAAACGCAGTCACAGCCCAAACAGGAGCAGCGACTCACACACGAACAATTCCGTGCCGCATTGCAGATGGTTGTCTCCGCTGGCGATCCCCGCGAGAATCTCGATCATTTTAACAAGATTGGCGAAGGATCCACCGGCACCGTTTGCATAGCCACCGACAAGTCAACAGGCAAGTGATCACGCCGAACTCCGATCAGTTGTTGACCAGTTCTCAAATTAATTTCCACATTTTGTTTGGTCTTCTTAGGTCGTCAAGTGGCTGTAAAGAAAATGGATTTGCGCAAACAGCAGCGACGCGAGCTTCTTTTCAATGAGGTGGTCATCATGCGTGATTATCATCATCCTAACATTGTGGAGACATACTCCAGCTTTCTGGTCAACGATGAGCTCTGGGTAGTCATGGAGTATCTCGAAGGTGGCGCACTCACCGACATTGTCACACATTCGCGCATGGATGAGGAGCAAATAGCCACTGTATGCAAGCAGTGTCTAAAGGCTTTGGCCTATTTGCACTCACAGGTGCGTGACCAACATAAGCAACAAAACAACAACAACAAAAACAACCACAACAAAAACAACCAGCAGCAACAACAACAACTCAGTCCAAAGCCTCGCCCAATGTCTTCTCACTTGTCTGCCTTTCTATTCAGTTCTTTTGTGCGCTTTCTTTGCGTCCCGCTTTCGCGACGTGCATATTGTGGTTGGTTCGGTTTGGTTTGGTTTGGTTTGGTTTCAATTTCGAAATTGTCACCGCTGCGCTGCGTGTGTAATGCGATAAGTGGGTGGTGCGGCTTTGCACTGCTACTGCTACTGGTACTACTGGCACTGAAACTGGGACTGGGACTGGGTCTGGGCTGATGTTTGTTGCTGTTGGCTTGTGTTACCTTATGCAAAATTGAATCCAAATGTTTGTAAACAAAATTAACCGAAAAGTGCTTAATTGGCTTAGGCGAGGGTCTTATTATTGAAATGTTATTATATAAACGCTAGTTGAGTTGATATAAGATCTTCAGAATTTGTCTTTATCTAGTTAGCAATGAATTTCTAGTCTGTCGGAAGCATATATCCATCGCGTAACGAGTTTTGGCAAATGTGTCTGCTATGCAGATCAATAGGCAATAGGTGCCTCGAAAATTATCTATAAATATGCAGAATTTAAACTTGTTGTTTTCGGTCACCTTGATTCGAAAATTTGCATACGAATATTAAGATTTGTGCGGCTTAAGCCGGAACATGGCATGTAGTCGGAGATACTTGGCTGGTTATCTCATAGTATTGTACGTTTACCAACATATCTCATCTATTAATTGATTGTATCTTATCATTGTCACAGGGCGTCATCCATCGCGACATCAAATCGGATTCCATTCTACTGGCCGCCGATGGACGCGTAAAGTTGTCTGATTTTGGTTTTTGTGCGCAGGTGTCGCAGGAGCTGCCCAAGCGCAAGTCTCTAGTGGGCACGCCCTACTGGATGTCGCCGGAGGTTATATCGCGCCTGCCATACGGTCCCGAGGTGGATATCTGGTCCTTGGGCATTATGGTCATCGAAATGGTCGATGGCGAGCCACCGTTCTTTAATGAGCCGCCGCTGCAGGCAATGCGCCGCATACGGGACATGCAGCCGCCGAATCTGAAGAATGCCCACAAGGTATCGCCACGGCTGCAATCGTTTCTGGATCGGATGCTGGTGCGTGATCCTGCGCAGCGTGCCACCGCCGCCGAGTTACTGGCGCATCCGTTTCTGCGTCAAGCGGGCCCGCCATCGCTTCTGGTGCCGCTGATGCGTAACTCCAGGCATCACACCTAGGCACACCTTGGACAACAGCAACAGCAGCAGCAGTAGCAGCTCATTGTTAACTGTGCACAGTTGTCACAGTTGGCAGCAGGATGGATAATGGATAATGATGCACTGCAGCCACTATTCTGCCCTTTATATATTTTCAATCCACTTAAATGTAGTATTATTCATATTTTGATTGGCTACGCTTTTTGTTCTCGGCTATTTCTACTTAAAACTATAAACTGTAAACTGTAAACTGTAGTTGTACACAGCGTGTAGTTTAATACCCCCGCATTCCACCTTGTAAAGTCTCATACATTTGATGTACTATGTCCATTAAGTATTCCGTGTTGGCATTCAGTAAATGCTATAAAATATTTTTTTTCTATTTTAAATTAGTAGTTAAATCCCTCCCTCGTAGTCCTCATCGTCGTCGTTGTCATTTCCCCTTTCCTAACATACCATAACCTCCCCTACCCTCTACCGTACACTTAAACCAACACCAACAAATTTTTGTTATTGTTTATTCATTTAATTTGTAGCTTTTTTAAATATGTTTTTTGAACGCAAAATGTGCCTTTCGCGAAACAGACTTAAGAAACATTTAAAACACAACATTACCATATATAATGTGACCATGGAGGACAGCACTCGGATAGTTAATGCCGTTTAACCAATGCGCAGCCATTGCAAATGTTATTATTATTATTTTATACAAGCGCCATTTGGTAACAGCTTATTCTCGATTATAGTGTTCTAAATCCAAACCAAACCAGATCTATTTAATTTTAACTGCATTTCGTGCTCTGTTCTTTCACATTATTTTTACTGTCTCAAAAGTGCAAGCGGGCACAGTTCTTGTCAATATATTGGTTTAACTCTTATTATTATTATAATTATTATCATTTTTTTTGTGTGTATTAATGTTGAGAGCTGCATTAACATTGTTCGAATATATAATGCTGTAAGATGATTAAATATAGTATATTTATGAGTATTTATCATAAGTATTGAAAAACAACGAATATACAAATATGTATCAAAAATATTGCTTACACATCCATCGAAATTTTAATATATACATATACATATACATATACACATATATATACATATGAATACATACATACATACAATACACGCATATAATATGCTTAAGCAAGCCTGTACTTATTGTTGTCAGTTGAACGCATGCTCCAAGCTAAGGCTCTATATAATATACCTATGTATAGCAATTATTTATATCAAAAATAAGTTCTACTATCTATTAAAGAAATATATTTCAAATTGCTCGAATGCAACAGATTTGACATTTGTGGACTGTTAAACCCAAGATTACAAAATACATTCCCCCTTCCCCAATTGAAAACCCCATTAAAAATAATTTTTTTTAGACATTCTGATTTACAGTGGTCTGTAATTATAAACGAATAAAAACACAGGTATGAAACGTACTTGAATAATTTATTTATTTGTTTGTAACATTTTCAAATTGTGCTGACCGTCTGCGAGCTATCCAAATGACATCCGAGGCGTCTAGATAGTTATTGAACTGCCAGCAATCTTGGGCTTTGGGTTTCTTTTTTGTCTAGCCGCAGTTAATGTTGTTGATCCCTGCGATCTTAGAATGTTGTGTCCTTTAAAAAAATGCAGTTTGTAAAAGGACATTTTAAATCCTTAAAAGGACGCACATTTTCTGACTTGCGAAAGGCAAGTCTACCGATTTGTGATATTCATTGCGATATTGTGATAAAATTTACAAAATCCGTAAGTCGGCGTAGCTTGGTCAAATTAAGGACTATTCGAAAATAGTTCTTGTCCAGCCAAATCCGAACGAACAAAGGTCCTCGAAGGGTTCATAAATGCCCTCCTAATCCTTGAACGCAGTTCGATAGAATTGGATTTTGCGGTTTTCATCGCACCATATCCTTGAAAAATCTGGAAGGGTATGAATGAGCTGGAATTATTTTTTCTAAATCCTAAAAGTATGCCATGGAGCTTTTGATTTTGTGAAACAAGTTTGCTATATATTTTATTATTTTTGATTTTGTATTATTTTCTCTTAGGTTCGATTGAGCCAAAAATATACGTTTAGATTTCAGTTTTTTTGGTAAACAGTGTTTCACAATTGTTTATATTATTCAGCCAAAGAGAATGATATTTAATTTGTTGTTGATTGGGGTTATGGGATTATGAATAACTTTAAGTTTTCAGGGTTCATCTACAATATCGTATATTTAAAAGGACCTTAGATTCAAATCGTTTTGGTTTAAGTTTCGCACATAAGAGGTATTCGAGAGTTACCCAAGCAAAAGAATATTAAAATATGTTTAAAATATTTTTGATCAATCTTTTTCTTTTATTTATAATTGTTGTTTGATGTTTGTTATTTTAATTATTATTTTAGTTTATAAATTGAATAGTGAATAGGTGAATATGTAAATAGATGTGAGTGCCGACATATATGAGCTATATATATTCAATATAAATATACATACACAAATACATAAGCACAGAGCGTGGAGCGTAGGATGGTGGTGTATTTTGTGTGTGAGTGTGTTGTGTGTGTTGTGTGTGGTGTGTTGTGTGGCATGGCATGGCATGGTGTGTGCTTCTCTACTTACAGCACGCGCACACACACACACACACGCGATGCTCACACACTAAAAATCAAATTGTGTACTAAAAACTAAACGGCAGATCTGCAGCTGCCTATAGCTAGCCATGAGTGTGAGTGAGAGGGCAACAAAGAGGAAGAGAGAGAGAGACAGAGAGAGAGAGAGAGAGAGTGAAATTGTGTGTGTGTTTTTTTTTTTGTTTGTGTTTTTGTTTTAGATAATTGTAGAAAATATTTTAGTTGCGCTTCCTCAAGGCCAAGCGACTGCTGAGCGGACGCTTGGGCTTTGGCTCCTCCTCCTTTTGCTGCTGCTCAGATTCCTCGGCGGCGGCATCCACCTCTGGCTCAGCCCTCCCTGGCTTGGACAGCTTGCGACGGCTCACTGCAATTGTAATTTTGTGCATTATCGAGTTAGACGATCGTTGCTGGCTGAGATTGGAGTTAGATCAGATCACTTACGTGCCGCATTGCCCTTGTAGCCCTTGGCGGGTGAAGCTGGTGCCGGCGCTGGCGCCGCTGCTGCAACGGGTTCATCCCGCTCGGCGGGTTCCTGATCGTCAGATTTCTTGGCCTGTTTGCTGGCTGGTGCCTTCTCGGAGCGGTGCTTCTTAGCGTTTTGCTGGCGACGCTTGAGCGAGTTCAGGAAATCATCATTGGAGCGGAAGGGCCGAATTACTGGCCCAACTTTCTTGGGCGCCTCAGTTGTGGTGGTCGTCGAGCTCGCTAAGCCGGCCTCATCCTGCTCATCGCCATACTGGCCATTCTCGCCGGCGCCGACATCCTCACTGTACTCATCCTCCTCGGCGGCATCGTCGTGCGCTGGCGCCGCTGTTGTTGTTGTCACCTTGGCCGCCTTACCAACGGGGCGACGCAGTGCAGCGATTCTCTTCGCTCCACCCTCCTCCTGGGCCGCCACCAGTCCATAGCAGAGTGAGCAGATAATGAAAAGCAGGCAGCTGCAAGTGGTCCAAATAAAAATACGCAACAACATTAAATTTGAGTTGTTGGATTGATATTGTTGTGGGTTATGGATATAAGTAATATGTAATTAAAACACAGAAATTATAATTCTTATTTACTGTATGATCAAATTTGTACTTGTTTTTATTGGGTACAAATATCCAACTAAAACATCTTTAATATTGTCTAGCTAAAAAAGTATTTTTTATAGAAATTGCTTGAGTATTTGGTTTTAATGGATTGACTAATATTCCTTGTATATGTTACGAAATCATCTATAGCTTAAGCAAAGTTAGTTATAAATATAAACAGAAATGTTATATATAATATATATATTAATTAATTTACATATGTAGACCCATATGCATATTTTGTTCCATTAAGCCGGCTTGGGAAAAAGAAAAAGATTTCAGAGCAAGCGATGTGTTGCTTAACGACCACAAGGCATCTCTATAAACATTTAAATATATATGCATATCTATAAATATACATATAGATATATATATACATATATATTTCTTTCAGTTGAGGTTTTCTGGTTGAACGGGTTGTGCTGAGAACCTGAACCGGACTTGGATATTAGACTCGTACGACGCATGAAATGTATGTCTATAATACATATTCGTTTGATGAACAATACAAAATATATATATATATATATATATATATTAATTAAGAGATAGCTTTGAAGATATGTTGGCGCTGTTACGTTTTCAGTGTCGATCTTCTTTTTCCGTTTTTGTTGTATTTTTTCTGTGAGTGTTTTGTGTTTCTTGCGTCTAAGATGTGCTAACAATTATTTATGCTTAAAGGTCAGCTAAACGGGTTTTTTATTTTGTCTCTCACTTTCGATTAAAATTTATGCCATTACGAATACTAATGTTGGGCTTGTTTCTGTTTCTGTTTCTGTTTTCGATTTCGGGTTGGTTTGTTGGCCACTTTTTCTTACTAGCCACATATTTACTTGTTGTTTAGCATGCTAGACAAAAGATCTGGGCAGCAAACTTGTTTTCAAAAATACTTCTGGAAGTATTGTTCCTATGGCTGGTAAGCCTGGCTGCACAAGCTGATCCAATACCAATACCGCCCCACCCCCTTGTTGCAGCTTCCCAAAAGGCAACAGGTGCTTATGCAAAAGTCAACAGCAACAGCAATAGCAACAACAATAACAATAACACAGCACAACAACAGCAACAACAGCAGCGTTCATAAACCAGTTGCCTGTTTTGCCAGCGCCAGAATAAATTTAAATGCGCACATGATCGGCACATGCAATTGGCTAATAACGGTAAAATGTGCAAGCCGCCGCCAAGTCAACTGAAGTCATGAGGGAGAGGCTTAGCTCAGTTCAGCTTAGCGCCCCACACACACACACACACACACACCCCCCACACACACCTTCTTCGCCCGATCGATTACCCCTTGTGATTGCCGCTAGGTATTGCTGCTGCTGCTGCTGTTGTTATTTTATTTTTATTTGTAGGTGTTGCTGTTGCTGTGGATGTGGATGTGGCTGTTGCCGGCGGGTTGCATCTTTTCGCATTGATTAGGGTCAACTGTGGCATGTCCAAGCGACTCTTTGCATTTCAATCGCCGCGCAACTTATGCAACTTATGCATGGAACGGTGAAAGGCGTTGTCGTCCGTGGTTGCTGTTGTTTCTGTTTGTTAGTGTTGTTGTTTCGGTTTTAATTATTTTTCTTTTTCTTTTTTCGATGTTGTGGGTGCGTATCGGTGTCGTGCCTGGCATTATTAACTTCTTCTATACGATTACCATCATCATGGTTACTTCTTAATCAAAATTCAAGTCAACAGTTGAGATCGTAGTTGGCGTTGGTGTTGGTGTTGAAGCTGGAGCTGGAGCTGGAGCTGAAGCTGGAGTGTGACTACATGTCCATGTCCAATGCCTGCCATGTCTATATGACATTTGGCGTCTCTAGTCGCTAACCGGTTTATAGCATTTGCGGGGACTGGGAAACTGCTAAAACGCTCTCAGAAACAATACGGCACATTTCTAGCCAAGCCCCGAAAAAGAGTTTCAGTTCAACAACAACAGCAACAACAACAACCTGTTATATAAGCAAACATTAGTTGCAAATTTATGATAAGGGAAACATCAGCCAAGCGCCGAGAATCTTTAAGTGGTTGGCGGAACCACTTGTTGTAATGATGCAGCATCATCATCATCAACATTATAAACAGCACTAAAGCGAAATAGCCATTAGCTGGTATGCTCGACTAACAGCTACCCTATGGCAAGCTTAAAAAAATACGACTAAAAATCGCTTCTTTTTTTCTTCTTCAAGTGGAAGTCGAGTGGAGGAGGGATGATAAGTTATTTGATAAGTGCCTTAAAAAGTAATCTGGCTAATAGTATATGGCCATTGTAGATGATAGATTCAATACGGCAATGTTTGGATATATATATATGCTTATGTGTATATTTGACGGGCTCACAGGGTATTTAGGGGACTGACGATTGGCCACTTTTGTTTGTGTGTGGAGTGTTCGTCGTCGAGAGCTTGGTCAACAAAACTTCACAGTTCAGTTAAAAGTTAAAAGTTTTTTCTGGTTTTAAGTATTTCGTTAACACATGGTCTGTTTTTTGTTTTTTCAATCTGTTTTTTATTTTTATTTCACTCTTTGGTTTATCACATGATTATGATTTGCATTTGCGGAATTAGTTCATGGCGATGGCGTCATGGGCTGAACTTCGTTATGTTGTACAAACAAGCTGAAAAGCGTTTTTTTTTTTTTTTTTTTGCCAAAAAAAATGTATATATGTTGCGCTGCCCCATGCCAAAACGGGTCACTATGCTAATTGCTGCATCTACAGTTTGAGTTAAGTATCGGTATGGGTATTGGTTATAGGTAAAGTCCATATACAAAGGGGGCGTTTCTAATGGTTAAATACAATTAAGAGTACTAAAAACGTGCGCATTTCTTGCTGTTGTTGTTGTTGTTGGTAACTGTTATTTGTATTTTGATTTTTTGTATTTTTTTCCTTTTAAATGTAGTTGTTGTACTTGGTGTTGTTGCTGTTGTCGCTAAAGTGGGTTCAATAACGGTGCATTGTGGCGACGACAAGTACGTGTGGCGTGTCACAGTTAAAGCCATAATCGAAGTCGTAGTCGTTGTCGCTGTCGTTGTCGTTGTTAAAGCCGTGGCCAATCAGTTAGTCAAGTCAGCGACCAGTCGCAAGTTCGTTGCCTGAGTCTTTTGATTTGTGTTACAGTTTCTGTTATTTGTTGTTGGCTTGCATTGAATTTGGCTTATGAAATGCATACACACACGTATTTGTCATACATACATACATATAAATACATATATATATATATATTTGTATGTGTGTGTGTGTATGTGTTTAACACCTTGTTGCCAATATGCACAGTATGGCAAAGTCCTTGAAAATAACGTTAAACAAAATAATATGGGTAAATTAATTTGTTGCTGGCTACATCAATAATCAATAATTGACAAACTGACAGGCAGAAATGCACATATTTATTACACACACATCTGTGCGTCTTTGTGTGCGAGTATTCTGGTTTGCCTTTTTGGCATGTACATGATCTGATCTCTCTTATTTAAATAATATTGCATAATGCGAGCGATTTGTGGCAAAAAAACAACAAAAAAAAAGACCGAAATAAAACGCATGTAAAACAACAACAGCAACAACATGACAAACCCCCGAAACGCAAGCGAAACTAAATTAAAATCCTGATCTTGCCGTCAAATGTGCGCTTGTTGCTGTTGCTGCTGCTTTTGTTGCTGTTGCTGGCGTTTTTTGCCTCTCTGTGATTAATTCCCCCACACGCTATAAGATTAACATACATATTAAAGAAAACTACAACTGGTGTAAATATATATCTATATATATATATATTATATGTGTTTGTGTTTGTGTATGTCTGTCAGCTTGCATTAAAAGTGCAACCGTTAATTTATAAGACAACGCCGCAGCAACAGCCCGCAGCCAGCAGCAAGCAGCAAGCAGCCATCAGCCATCAGCTAGCAGCAACCGTCAGAGCCGCAGTGCCTGATAATTAATCCAATATACTCGCACTTAATTTACCAATTCCCCTTCCTCCACAAGCACCTCCCACAACCTCCCCGATCAGTTTCTAGCTAACTTGCCATTTTGGTCGCCATGTGTTGCTGTTGAGCGGACGACAATAGCAACAAGAACAGCAACAACAACAACAACAACGGCAACAGCAATAGCATACAGCAGCAGCAGCAGCAGCAGCATCAGCATCAGCATCAGCTGGCGACCTTGAAACATTTCTTTCAATCAATGCAGCTGACAGCTTGACATACTGACAGACGGCTCGGACAGACAGACAAAGAAGACGCTCACTCGTCTTCTCACATTATGTGTGGCTATTGCTGTTGCTGCTGATTGTTGCTGGTTGCAACTGCAGCTGGGAATTGGCATTTGCCATTTCTTTGTGCCGGCAAATGCCACAAAGCAACGACAACCATAACAGCAACATCATTATAATGATCATCATGATTATTGTAACAAACTTTGGCATTTTGCTGTATGTATGTATATATATCTATTTATATACATATATATATATATATATATATATATATGTGTGTGTGTGTGTAAATGTGAGTTTTGAAACGTTGGCGTGTTAAAGTTCAGTTTTGGCATTCCGCTCACAGATTTGCTACACCTACTTTAACGCTGAAGTCGTGCCCAAAAATAAAATTTAGAGAAAATAACCCAAAAATTGAACGACTAGCAGCTGCTCTATTTTGAAATTTACACGGCATAGTCTCTTAATGTTAATGGTCAATAATTAATTAGTAATAATGCAATTCTTATGAATTCTCTGTTAAGAACAGCTAAAAAGTCTTGCGTATTTTCAAAAATCTTGTCTGGGTAATAAGGGTAAATAAGGCAACGAGATCAATAAAATGTTGATATGGGTAACTGGGTTAATTGAGCATGTTAAACGATTTCAGCTGCCAAAGTGTGTGTTTTCAACCAATTTGAAAATGATGCAAATAATATTTGTAATTTCCTCATGCTGTACTATAAATATATGTTGGTATTTCCAGTTGGGTTTAACAATATCGAATAAGTATTTCAAACACGTCAGCAACAAATAAATGTGCTAGTTTTGCGGCAATCACAGGCAGTTTTGCATTCAAAAAAAAAATAAATAAATAGGATTTATGTGAAAACAAAAAAACAAAAATGTATGTAAAATATTTTTAAATACATATTTCTCACTCACATGTTGAAGTACTTCATTTTGTCAGTGTATATGTGTGTGTGGTGTGTGTGTATTTGTAAAACTTGAATTTGAAAAAAAAAATATTTGATATGAAAAATTTGAAAACGCGCGAAACGAACAAAAAATTGCACGACGATTAATCGAATGGAAGACGCACGGGGTATATTCACTGAGGACTGGAAACTGAGGACTGGAGACTGAAGATTGGAGACTGGTGAATGGAGACTGAGTCTGGGCACAACTGTTTGTGCTGCTTGAGCCACGATCACGATCGACTTCTCGAGGCTGACTGAACGTTACTTATGCCGTGTGCATGGAGTTAACCTACGGCCACCCAATATTTTGTGACCAACAACAACCGTCCGCTGCGGCGCTGCCAGTAAGCCAGAGCCAGCAACAACAGCAACACGAGCAGCAACAGCAGCAGCTGCGATTGTGACGCAGACGGCGACAGCGACAGCGACAACAGGTTGGTGCCCGCCCTAATCCAAGCAACCAACTGTGCCAACTGGAGGAGCTAGCCAGCTAGCCAGCTAGCTAGATAATCGGCCAGTTGCAGGGTAAGTGGTGGGTGGCGGGTGGGGGGTGGCGTGTGGCGGCTGGCGGCTGGCTTTGCTATTGACGCAGGCTCCACGCGTAATTATATGCAAAGAGTGCAGGAGCACTTCTGGTTTCAACCAATTTGTCATTGCTGCTGTTGTCGACGCCAAAGCCAACGGCAACGCCAACGTCAACAGCGACGCTGACTGCGCAGCCGACGCCACTTGTGGCTTTTGTGCTAGTGACAGGTTTTCTTTGGCTTTCGGCATTCGACGACGATGGCAACGATGGCAACGACGACAGAGACGCAGTCGCTGACGCTTGGCTTTTAAATTTGGCTTTTATTTTATTCTACCCTGCAATCATACAAACATCTCAAAGTGGGTATCATATTTATATATATATATATATATATTTTATATACATGTACAAGCATATGTTGGGCATTCCGGAGAAGAAAAAAGAATGCTAAAGCTGAAAATAAAAAAATAGTCTTCTGACTGCACAAATTCTAGTTTTGGAATGAGAGCAACTTTCAACTTGTTTGTAGAGATTGTCGATATGTATATATATATATTTATCGTTCAATCTCTTCGTATGATCGCATTACAGGGTATCTGTAGGTCGCCTATTCATTCGTTTTTATGCTGTGGCTTATACATACTTTACGTATGAATTTCTTAAACTAATTTATTAACGTTGTGCCAATTGTTGTTATAAAAATGTCGCTGGTAAATCCCGAGCTTGGAGACCAAACTCAGACTGGGACCCGAAACGAAAGGGCTGCCAATTAAGATGCGGCATGTAAACAAAAAAGCCAGAAATTTATCGATTTACATATGCATATAGAGGCCAATCATCTCTAACTATCTTTCATATATCTTATGCCCATCTTATATCTATATATTGAATGATTTGCAGATTTGTATAATTTGGTAGATTCGTTAGCCATTATGATTGGCCTTGAACTAAATTAAAAATACTGGGCGCGGGCGAAACTTTAATGACAATAATAATAGTAATAAACTAATCAAGCTATGATACCCATTCGAATGAGGGTCTTTAAAAATCGACAGCATAGGGGCAGCAAACCGACGGAGAGGTGCCGCCTAATTATCATCTTAATGATTGACTCTTTGAACTTTTGCAAATGTTCTGCTAACCAGCTTATAGCTCTGACTTCAATTGCATCTTTAGCTGTAGCTGTAGCTGTAGCTGTGACTGGACCTAGTGCAGCTCGAACCCCAGCTAATTATTTGATCACTAACTCTAACCACAAAACTGGTCAACGACGAGGCCATTTCTACCTTGAACTATTAAATGAAAATGTCTGCAGGGTTAACGTGGCAGGGCGGGTCAGGTCAGGTCAGGGTAGGGCAGGGCAGGGCAGAGCGAGACATAAAACTTTGCTTGTAAAACACATACATTCATACATACTCATATGTACATAAAACCAACAACATAATGAAAACTTGTTAAATAATCATCATCACAACAACATGCATTTGCATTGCAGAAACGACACTGAACCGTATTTTTTTAAGAAAAAAAAAAAGAAAAAAAAGAAGACGTCAGACTCGGATCTGGCCATCGCCGATATATTGCTGAAATATTTTCAATCATCATCTTTAGTTGGTTTTGCCTGATCCTTAACTAGTTCACAGTTTTAATTGCATTTTTGGGCCTTTGATCATTACATAGTTATCTGTGCTGATGGTATATAAAAGCCATTGCTTTAAATAGATTAAATTTTCCGTTGAGATATGCTCTTTTCCTAAAATTTGGAAACGAATCATTTATCATTCCTCTCCATCAGAACTATAGAGAATTGTTCATAAAATGCTTGAGAAATTGATGACTTCTCAACTGCAACATCTTTGTAAATCGCGGGTTTATAAAATATAGATCTACTACCACCAACTTATTCGAATTTCATTTCAATTCATTTCTTTTGTTATTGAGGGCTTTCTAAACAAAATGGAAACGAATTTTATTTACACGGATTTCAGTAAGGCTTTTGATTGCGCAAATCACTCTTAATCTCCCTCACAACTCTTAGAACAGAGAAAGTGTATTTTGAGTTTGTTCAGGTTGCTTCCGGATTACCATAGATCCACTGACAATTCCTATATTACTAAAACGCTTCATACTTCTACACTGCTTGTAATCTTGATGATATGGGTCTTGGCTTCATCAGGATAAGATGGAATCCGCACAAAAACCATTTCAATTGTTTGCCATAGTGGATTTTGACTTATTAATAAATTTTCAATTCTTTTTAGATACACTTATAAATAGTGATATTGATTTTTCTGGGTTAATCACTCAACTTAGTTTTGTAGCTTCGATCAGAAATATAAGGCATTTTCTAGCTTTTTCTCTTCAATCTTGTAGTTCGAAACTCATTCCGGATCCAATACTCAAATTATAATCGAAGGTGGGTCATATTTAGCTTGGGTTAGCCGTTTAACAAGCTCGTTAGTACGTCGACGACCAGGTCACATAAAAAACGAATGAAACCTTTGTTGAAAACCCAATCGAATGCAAATGCAAATGTAAGTGCAACGCAATCCAATCCAAGCCAATCAATATAATAAAATATGTTCGACCGTGCTTATCTTTTATTCATACAATTTTCTATGCATTACAACGATTTAATAACTATTATGATAAATGCCGATGATGCCCAATCAGAGATTCAGAGACAGCGCCACAGACAAAAGAAACATAGCCCAACCCAGACACGATAATTTTGGATACAAGAGATATACAGATAAATGTCAATTCGGAGAGTGTTGCAACAGGGCTGAGGCGCAATCTTTCAGATAGATTATCTTTGCATCTACCATAGAGTTTTGACCAATGCAGTCGGCTGCCAAAGTGATATACTCCCTATATTTGTGTAAATCTTAGTCAATATTGTACTTACCGTTTGCTGAAAGATTTCCCTGCAGACTGAATGAAAGAGAAAAAAACATGGATTTATTGAAATACTGCATATGATATGATAACAGATGATATGTAACACAATTTTCAATTGTTGTAAGTCCTCTCAATATACACATATATATGAAACTGCAACGCGATTTTTTTTAAAATCATTTTTTTAACATTTATTCCCAATAATTCAGACTTTAACGGAACTAAATTTAGAGCCATGTTAACATTGTAATACAAAGTAGGAATAATATAAGTGTATATGTATGTGTATATAATATATTTACATATATTTTGTGATTATGTTTAGTCATTGACGATGCTGACGCCACGTAACCGTTTCTTAAAGCTGTTCAGGAGCCGATTCGACAGTCTCAAGGTTTGTATGCTGTTGCTCAATGCTGCTGGGCTGCTTGACATAAAATAAGAAAACTCGATGTTTGTGTGTGTGTGTGTGTGTGATGGAAAAAAACAAAGAAATCATTGTGTGTTGTGTGTGTGATGGTAAAAAAAAAAACAAAGACAAAAAAAATAAATCAATGGTAAAACAGGATTAACGAAAATTGAAATGCGATAGGCAAGAAGAAAGAAGGGTAACTAGAATAGGACACAAATTAATAAGGATACAAACGTGTTGATAATAATTGATTTTTGTACACATTACTTTATTTAGTCGTAGAATTGCGTTTGGGGAAATCCATTCGATTTTAAGAGACATTTAATTACATACGTTGTTAAACTAGAAATAGCATTAAACATAAACGTAATACAACTAATAATATAATAATAATAATAATAATAATAATAATAATAAAATAATAATAAAAGAAAAGCAGCGCTTTCAAAGTTCTTTGTTTTTGTTTTTGTTTTTTTCTTTTTCTTTTTCGTTTCTACTAAATGCTAAAAGAAAGTCAAAAAATATGTAGAATGTTTGTGTATTTGTAGTTTCGATTAATTGTTAGATTTTGTTGATTTGCTTTTGATTCAGTTTCGTTTCGTAATTTTTACCCAATTTGATTTTTGATATAACAGTTTCTAGGCACACTCCAGCTACAACCTAAAACATACGTATATATATATATATATATATTTATATATATATTTAGAAAATACGTCCAAGACTTATAAAAAAGTGATTTTGCGATAAATGCATGTATTTTCCCCCTCAGCTACACAATTGCAGCGCCTACACTTTATACAGTTACAACACACACATGCAGATGCACACACACTCACACACACACACACACTCACACTCACACACATACTTGAGAAAAACAAAAGAAAATAATACAGAATGCTAGAGTATGATAGATTCGATTAGACTTAGTACGATTGCTGCCCGTTAAAAAAAATACACACACACACACACTCACTCACACACACACATACAATGAAAATAAATAATTTGTTTAACTTAAGAACTAGAACATATTTGATATTTAATACTTAGATGTAGCCTTTACACAAAAACTTTTGTGCCGTTTTTCTTATCGTTTTTTTTTTGTTTTTTGTTTTTCAATTTTTCAGCGTTTACTTGTCATATATCGTTATGTCCCTCTATTTATTCCCCTATATTTCTGGCATATGCGTTTCTAGCTCTTAAGTAACTGCGATATGGTATTATAGTTTTAGTTTAACTTCTGGAGTTGTTGTTAGTTGATTGGAATCCAAGTGAAATATTTGTAACTAACTTTAGCTGCCATGCGACTTAAGAATAGTATATCATATATAGATATACATATATATATATATATATGTGTACATTATACGCCTGTCTATAGCTATACGTCAGTTCCCTCTTAACTCAAATACGTTTCAGTTTTATATAAGAACAACAACAAAAATTTGGCCAATGAAATTCGCTAAAACAAAACTACAAGGCACATACATACATGTATATATATATATATATATATATTTACATATATATATATACACTCTATACGTATATCAATAACACACACACATATGTTCAAACACATATATAGTATATATAAGTTAATTAGAATTTTTAGTTCGACTCTTGTTGCTAAAAGTTTTACATAATTACAGCGCATCTTCTACTCGTTATCGTTATCGGTCTATCTTTACCGATCTATCTTAGCTCGTCCTCGTAATAATTTTCTCGTTACTTTGCCCTTGCCTTTGGGTTGCTTAAGAACTAACAAAATGTTGGGTAACCAGACAAAATACAAAATAAAATATCCTTGTATATGCATATGTGTGTAATTGTATGTTTTTTTTACACATGAATAGGCAGCTACATGACATGACCTATATATATGTATATATATATATATATATATATAGTATATGGTCTACATACATAAGTACAACTATTTTACGAACCTAAGGATTATATAATAGAGAACTCAGTTATCGTTTGTTGTTTTTGTTTTTGTTGTTGTTGTGGAAGTTGACGTTGCCATTTTTAGCAAAAAAAAAACAAAAAAAAATTATTTGATATTCTTTTTTGATTGTTAATAAAGCGGTTTTAACGAGTTTCACAAATTGGAAGTAAAAGGCCAACTTGACATTTATATAGCTGCAGTTGTAGTTTGTAAATCAATCAAAAAATATATGTGTATATAGGTAGGTATATATGGTAAATAGGTAGGATAGTAGTATGCATGTATAGCGTTAAATTAAGTAAATATTTTTGTTATAAGTAGTTGGTAAGTATAAACATTAGATACAATCTTCTTGTTAAAGCAGTCTAAATATATATCGTTAGAAGACAACTTGTTTTTCTCTCCATATTCCCATTCTACATATTCTCATTTTTTTTTCCGGTGCAACGCCTCCACATGCCTCCACAATTCTATAACATATGTGCCACATCTCAACTCGTTTCTCTCGTTTCGCTCGTCATCTTCATTGTTTCAACGAAGAGTTGGCCGGCAGCGTGGCGGAGCGTTGCACATTCGCCGCGTATGGCTTGTAAGCGGAACGTGTCGATTGGCTGCATCAGCGAGTAGCGAGTAGAGAGTAGCGAGCAACGAGCAACGAGTATGCGAAACGAGTGTGAGCAACGAGAAGTTCATGATGATTTTGGTGATTATGATGATTGAGATTGTTAGCGAGCGAGCGAACGTACGAACGAACGAACGAACGAACGAACGAACGAACGAACGAGCGAGTAGATCGAACAAGCGAGAAAAGAAAAATACGAGATTTATTAGCTTAAGATTAGACACACAAAAAGCCTTTAATTAGCAGCGAGTTTTTAAATTATGTATATATATATATATAAATATTCTTTTTTTTTGGCAACGTCAATTAGAGGGGGACGGGGTGGGAAACGCGGACGGTGTTAGCGTGTAGCTTGTGTGTGTGGGTTTTTTTGTTTTTTTTTTTTTGTGGGGGGTGTTGTTGGTGGGTTGGTGGACCAGCTGTTTTACCTGGGCGATATCTTGCTGCCATCGGTGCTGTTGTTGTTGGATGAGTTCGCCTTGTATCCACTCTTTTGGATACGCTTCAATAGTCGCGCCACCCACAACGATTGCTGCTCGGGCGAGTCGGCCAGCAGCAGCATATCACGTGCGCTGCGAGGATCGTGGTGCAACTTGCAGGGCGCCAGTGGATCATGCTTCTCGACGTGCTCCTTATGTATCTTATTGCGGCATCTACAACAAAAATTATATATATATATATATATATGTATATATATGTAAGTTATAATGTAACAAAACGAAAACTTACCTCTTGCATTCGTAGGCCGCCGGCGGCTTAAACAGTTGCCACAGCGGCTTGGAGCATAAATCACAGAACGTTGGCGTATGGTACGTAATGTGCACAAACTCATGACCTAGACAGAGACAGACACAGAAAGAGAGAGAGAGATATATATATAAGAGAGATATATGTAAAAAAAAAAAAAGTACAAAAAATAAAAATAAATCTGTACAATTTTGTAATTAAAAATTGATTGAATTTTGCACCAATCTTTGACCAATTCACAAATTAGATTTGCAGCCAATAAGTCGAATTAAAAAACCATTAAAATATATATTTTTCTTGAAGGATAACGTTTCACTTTAAATATATATACATTTTTTGTTTTGTTTTTTTGTTTTTTGGTTGCTTACGTTGGAACTTTCCATTTGCAAATTTTAGGTTGCTTTTTAAGCGTGGAAAAACGAAAATAATCATGACTGATTGAATTAAGCGCTAGGGAATCACAAATTCTTTACGTGTATATATCATAAATAAACCGTAGTTAAAGTTTGAGATAGATTTTAGTAGATATATATGTATATATATATAGTATATGGTATATGGCAGGCGGGCCAGATGGGCAGGCAGGCACTTACCCTTGTGTGTTATGGTGCCAGGTCGCTCCTCATTGCTGCTGACATGCAGCGTCGCATCGAGCTGCTCATCGGGACGATGGGAGGCGCCCTCGCCGGCGTACAGCAGCTGGAAGATGCGCGGAATCTCTTTGGCATCGGCGCGTATGACATCGCCTTGGGTAACACTGCGCACGTGATACACTTTGCTGTTGAGCACAGAATTATTTCGATTAGTCAGTCTATTGCCGTCTATTGAATGGCAGATAACGAAACTAACCTCAGATCGAGTATGAGAACGGGATCGGTTGTATTATTCTTGTCGATCTCCGAATTGTAAAAGATGATTTTGCGCGACGAGACGATCACATATTGACGCTTCCAGCTTTGGCCGCGACGGCTTTTCTGCTTATTTGGAACGGATAGGACGCCTTCGAAGACCGAGTCCTGTGTAAGTGAGAGCAGAGAGGAGTGCTAAATCAGAACGAGCGAGTAGCGAGTAGCGAGAACAAGAACAGTTTCGAATAGAGAAAACGAGACGAAAGCAACGAAACGAAAAACGAAACGAAAAAGAAAGGTGTATGTGTATTTGTGTAAGTGTATTTGTGTAAGTGTATGTGTGTGTGTGTGTGTGTGTATGTCTGTGTGTGTGTGTGTGTGTGTGTGTGTGTATGTCTGTGTGTGTGTGTGTGTGTGTGTGCATGGGAGCATACCTGACTATCCTCGGGATCATTATCGGCGGATGAAAGCGAAGCTGTCTCATTGAGTTTGCTCTGAAGATGCTCAATTTCGGTTGCCTTGCAGTCAATCTCCATGTTCATCTTCTGCTTGAGCTGCTGATCCTCGACGGCCTGCTGCTGCAGATCCTGACACTTGAGTAGCATCTGGTTGAACTTTTCGCGCTCTTGCGACAGCTCCTGCTGCAACCGACGCATCTCCTTCTCCTTCTTGCGCAGCTCAGCCGTCGAACGGGCTTTGCTCTTTTGCTCTGTAAAATTGTTGCACAAACAAACATATTCGATTGAGATTCTCGAGAGAGAGAGAGAGAGAGAGAGAAATTCTCGAGATACTCACTTTGCAGGTCGGAATCGCGACGATTCATCACTTCGGCCAATTTGGCGACGGCCACCTGTTTGAGGAGCACCTCGTTCTTGCACTTCTCGGTTAGCTTGACGATCTCCTCATCCTTGGTGGTGCGCTGTTGCTGCAGCTCGTCGAGCTGTTTCTTGTGCTGCACCAGCTGATCGTCGCACTCGTTGCATTTGAGCTTCAGTTTTTTGTGGAGATCGGCTTCCGTTTCCTTGAGCGTGGCTAACGTTGCCTCCTTGGCATTGATCTCGTTGCGATGCTTCATGATGAAGTCCTTCAGTTCGAGCTCCTTAATCGTTTTCTCCTTCTCGAGATCGGCGACCGTCTCCTCGGCTATGGAGCGGGCAAGTGCCTCGGAATCGGCGCGTGCCACAGCCACCTGGACTTGATGCTTGAGCGAGATGCGCTCCTCCTCAAGATCCTCGATCTTGGACAGACGTTCGGCGCTCTCCTCGCGATTCTCGTTGGCCTGCGTCTTGTAGAGGCGCGAGAAACACTGCTCTGCCTCGAGCTGCGCCTGCAGTTCCCGATTGTTGGCCAGCGCCTCGTGATGGGTGCCCTTCAGCTGTGTCAGATCCTCCTCGAAACGACGCTTCGCCTCGCGCTGTGCGGCCAGCTCCTTTTGCAGTTGATTCTCGCGCGAGCGCAGGTGCGCCACCTCAGAGCTATGCAGACTCAGCTCCGAGAGCAGCGAGTTGCGTTTGGTGTGCTCCTGTTCCAGCTGGGACTGCAGTGCGGCCACCTTTTCCGATTCCTGACGGCATTCACCTTCGAGCTTCTGCAGACGCAACTGGATCTGTCGATAGTCCACCGACAGCATGCTCAGCTGTCGCTCCTTCTCCTGCGAATTCTGATCGGCCTTGATGCGGGCGGATTTCTCCTCGTTGAGCTTGGACTGGAGCGCCTTAACCTCTTGCAGATTGGCCTCCTCGCGCGACACCAGACGTGACTTTTCCGTCTCCTGGTGCGCCTTAACCTCCTGCTGGTAGCGTCCCTGTGCCGCCTTTAGCTCAAAGTCGAGACTGGCGTGCGTCTTCTCCAGTTCGCTAATCTTCTCCAGCAGCGATCGATTGTCCTCCTGCACCTTTTGCTCACGTGTCAGCGATCGTTCCAGATCGTTGGCTAACGTTTGCATTTTATTCTCGGCCTCCTTGTGCAGCTCCTTGAGCTGTGATCGCTGATTCTTCTCCTGCACAACGTGCGCCTGCAGTTCGGCATTCTCCTGGCCGAGCTCCTCCTTGTGCTTCTGCAGTGTATCGATCATCTCGACCATGTCGCGCACCTTCTCTTCGTGCGTCTTCAGCGTGAATCCCAGCTCGGCATTTTGTTTCTTCAGCTTTTGCGTTTGCTCCGTTTCGGTTTTAAAGCTCAGCTCCATGTCATGCAGCTGCTTCTCCAGGGTGAGCACCTTCTCATTGATGTTCAGATCACGCGTACGCGTCTTTAGCTCATTCTCCAGCTTGCGCTGCGTGTCCGCCATTTGGGCCTCGGCCTTCTTACGCAGCTCGATCTCCACCTCGACCTTCTGCATGGCCACCTTGTAGTTGTGCTGCCTCAGCGCCAGATCCTTCTCGTATTCGCTGGCAATGCGCTGCAGTTCGGCCTCCCGCTTTGTGCTCAACTCGATCTGCTGCCGCAGACTCGTGTCCTGCTGTTCCAGTGCCTCGGCACGTCCGCGTTCGCGTTCCAGCAGCGCCTCCAGCCGTTTCAGCTCATTGGAATTTGAGGGGCGATGGCGATGATTGTGGCCGTGATTGTTGTTGGCATTGCTGCTGCTGCTGTTGACCGATTGCGATGCCTTGGACTCGGCGTCGACGGTATCGCTGGAGAGCAGCTGATAGTCGCCCGTGTAGGTGAAGCCAATGAATGGCAAATGATTGCCATCGAAACTCTTGGGCACCGGGAACACCTCCTCCGTCTTCTCATCGCGCTCAATATCTTCGAAATTGCGCGTATCATCGTCGGATGCCAGCTCCGGCACCACTGGCGGTACACTCTCGCGTATATTGTCAAAGGACCAGGTGTCGTTGCGGAAAAACGGATGCGCCTTAATGTCCTCAATGCCAAAGCGACCCAGGCGCTGTGTGCGATCGGTGAGGAAGGCTCGAATCAGCGCCTTGGCTTGCTCACTGATCTCCACCTCGGCGGGAAAGCTGAGCGAATTCTTGTGATCCATTATTTTGCCATAGGTGCCCACCAGCGAGTCCGCATAGAAGGGCGTCTCACCGAACAGCATCTCATACAGAAATATGCCCACCGACCACCAGTCACATTCGCGACCATATTCATTGTCGACACCCTGCGATTGCAGCACCTCGGGACTGATGTAGTCCGGTGTGCCGACAGCATTGCTGGACACCACCTGTCCGTTGGCGCCCATGCGCATGCAGGTGCCGAAATCGGCTAGCTTCAGATGGCCATAGCTGTCCAACAGCATGTTGTCCGGCTTGACGTCCCGATGCACAAAGCCCATGTTGTGTATGGTGTCCAGTGCCAGCACCACCTCCATCGTATAGAATATGGCCCATTTCTCTGGTATCTCATAATCGCCCATTAGCGAAACAATATCACCGCCAGGCATAAAATCCATCACCATGTAAAGATATTTGCTATCCTGGAATGCGAAATGCAATTGAACAATCCACTCGGAGTTCGCATGTGCCATTATGTGACGCTCCTCCCAAAAGAAGGCGGAATCTGGTCGTTTCATCATCTCGAATTTGGATAGACGCTTCATGGCATACACTTGGCTGGAAGACTTGTGCCGCACCAGCTGCACCTCACCAAAGGCGCCGGCTCCGATTAGCTTAATGAAATCAAAATCATCCACATTCATCCGCAGCTGATTGATTCGCTGCGCCAGCGGCTTATCTGCAGGGAAAAACCCAAAACAAAAATAAATAAAAAAAGAAAAGTTTTTTCAATATTCGAAATCATTTTAGTTGACACTACTCACATTTATATGCATATTGCTCAATGTTCTTGAGACGCTTAAGCGAATCGTGCTCGCAATCGCTAACCAGTGCCGATACCGTATCCAGCAGGCAGTCCACGTTGCATATGCTGGTCGGATCGCGCATCTCGCGCTCCAGCGCCGTCGCTCTGGAAGAGGATAATGGGTTAAAAAGTTAACAACCGATCGGCGAGCAGACAAATTTCCGATCTTTGTCAAAACAGAAGCGATAACTTTCTTTTTATCATTCGATTTGATTCGAATTCGATTTGTACAATTTTAAAATCAAAATTTCAATAAGTACCATTATTAAAAATATGAAAAATCACAACAAAAAAAACCAAAACAATTTGTGTGTTGTATAGTATTATTAGGTCATTGCCAAGATATGATAGCACACTTCCGACAGCGAAAACAAAATAAAAAAAAAAATAAAAAAACGGGAAAAAGTGTTTACACAAAATAAGTTGCGTAATGGCAAACAGAACATCATCAGCTCCACCAAGAGCAAGTCATTCATGTAAATAAATTGCGGAAAATCGGAATTGATTACTCACAAACGAACAGACAACAACCACTTTGCCAACCACCCTTCCCTCCCCTTTCCCTTCCTAACGCACCACCTCCCCCCAAAATACAAACAAATGAACAGCAGCCAGCAGAAGCTAAAGGAATTTCATAGAAATTATGGAATGAGTCACAAAACACGAAACTCCAACTGGCTTTTTTTTTTGTTGTTCAGTTTTTTTTATGGTGCACCGACAGACAAATGGGCGCTATTTAAGTAAAAATTAGAAATTATTGTGCCCGGTTGATAGTCTGGCAACCTGGCAACCTGGCAACCTTTGGACAAACTCTGGCAACTTTTCAGCATATTTGAGAATCTATTCATTTTCGAAACAACTACAACAAATGAAGGCATGTATTTATTTATTTATGTATGCATGTATGGTATGCATGTAGATTCAGATACAGTTGCAATCAACTGCCAGAGAAGAAGAACAACAACAACAACTTTATCGCAAGAACCGAACTCAACTGTTGACTTTGATAATTTGCTGGAAGAATGCTTAAGCGTGTGTGTGAAAATGTTGATATGACTTGCTTATGCGAAGACGCGTCGCGCTTTCTTTTAGTGCATATGGACAGATGGACACACAGACAGACAGACAGACAAGCAGACAGACAGACAGACAACAATAGAAAGATGAGCATGTTATTCCGTCCGTTGGTATTAGCCATGCAGTCAGCGGGTATTATAATTATGTCATGCAACATGTAACAATATATATATATATATGTAATTATATATATAGTTATGTATATATTGATATATCATTTTTTATGCATGCTTTTTTATTTTTCTCTCACTTTTTTGAAAAAACTTTCAACTAAAAATGGATCATTGCTTTCAAAAACAGAATATTATTTTATTGTGCATAGCATGTAATATTACTTATTTGTTGTATCTTGCGAATTTATTAACAATATTACAATTTAAGTTGCATCTGTTTAAAATTTGAACAACAGCTTTCTAACATCGGATATCATAGCATCTTCAGTCATATATATTTAATAGGAAATCGATAGTAATATGATATATATATATATCGAATCTATGACATATCTGCCTGCAAGAGTATTTAATTCCTGGCGATAACAGTTTAGTTTAGTTGACGATGTTGTTGTCAGTTGTTTTCTTGAATGAATTCAAGAAAATAATGCAAATAATCCGTACTTGATTTATGCCATCAATTTTGTTTGTTTCTTTTCCAAATGAGTTGTATATTTGTATTTCAGTAGATTAGTATTTCTTATACGTGAAACATACGCAAATCTAAAGTATGAAAATGATGTTTACAATTGCATACCAAATATATATTTTTCTTTCTCGATTTCAAAAATGTTGAACGATTTGTTTTGATTCTCGAATCTTTGGTAATTAGCCGAAAAGCAATTTTGTCTATACAAGTCCATAGGTAAGTCAGTAAGTACAGATCTGTGTTTGTCTCTATGTTTGTATGTAAGTTAAGATTGTGGCACATGGCGCAGATCACACGAAGCGTTGCGGATACTGAAAAGCCGAGAGAGAGCGAGAGAATCAAGCGAGGAGAGAGAGAGAGAGAGCGAGGGAGAGAGAGAGAGAGAGCGAGGGAGAGAGAGAGAGAGAGAGAGAGAGAGAGAGAGAGGCAGAGTGTCTCGTTTTGTGTCTCAGAGTATGGCTGTTGTCGAGTCCACAATATAGACCCGTTGACAGACGGCGCAAAATTGATACTAAAAGGTGTTTGAATTGTTGTGATTTCATCATCACCACTTACGGCATGACAGAAAAACCAAAAACAAATCACAGCAACAGCAACAGCAGCGCCAACAACAACAACAACATACTTGGAAAAGTGGAATTTTCAAAAATGCTGCGATGAATTTTTATTTTTTTTTATGTTTTGGCAATGGCAACAACAACATAATTATTAACAACAGCAACAACAGCAACAAACAACAGCCAGCATTCAGTACGAAAAATAATAATATATAATAAACAACGACGACAACATTATCGTCACCTAGAGACAATATAATTGTAAATTTAATTTATGCACGCACCCAAATTGAGACAAGGCGCTGCAGCTAAGCATTTAATTTCATTTCATTTGATTTATTTAATCGCGTTAAACGCTTTTTCAAGCTACAAATTTAGCTTGTTTTTCTTTTGTGAATAGACAGAGAGCGAGAGAGAGCGACAGAGAGAGAGAGAGAGAGAGAGATAGAGAGAAGCTGTCACACAATTGTATGCATGATAAATATTAGCACACTTTGCCCGCTATTACGCATTTTATTGCCAGTTTCTAAATGCAAAACCTATTTCCGTGCCAATGAAAATGCAAACAGGCAGCGCGTATTTTGCTGGCTGTGTGTGTGTGTGTGTGTGTGTGTGTGTGTGTACAGCCTTAACTCTTAACGTTGAAATGAAATCTGATTATTAATCTTTGATATATAAGCCAACGAAATGCTCAAGTATAAAATGAGAATTGATTTCGCTGAAGGTTGAATTTTTGAGTCGAGGAACAACTGTCTGCCATTTATAAGCATCAACTCTGTCGTTTCAATTAGGCAACGATCACTGTATCTGATACATATATATATATATATATATATATATATATATATAAATATATTTTAATGGCCAAATGCGCAACGTGCAAATGTGCAATGCAATTGGCGTATCTGCTTTTGTTCTAGCCAAATGTTTTACCACCGCTGCAGCATTTTAATGGCCAAATGTATTTTGTGCAGCACTCAACTATTTTTTTGTTTTTTTTTTGTTTTACGTAAACACGCACAGCGCAGCAAGCAGAAAGCAGAAAGCAGCGAGATGTAATGCATTATTAAAGTCAAGAATTTGCATGCATTCTGCAGATGATACGCAGGCGTAACAATAACAATAACAATAACAATAACAATAATAACAACAGCAACAACAACAATCGTACCGTTCCGGCTCAAACAAGTGGAGAGCAGGGGGCATACCCCACCACCACATCTTGGCCAGCAATTTTGGGTGGGCCCTGCTCCTGCCGCTGGCCAAGACTATATAAATATATATATATATATATATATATATATATATATATATATAGGTATATATCTATATATTTATTTGATGGCGATTGCGATTTGGTTGGAAACGCGTTTGACGCGCTGCGATGCGCCGCCTGCAACTGACAACAGAGACAAAACGCTCTGCGTTTTGGCCAGTTGCAATTTTGTTGTTTCGACTATTTGGTTTCGTTTTTTTTTTTTTTGGTTTTGTTTTTTGGCTTTTTTTTTTCGTTTTCATTTGGTTTGCTTACAAATTTTAATGCGAAAATGGCAAATTTATGAGAAGTGGCCCAAACGGTCGGTCAAACCGTTTTGCTCACTCGCTTGTCAATTTGATTGCCGCCGCTGCTTTGAAACACATATGCTTATGGAAGGTGTTTGGCACTGATGTATATTTTTGTTTTTCGCTTTTCGCTTTTCGTTTTTCGTTTTTTTACACTAAATTTGTAAATCTTAACTGAACAAATCTCAGCGAACACTCGATTTGACAATTAGTTGAACACCAGTTGCGTGTCCCGCCTCACCTCAATTTGCCTGATCGTGTTTTCTTTTGTTTTGTTTTGTGTGCTGATAATACTCACCGACGCCGCCTTTCCACATCCATGTTTGATTATTTGCTAAACCTCCTGTCTTCGACTCGTCGCTCGTCCTGTTGCCAACCGTGCAGCATGCAACTGGGTTGTGTCCACGCCTCGTTCTTTCTACTGGGGCCTTTGTTAGCTGTGTGGGCGTTAGCAGCACTGTAAAACATATATGTTTTATTATTAAATATATATTATCATCATATATCATCATTAACGGTGCTCGCTTGCTAATTGCAACACTTCAACACCTAGCTCATTTCACAAACAGTAGATTGTCTAATATATTGTCATAATTCTCATTAATGTACAACTAACAATATTTAACAATCATCTAAATGCACAAGCAAATTGCATTTGGAATATATTAAAATTAATAATATATAAATTGTTAATTGTAAATTGTAATTAACTTGGGAGCACTGTATAAATCGTACACGCTTGGCAATATATGCACATATATAGATGGCTGATCCTTGGACTGGGCTTACCTGCTGCTGTGTGCCCGCCCCCCAAAGCTGTTCCTGGCTGCTACAGCTCAGTTGAATGTCGTACAGGATTTTTAGAGCTGCAGTAAACAAAAAAGAAAACATATAATACCAATTTAAATTTGTTTGGTTGCTTCAGCTTCAGCTTACCTGTCTAGTCAGCTGAGGAAGCACAGCTACAGAGAGGGTGAGAGGGGGTGCGGTGCGGGATGCAACGGAAACGGTTCTGGGCAGAGATGAGTAGTTTTTTGTTGTTTATGTTGTTGTTGTTGGTGTTGTTGGTGGTGGTGTTCTTGTTGTTGTTGGCAGACGATGAGGTCACGAGCGTTGTTAAACCACTTGAGGATTCAAATAAACGGTTAGCCGTTAGTATGCCTAGGCGAGAGCAGGCCGTCGTTGGCCAACGCCACATACGGGCTACGATCGGATCAGCAGAGCTGCCAGCCAGCCAGCCAGCCAACAAGCCAGCAAGTATTGTGATTATATATGTATATTTATTGCAATGTCCTTGCCGTTTATTTGATGTTTGACTTGGCACTTTTTATTTATGATTTATGTATATTTGTGATTGAATTTGTTGTTGTTGTTGTTGCTTGAAGTACTTTTATGTGTGTGTTTTTTTCTCTGTTTGGCTATTTGGCTGCAATTTTTGGCGAAACAAGCAGCAACAGCAGCAGCAGCAACAGCAGCAGCAGCAGCTCGATGTCGTTGTGTTTGTAAACATGCAATGTGTGGCACATCGATTGTTGACTGCGCTGTGCGCATGCAACAGTTGCAAATTATTGATTTTGGCCAAATGTTGCCAAACACTTGCGTTATTCGCTTTTTGTTTTGAGGATTATTTCAGGAGACACAGGGCCCAAATCCAAATCCAAATGGCAGCGTCACAGCAAATCGTTCACCTATTTACGATCACACTAATTTTTGCCACCGAAATATACCAAATGGCAATTCAAAGCAAAAGTGGTCACATGCTACATTTTTATTTTTTGGTGTTTTTGGTATTTTAATGTCAGTATTTTTTGTTGTATATTTTGAATACATGATCATACATGTATGATAGTTTCCCATTCAACTTTTTTTATTGTTTGCTAAATTAATCAATGGAATAGCAAAGGATTTTATTTGCATTAAATTAAATTACATTAATATGCAAAAAAAATACAGCTGTTGCTGGAAAGTTGAATGGGCTGAAGACCAATCGAATTTTAATCGAAAACTCGCTACATGCACTTACCAGTATATCTTTCGCGCACAATTACCGAGTACTCACTCGATAGTTTCTGAAGCAACCCTAATAGTGCTACCAATTACAATGCTGCTTTCATATTCGCTTAACGGCATTCTGTAAGCTTCTTCATGCGGTCACACTGCGCCGCTGATCGTGGTTTTAAACAATTGTTGTAACGTCTGTGTGGGCTGCGTGCATAAGAACACATTAACCACATTACAACGAAAATGAACATTAATATAATTTTAACATTTATTTTGATGGACTGCATTTCAAAGTCTACGTAAACGTTGGGAGTATAGGTTGAAACGGCATTTTAGGATATATTAAGAATTAAAGTTACTGACTTTGATATAAAATTAAATTAAAATTTAAATCTTGTAATAAAATAATTAAACGTCTAGCTCACATATGAAGAAAAAATAGTTTTAACTAAAATGTAAAAAAATAAAATAAAATAAAAATAAAAATCTATGAAAATGGGACACCTGACAAGAATTCTCGTCTAGAACTACTTGTGAAGTTTCACATTATCTTCTGGCGACTATACCAGTGTGCGTTTCTGCTCATAGAGTCCATAGAGCGCCACAGTGGAGCAAAGCAGTGCCATTAAGTCAACGGCAGCCTATTACATTGTTTCAGCTCGCGCGACTCGGCAAACATTCGTTCGGCTGTAATCGGTGTGAAAACCAGATTGTGCTCGGCTCGTTGCTGCTTCATCAGCAGAAGGGCTGGCGGGGAGGCAAATGGAAGGCACTCAGAGCACAGCGAATGCATGATAGTGGAACGAAAGGGCTGTCCAGGCGATCTGCGAATGTATATATGTGTGTGTGTGTGTGTAGAGAGCACAAAGAGACCGAGTGAGAGTGAGAGAGCGGGAGTAGCGAGTGCAGTTTGTGTTTGCTAGAAAACGACAGAAAACGGCAATCATTATTTCGGTGAATGTGTGTGTGCGCTCAGTTAACCGTTATACGGCAAGGTAGGAGACGGCAGCGCAGCGCAGCGTCGCCACTAGCAGTATTCAGAGTCAGAGTCAGTGTCAGCGTCGTCAGTCGTTAGACGCGTTTCGTTAGTCGTGGAACACCGTACTGCAGTCCAAAAAAATTATAGCTGGCGTTCCGTTTATTAACTAGCTGTATGAGCACACACATACACATGCACACATATATGTATATGCTTTAAATTTAAATAAAAACGCGCGCGGGTGTCGTATACATAGTACAAATATATAAATATAAATATATTATATATACATATATAATATATATATATATATATCTATCAGTATATGAATAGATCTATAGTTGTTTTATGCATATTTTTTGTCTTGTTTTTTTGTGACAATCGCGACGAGAAGATCGTCCGCTAAAATACAACTTTCAAGTGCTGTTCAAAAAATAGTTGTCCAAATAACATTATCAATAACAACAACAACAACAATAACAACAAAATGGTCGAGACAGTGATTACCGTTGAGCGGACAACAACAACTGGGCCACCTGGGCCAGCGGCGGGTGACAATGGCGGCTTCTGGAGCGCCATACGCATCAATTTGGACTATTACAGAACGGTGCCGGGCCTGATAAAGATTGTGCAATTGGTAAGTAGCGCAACCCATCTATCTAACCAACAAAATAATAATAAGCATTGCCTAGAAACAGTAAAACTCACATTGCGTATACGACACATTGCGACACCCACCCCACCCCCCTTGGGCTTTTGCTTATCACACACATACACACACATACACACACACACACACACACACACACACACACACAGCCATAGTGTCAAATTGATATGCTGTGTAAATTGAGCTTTTATCTATAGATTTCTGAAAGCCTTGCCAATTAATGCACATTTCCCGGGGCCGAGCCGCCATTTTGTCATTTGTAGCATACCCTGTAGCCATGCGCAGGTGGGTATAATGAAATATGAACTATTGTTACCAATCAATGAATACCAAGTTGGTCATTTAATTGTGTTTCTCTGCTGCGGTACAGGGTATAGCTCAAGTTTATCACAGCTCTGTTATATTCCAATAGTTATCTATGGTTTGCATAACAACACACGCACACACACAATCACGATCACAATCAGACACACACACAGGATCATTCATTAGACGGATAAGATACGAGTCGTGAAAGGGCTCAAAAGGCAGTCAGCCAGGCCATGTGAGCAATTGCTTGTGGCTGACAACAATTTGCTGGCAATTCTATAACGATCAATCCGATTGTCATCAATTCAATTTCAATTAAACACTTCCAGGGGCTAAAAAAATGACTCGAAATCGAATTGCGTTCAACAGCTGTGCGCTCGCACCAAGAAAGAAAGGAACAAAAAATTAAAACAATTTACATATATAATTGTAAGTGCTTAGATGTGTGCGCGCGTGTGTGTGTGTGTGAAGGCGTGGGAAGTCGTCACCGGTTAGCCATGCAAATGCCCACAACCCACAATCCACAATAACCACAACTGGCACATGGAGCACAACTGCAGCCAAATGCTGCCTGCCATCAATATCAAAATACCAAAATATCAAAATACTAACACACACACACATACATACATATAAATGCCTGCCCACAGGTGGCCGCCAACACGCAACAACCACAACAAGTACAACAGCAGCAGCAGTTGACACACACACACACATATATATATATATATATATATTTACATACATACACACTAAATTGCAAGCATTGAGAATGAGTACAACAACATATGCTTTATATGTAGGGAGAAAGCTTCCCTGGGCACAGATCATCCAAAGATTAATGTTGCTGTTAAGTATGTATGTATGTATATGTATTTATGTTTATGTATGTATGTATGTGCTTATGTATGTGTTTATGTACATACATGTTTCCAAGGGCAATTCGCCCCCGAAAAGCTGGCTATGCCCTTATAACTTTTGGTCTATAAACGTGCCTTAGATTGAAAAATATGAAAACAACAACAACAACAAGAAATCTGCGTACATACCTATGTATGTATATATGTAACAATAATTGTATAAAACAGAGCTTTTGCGATTTTGACCATATGTCAAAAACTTAACGGGTTTCATTGGGCTAATTTATTGATTTTTAGGCACTTATCGTTTAGTGATACGATAAAATCAAAACTCTATGCTAAATTCCATATTCTTAATAAATTCATTTCAAATAGGAGAGCGGGGTGGGGGTAGTAGGGGGTGGGGGCTGCCAATTATCCATATGATGTTTGTCAAAGCTACAAAGTGATTTTGTCCCACATTGTATAAAATATATAAATATATACTTGACCGATTCTTTCTATGATAACTACACATATATAACTAAAAGGCATATCTAATTGGTTTTGTTAAGGATAAAGGAGTTGCCCATACATGAATTTATTTGTAGAACTATTGCTTCTATGACAGCTGTATAATATAGAGAAAGAAAAAAATAATAATGTTGCCCTCGTTATTTGCATACACCTAAGTCAAGCAAGTCTGTTAATCTGTGGTCGAGTAATGATTATTTGACGTTATTATGGAAATTTGAATGCATGCAAATCTATTTCTTAATTGAATACCAATTCAAGTGTAACATTTATTTTGAAACAATCAATGCAAGTGTCACGCATACGCCAACACTATATGTCCCATGCCCCATGCCCCATGCCCCAAGGTCACAAACATTGAAAATGCCTAGGAAATCGATAGAGTTGGGAAGTTGGGCAAATCACTTACATGCTTATTATATATACTCGTACACATATATACATGGAAATAACAATAAGTATCTCAATTAGCCACAACAATTCCAATGGTAATTTATAAATTTTGAACTTATAATTATTATTATTACATCGATTTAATTTGCTTGAATTTTCTTTTGTGTGTTATGCATTTAAATAACGAATGCTTTCTCAGCATTAAATGCAATTTTTTGCGCTTAATCTAATCGACGCCTCCCCAATTGACTGGTAGATAGCCTGTCTGTAATTAAAGAGCTTGCGGAAAATATGAAATATGACTGTAATTAACTGATAATCCTTGGCTGGGCCTATCTCTAATCGCATGAGTCATGCGCATTACTCACACCTGGCCGATAATATTTATCTTTAATGTGCCAGGTCCAAGAAATGGCTAAGTACTCCTCTTACATATATGCATATGTACTTATGTTATTACTCATACGATGTGTAAATGAGTGATTTTTTTTTTTTTTTTTTTTTGTTTTTTGTTTTGGCCGACAATCGACTATCAAACCAATAAACTGGCTGACAAACAAAACTTAGCGATTTTTATAGTCAGCTGCCTCGTATCAACGCAGACGATAAGATTGTCCTTTCCAGAATTCCAATGCACAATTCCAGTTCCACTTCCAGTCTGCATTTCATTAGCGGCGAATACTTGCCTGTGTTTTCGTTTAACTTGGTCAAACATTTGGGCGCCTTGTTGACAATCTTGTTGTCATTGTCGCACACACACCTAGCTATTTATGTCGTTCCAGGGTCGCTTGTAAGCGTAAGAATAGTGTCTACAAGCATATTTAAATACATACATACATACGTACGCACATACGTACATCATATATATGCAAATTTGCATGGGGGATGGGCAGAGCGATAAGACGCGAAACGGTTCCGAGGCACCCAACGATTTAGTAGACGTTTCTCAAAATGTGTACATATTTATGCATTATAATAGACATTACGTAAGAGAATTATATACATACAAACACACATATATATGCATGTATATTTTTTGGAAGCTGTGCGATTTGCCACAGGCCACTTTATAGTCGTCTATACATATATGCACACATATATATATATATATATATATACATATATATGTAGTGTGTACATATGTAAATTTGTATGTATGTCTGTTGACTACATTGTTATAGATTGTTGTGGTCTTTGCCCAAAGCGGAAATTATGACACACATTTCGAATGTTTTTTTTTCTCTTTTTTTCGGTTTTTTTTTTATCAAGAATTTCAAGAATTTGCCAGTTACTACGAATTGGCATAAAAATACAGTGAATGAATGAAACTAAAATACAAAATTAATTTCATTTCAAATATGGCATATGAAATTCGCAAATTAAATCAAGTCTGAAAATGAATATTTCTTGTCTGTTTGTGTATGTGTGTGTGTGTGTGTTTGTGCATGTTAATGCACGCTGTTAAAGTGAGCTCATCTTTAAGTTGTCACCAACACGCCCATAAGTCAAATGAAGCAATTACCTTTGTTCTTATTTGTTTGTTAACATAGTCAACACACACACACAATTTACATGCTTCCATTGCTGTTAGTGCAAAGCATTGTGCGCAAGTGTGGAAGCTGCACTGTTATCGCTATCGCTGTTATTATGATCATGCCGCTGCTATTGAACTTCAGAAACAGCAAACCGTCCCCGCTGCTCCTCTATCCACACATAGTGTTCAATTTTATCGATATATATTACAATTCTGCCGTCCCGCGTCATCAATCAAGCGAGTATTTCTTGCTGAAACATACACATGGGTTTGTGTGTGTGTATGTATATATATGTACATATATAAATACACAGCCATATGTATGTATGTGTGTTGCATATGTCACGCTTCACAAGGCAATTTTCTCATTTATTATTAACCAGCAGACCAGTCAAATTATCAACGAACAAATCATATAAATTGGGCTATTGAAGCGTTAAGTGTTGTTCTTGCTTTAAGCATTGATTTACATACATACATATGTATGTATGTATATATATTTGAGCAGATGTCTATATATAAGTATACACACATACACACATCCATGTGTACATATTACGCTAGGCTGTCAAATAAATTATACTGTGACGCTTATACATATTTAAAAAAACATAATTTTTTCTTTGAGAAATGTATGCTTATATATACATACATATACATATACACACTTATACACTCATGTATGTAAATAAGTCAACATTTGCGAGTAGTTCATTCTTATTTTTGAAACATGATGACGCAAATTTGTCTCGTTGCCTGTTGTTTTTGACCAGTGGAAAACAGAGTTGCCCACATGCGATGCGACACACAATAAATAAGTGTGGGGTGGTCAAGTGTAAGCTGCACTGCAGTTTAATCAACTTTGAACGACAGGGGGCGCTTTTACTTCGCACACACACACACACCGAATTAATTTGTGTGAGCGAAAGACAAACAATAACATAAGCAAGAACCAGTTGACTTCAGTCGCTGCTGCTATTGTTGTTGTTGTTGCTTGTGCTTATATTATTATTGCAAGCTATGCGAACGGGTCGCCGCCGTCGCTTTTGGCTTTAACAAATGTCTGCAACTTTCAGCTTTCACTTTTTGTACGCCTTTTGTTTTAGGCAACAGCAACAAGAAAGCTGTGTGCGCACCTGTTAGCACACACACACACACACACACACGCCTAATACTTATTGCTTTTTAATTGCAATCACAAAACACATTCATACATCTAGAAATGGGCATCTCAACGAAATCTGTGTCATCGATTGAAATGGACGCCCACACACAAACACACACATACACACACATGCAGACATCTGTGTGAGACTGTCAATGTGCAGCGCTATTAAGATTGAATTCAATTGCTCACCGATCTGGTAATTACCAATGTATACACAAATACACATACATAAACACACACATATATATATATGTATATGTGAGGCATGCATGCAAATGGCAATTAAATGGTCGGTCACCAATTGCTTACAATGACATCATAAGGCGTCACAAAAAAAGAAAACGAAAAAAAAACCGAAATGTCAATTAAGATAAAGAATTTGTTTGTTTTTTTGTTTGTTCTTGTTTCAGGTATTAGGCATCATTTGTATGGCGCTTGCCTCACCCGCCCAGACAGCTGCAACAAGTTTCTTTCTCTTTGCCATTGTGCTCTCTTTCATAATTACCATTCTGTTGATGGCCGCCTATTTGCTGGGCATACGCGAAGCACTCAATGTCGCTGTCAACTGGATATTTTCTGTAAGTTAACAGTGCTCTGCACACACACACACACACATATATATATATATATATATATATACATACAGCGTTTACATTCGTTGCTCTCTTTCACTCGCAGGAGCTGCTGACTACCGCTGTGCTGACACTGCTCTATTTCATTGGGTTCATTGTGCAGCTGGCCAGATGGTCCGAGTCGAATGCGAAAGGACATGGCTCGAATACGGCGGCCGGCGTCTTTGGACTGTTCAATTTCTTGGCGTATGCGGCGGGCACGTACTTCTTATTTATGGCACACAGATCGGGTGCCACACATTAATTGCGCAGAATCGCAGAGTCGAGCGATGCGATGCGATCTAATCTGATCTTATCCGATCCAGAACGTAACCATTTACAATAATAATAGTCAAGCGCACCCACCACGAAAGCAGCAAACGTAGCGTAGAATAAGATTAAATTGTGCAATTTCTGAAAGTTCCGAAAGTTGTTACATGCATTTCTTTCTTTATTTTTTTTTTTTCTTTGAGTGGTACACAACACGCACACACACATATATATATATATATACAACGGCAACGAGTGTTGCACGCAAAAAGCTCAACTAAAAGCTTTGCTCAGATCAATCAGTTCAGTTTTTAGCTCGCTGCTCTCACGGCGCGCTCAGCGTGCAACTTGATTTGTTTTTAATGTTATTTTAATGCTTATTTTAACTTTAACGCCTGCTAACATTTAAGTGCAAACACACACACACACACACATGGCAACAATAAGTTCGATAAATTATTCGTATTTTGTAACTGAAAAAAAAAAAAATAAATAAAAAATCAGAACAATTTCGCCGTCAACTTGCCGTTGGAGTGAAACTTGACTAATGTGAGTTGGGTTTCATTCCAAATCCATATTCGACGCAACTTGATGCACTCCGGCTTAGCCAAGTTCCACACCCGACGAAACTTTGGACAAACAAAAATAAGTAAATAAGAATTATAATTTATTACATTCAGTGCTTTTGTCCGTTAATATTAATATTAAATTAAGAAAGCACTACACAAAATAAGAAAAATGCAAATTCATTTATTAAGCTAAATGTTCCCATCAATACGATTGGTCAAAAACAAATCAAAATCAATAACAGACACTGATAAGTCTGTCTATTTAAATTTGATTGGTGTACTTCAGCGCACCAAGCAGAGATTCTCTCCGTCTGTCTGCAATGAATTCTTATTTATACATATTTCTTAAGCTCATCATAGATCGCCAGGACAAGAGCGCCGCCCGTGCCGCGAATAATGTTTGAGAAGGCTCCCTTAAAGAAGGCGGGAATGCCTTCCTGCTTCGCAATTACCATCCAACAGTGGGCGGTATTCTTGTACACCATTTCCGATTTCCTCAGGCCCGACTGCATCATCATGCGACGCCGCACCGTGTCGAACGGATAGGACGCAATGCCGGCAATTGTGGTCACCACCTGGGCAATGCCCCAACTGACATAGAACGGTGTATTCTTTGGATTTGGCAAATGGTCGCGACACGTATCATAAAATCCAAAGTAAGCAGCTCGATAGATGATAATTCCCTGCACCGACACAATAAAGCCACGATATAGGCCAATCAGTCCATCCGATTTGACAACCTTCCGGAGGCAGTCGATCAGTCCGCTGAACTCTCGCTGGCCGCCTTTGCCCACATCCGCCGCCAAACTGAAAGTTGTACAATTTAAATGATAATTTTAAATATTCAATAAATCTTGATCGATAACTCAAAATAAGAGCACTTTTCATTCGTTTAATTTGAATTTTATACGATAAAATAAAAACAATTTTTACGTAGCGCGTAACGTGGTAAATCAAATAGATAAGATAACGTAGAAGGTGGAGAAATACTCCAAAATATAAAATATGGATACGGATTGCTGCTAGCTACTGCTGTTAAATATGATCTTGGATTTGATATTCACACTTACCGCGTACGCGCAAAGTCGAGTGGATAGACAAAGCATAAAGAGGTTGCACCGGCAGCGCCGCCGGATGCCAAGTTGCCCATAAAATGACGCCAGAACTGCTTCTTTTTGTCGACGCCACCCAAAAATATCTAATAAATAATAATAATAATAAAGATAATGAATTTAACGAGCCCAGACAAGCACCAACCGATTTGTAAACATCCTTGAAGGCAAAGTTTAGTGCCTGTGTGGGAAAGTATCGAATAACATTGGCCAAATTGCCGCGCCACAGCGAGGAGAAGCCCTGCTCCCTCGGTATGCGAACGAAGCAGTCGATGATGCCCTTATAGCGCTGATCCGTTGGTATCTGCTTCGATACCTCCTGCACCTGAAGAATCAGCTTGACGCGCTCAATGGGTGCCACCGCTGTTTTGGCAATGGCAGCCGACACGCCGCCCATCATAAAGTCAATTAAAAATGACTTCAAATCGCCGCCAGGTCTCATGCCGCCTCCTTCATCACCCATGTTGTCGAATTGGCTTGACTTACTTTGTACTTGAATGTGTTTATCTCCTTAATTGGGTTCTATCAAGTGTTCTAACCTTTACACAGTATATGTAGCGTCCAAAGAACAAAATTTTTCTAATATTCTCCCAAAAAAAATCTGAAATTTAAATAAATCCAGCTAGGTGTGACTAGTATCGATTTGGAATTTCAACTAAATGTTAATCATACAAACAATAACAAATGTCTACGACTACTGGGATGGATATACAAACCTTATCACACTTGAAACTGTCGGCTTTGCACGAGTGTTTTTTATACCATGTTTTGCATTTTGATGAAAACCATCAGACCAAAGATGTAAAAAGAACGGGAACATGCCGAATTCAATGCGTTTAATACACCGAAAGACGAATCTATCAGTTTCCGCTGATTGCAGCTGTTGGGGTTAGGTTAGGTCGATAACCGATGAAACACATGCCGATTTCATATTTCGATATCGATAAGTTTTCAAAAATAATGAAGGTTAAGCGACGATCGGACAAAGGAGTAAAGCTTATTGTTGTTTCCTTATAGCAATTGGAAATGGAAATTGCTTTTCATTTTGCGGGCGACAAATAAAACACAATTGGTCTACTATTTTTATCAATTTTTATATTTTTAAACCAACCGTAGGTTGATTTTGTTGGTTTGTTGTTTTTGCAGAGGCTCAAGAGAAATGTGTTGGAATTATTTCATTTGCAATGCGCACTCTATGTTTCAACATACATTTGTGTTTTGCAAAAGGGATGCGCGGCTCGAGTAGTTTTGTGGGAAATGGATCAACTTGTTAAAAACATCCACGCCCTGCCCGCAACCGACCCACCAGCACCACCAACTGTCGAACTTAACAAGAATACTATCTTATAAATAATTATATATGTATGTCTAGAATGTTCGTCCGGTTCTTTTGTTTTTTTCTTCCTCATTCCTCATTTGCTATCTGTGTGTGTGGGGGGGGGGGGGGGGGGGGGTGTGTTGGTCTGTCCATGTTTTGGATGTTTTCGCTTCGTTTCTCCATTATCCTCTCGTTTTGCTCCTTTTGCTGGTGTTGTTATTGTTTGTTTGCTTGTTGCCGTTGTCTGTTATCTGGCCACCGATCGATGTTGTTTTTTGTAGTTGTTGTTGTTGTTGCTATTTTATGCAAGTGCAATTAAATTATATTCCAGTTATTATATATAATATAATTTCGTAATTATATTGGGTTATTATTGTTGGGTGTTTGTTTCATTGCTGTTCTTGTTGCTGTTGTTGTTTACAATTTATATAATATAATTAGCTGGTAGTGGTTTGTTGTTGTTTTGTTGTTGATTTAATTTTTGTTTTTCTTGTTGTTTGAATAATTTAATAATTTAATTTACAAGACCTTCTTGATCTCATCGTACAACACAAGCACGAAAGCACCGCCAGTGCCTCTGAGAATGTTGGAGAAGGCGCCCTTGAAGAAGGCACCGGTACCTTCCTGCTTGGCAATGGTGCCCCAGCAGTGGATTGTGTTCTTGTAGATGATCTCGGTTGCCTTGCGGCCAGACTGCATCATCATGCGACGACGCACAGTATCGAATGGATAGGACACAATACCAGCAACAGTTGTAACAGCCTGAGCGATGGCCCAGCTGATGTAGATGGGTGTGTTCTTGGGATCGGGCAACATGCCGCGAGCGGTATCGTAGAAGCCAAAGTATGCGGCACGATAGATGATGATGCCCTGCACGGAAACGCCGAAGCCACGGTACAAGCCAACAAGGCCATCACTCTTGAAGATCTTGGTCAAGCAGTTGCCCAGGCCGGTGAACTCGCGAGCACCACCCTTGCCAGTATCAGCAGCCAAGCTAAAAGATATTAATATGTATAAATGGCGATTAAGACGAGATCGATACATGAGGTAACCATTATTAGGCATATAATGAAACTTACCGAGTACGAGCAAAGTCCAATGGGTAGACAAAGCAGAGAGATGTAGCACCAGCGGCACCACCGGAGGCCAAGTTGCCCATGAAGTAACGCCAGAACTGGGTGTTCTTGTCAACACCACCCAAGAAGACCTACAAACAAAACAATAACCACACACACACATAAATACACATCCGCGTTTCGATTATCATCTAGGAGCGAGATGATTGAGACGATGCTCACCTGCTTGTACTTGTCCTTGAAGGCAAAGTTAAGAGCCTGAGTTGGGAAATATCTAATAACGTTGGCCAAGTTACCGCGCCAGTATGAACCAAAACCCTGTTCTTTTGGAATGCGGATAAAGCAATCAACCATACCCTTGTATTGCTGATCGGGCGAGATTTGTTTCGAGATGTGCTGAACCTGCAGGAGCAGTTTCACACGCTCGATGGGTGCGACGGCAGTCTTTGAGACAGCTGCGGAAATACCACCGGCAGCGAAGTCCTTGACGAATCCCATAGCATCGAAATCCTTGCCCATTTTGCTGTATTAAAATTTCAAGTCACAAATTATAATACTTGTTCTTCCTCATCTGTATCTTCGTTCGTCTTGTTTATCATTTTCATATCAGTCAGAGTCTTCAGCAATTTTGATGATTATGATTATGAGTGTTGTGCATTCTTGACATTTGCTTGCATAATGTTAATTGTTATGTATTAATCACGTTTCACTTTCCACACAATACACAATATAAATAAAATGTATAGAAAATGAGTCACCAAAGCCAAATGAAAACAGATTACAGATTATTACAGGCACAGATGATATTAGTTTGTTAAATGAAAAACGACGTTCGGCGGCGGCCAACTTAAAAAACAATCGATCGCCCGTTGGTAACCAGTCAATCGATGTCGCTTATGCACTTATCGAGTAATGCAGGCGGATAATCGAACAGTTATACAACGTGCGATGAGCTTTTCAAGTTTAAAGCTGCTTTACGCGGCGTTTTGTGCAAAATGCAAGCAGAAGGGGTTAAATGAAATGAAGGATGCTTAAAGTAGGTTAACTTATACAATAAAATAATATAACTTTAGCCATGCAGATGAATTGTTAATATTAAATCAAAATAAATGTAAACAAGACCGGCAGTAAGCCGGCATTAATTAGAAACAAGGAGAGCCAGACAAGAGCTTTTTTTTTGGTATCAGCATTTGAAATTTGAAGCTTCGATCCGAATTCAAATGTGTTCGTTACTTATACATGTACATATTAAATATATATATATATAAACATATATATATATATATATATATATATATATATTTTTAAAGAGCGACTGACTCAAGCGGAGCCGTTGCCAAGCGGCTGGCTTCGACTTGGTGCTCTCAGCGCCGACAAAACTGGTTTGCGGTTTTATTTCTGTTTGTTTATGAATCAGTTTCGGAATTGAAACCCCCCAACACGTGGCGCATTAACAAGTAGTCACTTCACTTTATGCATTTATGTAAACAAGCAGCAATCAGTAACTGGATGTGAATGTAAACCGAATCAGCTCAGTTCGAACCAGTATCAATAAAGGCTAATAAATGCTGCTTACTCTTATTTAAGGGAGAGAGAACAACTTTAATTGAAACAACACACTGTTAATGGTTACAAATTACTATTGTAACAGTTATTGTATTGTAACAGTTTACGTATATGTGTACACATTGCATAATTTAATCGCTTGTATAACATTGTAGATGGCGCTTTCAATATAAATCAGATGTCACAGAACACAGCAGCAGCGACACAAACACACACACACATGCATATTGCATATGTTCTCGCAAGTGACATTGACCAAATAAGAGAGAGCTTTCTTTTGATTCGGTTTTGTTAATTTTAGAATTCAAGTGTACCAACAAAATAGCTTGCATGGCCAAGACTGTTCTCATTGCTTTTTTCTTTTTTTTTTTTTTGCCATGAATGTGAATGTACAAAATTAAATTAGACGCCCCAGCAGAGTCTAGGCCGCTTTTCATTGACCATCGAACACACACACATACACGGAATTTATGTAACACTTGGCCACACAGCACAGCCAAAGAGAGATAGAGAGAAAGAGAGGCACACTTAAGAGTGAGCTAGTGTGCGAGAGAACTTTTATTGAGTGCAGCCGCAAACAATTATAAAAGAGCGTTGGTTGCCCTTGTTATCTAATCTCCAGTGTGGCTGCCGATTGAAAGAGCTTTTGCAAAGAGAGCACGCGCGACCGTGATGTAACAGTTACAATAACTGGACACATTAGAAAAAAATTCTAGTAGAGGAAGGGAAAATATCAACTGAACGAAAGCTGTGCACGTGGAACAATTCCTTTGGTCTGAATTTTGTGTTTTCTTTGCACTGTTATTTAGCTATGATGATGATGATTGAGGTGTGATAGCAGCTCATTATTGTCGATTACATAACTGTCACCAGAAAACAAAAATTTTTAAATTGTTTAACTGAATCATATTCAATTGAACACAAAAACGCATTTGTTGTTGTCGTTTTTTAGTTTCTCAGTGAATTTAAATGTTTATGTAACAATAAAAAAAATGGTCCCATTAGCATGTAGAAAAAAAAAAGGTTAACCACTAATCATTGCTTTTAGCTGTTATTGCTATTTAGTTATTGTTATTGATGTTGATTTAAGATGCTTATGCACAACTGAGTAGTACACTAATTGTTTTGTAATACGTACAATCTGTTTGTGTTTGAATATCACAGCACCGACAAAAAAAAATTAATTTATCCTTATTCCTCGCGAAGGTAGAGGTCTGAACCGGACGGCAACTGAATTGCTTGTGAACAACACCGAACAGCAAAAGCGGCCAACTAGCCTGGCGCTGCGCTGCGGCGGTCAGCTGCTCTGCCTCTGCTGGCAGAAGCGAATTCAAGTTCAGGTGCTCACGCGTCACAGTCGCAGCGCAACAGTTGCGACAGAGAGAGAGAGAGAGAGATACCGCATAGTCTAACGGTAACAAAAGCGTTGGCAACAGACGACAGAAACATGTACAAGAGGAAGTAACTGCACGTGTGCGCACCAAGAAAACCAACACAGGCAAATAATGGAGAGAGGCAGAGAGTGAGAATAGATCGGTGCCTCCTTATCATCTTGCCTATATGTATATATGCATATGTATATATGAATTCTATGCCAATCATCACATTGCATAACACGGCTAGCTGTTCTTCTTAATCAGTTCACTTGCTACTCACACTTGCAAGGCAAAAAGTGTTGGGCTGGGCGTTGATAGGAAAAGGAAGTGGGATTACAATGGTCATCTGTGTTAGCCATATATATATATATATATATATATATTTATATACATATGCTAATATTGTTTGCACATTTAAATTTCGTTTGATTGTTTTTCATTTACCCCTTTCGAGGTTTGGCAGCGCCACCAAAAAATATTTGCTTGCCAAAATTGTAAACTTTCACTCAGTTGGCAACGCGCCGATATCATCCGCAGTAGCAGTAGAAACAGCAGCGTTGACGCCCGCGTCAACAGCATAGCATGTGACTTGTGGAAAATTTGACGCATGTGCTGTGCCATATTTCTCTCTCCCGCTCTCTGGCAAGCTCTCGCTCAAATACAAATATAATTGAGCAACTGATACGTCACAGGGCATTTTTTGGCAGAGCAAAGAGAGCAGCGCACTTGAAAGTGCGTATTGCGATTAGATAAACGCCTTAACTAATACAGATATTTTATATAAGCAGTTTTCAAGGCCTCCTTTTCTTATCGGCGACAATTACATAAAAAATGAACGTCCAGCGTTCGTCTACGGAGTGATTAATGAAATAGCTGCTAATCTGTGACACTGTTGCAGTAGCAGCGAGATAAATGCTGGCAGCGCGCCAAAATGCAATATACACAAATTGTTTGGATTATTTTAAGTAAATGGGTCCAAGTGCGCAACACCTGCAGTAAATCAGTTCAATGGCTTAAGGTGCGACAAACAACAAGGTTATATTGTCAAGCATTGTCAGACAATAAACGGCCACACTTATGTACAACGCCAGACGTGCAAATATAATCAATAAACGGGAGATTATAATAAATAGGATTATCTAAATAAGATCGCTGTCGCATCATCATAAAGGGCGGCGTTTTGCTTGCTTGCTTATCGCTTTCGCCAATTCAATCAGTTGCCAACTCGTAAAGGGTCATATTAGTTACATAAAATTCGCAATTTCACAACACTAAAATAGGACGACTAACTGCACACAACGCTGTTATGCGTGCTTTAAAATCCGTTATGAAATGAATCTGTACAAAAAAATCGGCATGCGGCATTTATTTACATGGCGCGTTGATTCCTGAATCGCTGACATCACAAAGAGCATCAGCAGCGTCTTCAATTGTGAGTGTTTGTCTAGCAACCGGTTCTGTTTTTTTTTTGCAAACATTTGCAATGAAACAGGTAAAAAGTTAGAAAATCTTTCGGATTTAAAAAACGACAACAATAAAGCGGTCATTCGTGCAAAGAATGAAAGCTTCGCTCTTAGAAAGTTCAGAAATAAGAGAATTGTGGAAGAAATAACACATTGGACTCATCACACACATGTACACAAACATTGAGACGCAGCGTATCTTGCGCGTGTAAATGGCGCATCGTGCGAGTGAAAGAGAGAGCACGATAGCCACATGGATTTTATATGCATGTATATGTGTAATATGCATGTGTGCCGCTTTTCTAGCCGCAATAGTCAGTTTTAATAAAAAAAAAATAGTGCAAATTTTATTTTACAATGCACAATACACACATAAAAAATTAGATGTAATACAAAAGCAGCTGTCACTTTTTTTATATGCATCTGTGTGTGTGTATGACTACGCTGCTTGTGTGGCACCGTATTTTATTGTGCCTGCTTTCAATTTTTTCTTGCGAAAATTTTATAGGTTAGAACTCGTGAGTGTTCTTAATACATTGCATTGCAGGTGTTGGTGTAATGAAAATAGGACACGGACACGAACACGGACGACTCGTTTACCTTGTGACTGTTATAGACGATGAATCTCTTTGAACAGCGTTGCTTTAGCATGCGAATTATTCTTTTTTTTGTGGTTATGTAAGCACAATTTATGCAGCAAAAAAAATTATATATACATATATATATATATATATATGTACATGTTTCTATTGGCGGAAAGGCGCTTAGCTACATTAAACAGTTAGATTTATACACCGGAATATGAAAGCAACACCGACACATAAAAAAAAAGTACCACATTACATAACTTAAATCTACTGCAAGGTGAACGTAAAAAAAATTCAATGGCAAATTTATGATGCACTGTCCGTTTTTGAGGTAGCTCTCAGCCAAAAAAAAATATAAAGAGTTGTATAAAAGAAAATCACAATACCTTTAGTTATTAAACTTCTTACAAAAGTCACAGAATAAAAACTTCTTTTGCAGAAATGTAATTTCCCACTTGGCGTCGAAATTTGCCGCGTGCTCACTTAACGACCGTAAATCGTAAAGTGTTCGCAAAACGTGAACAGATTGTCAAACTATCGAGACGCTTGCATTAGCAAAAAATCGTTTTTATTAAGCAGCTATCGATAATGCAAGTCACCATCGTGATCGGGTAAAAAAAAAGTAATATCAATATCGTTATTAGGTTGAACTGTTAAGAATTACCTGCGTAGTTAAGCGCTTTGCTATTGTAAGTACAACTATGGAACCAAAAGTAATAATAACAAAAAACACTACGAATAAAGTTATAATAAAAGGTATCGGTATATTGTGCGGTCACACTTTCTATTGCTCGAAGTTCAAATAACAGGTATCGATATGTAAATTCAGTGTAGTTTTGACATTTAGTATTTCTTTTTTTGTCACTATAAAACACTTAATAGAAAAGTTGGGAAAACGTGCGAGTTCGTGACTATTTTGCTACGCTTTGGCAAATGAAAATCGTAATTAAAATTTAATATTTTCTTGCATATTAGAATATCATGTCTGGACGTGAGGGTGGAAAAAAGAAGCCATTGAAGGCGCCCAAGAAGGAAGGCAAGGAGATGGACGAAGACGAAATGGCATTCAAGCAGAAGCAAAAGGAACAACAAAAGGCGCTCGAAGCTGCCAAGCAGCAAGCTTCCAAAAAGGGACCACTCGTGGGTGGAGGCATCAAGAAATCGGGCAAGAAATAGAAATGAACGCACATGAAGACGGAAAAATCATTTTGGAGAGCTTTGTTTGTTTGCCAGCACACCAACAAACGAAAACCATGCAATTTTATTTGCCAAATTCAGTTTGCGTCCAATATTAAGTGACAAAAATTGACTGTTTATCAATTCATGTTTGAACAATTCATTTCTCCGTTTATACTTACGATTTAATACAAATAGCAGATTAAATATTGTAATACAACGATCCGGCGTTTTTTTTAAATATCAATACATGTATATCTTTTAATATACTTTCAATGACCATTTCTTTATTCAAACTTTAAAACAAAATGACACGTTTTGTTTGATCAAGAAATCGAATTTAAACAAATATTTCAACTCTTGTGATACTACAATTATAATTTGAATGAAATGCAATAACAAAATAATATACATAAGTTTGAATGATAAACATTTAAAAACGATAGAAAATTTAACCTTTTAATTTTTTCAATTTATTTTTTTTTCATAAGTGATGGTTGTCACCGTTGCAAGTGTATAATAGAAGGGTACTCAAAGATCTCCCCCAAATGGAAAGCTGGCCTGTGTGCCCGGCAGCTGCACCGACTTGGAGGCCACTTGACAGGCGGCTGCAATGTGAACGGTGAGCGCTTCTTTGGGATAGCGGGCCAGGTTGTGGGCCAAGGCGCCAATGAAGGCATCGCCGGCGCCCGTCGTATCCACAACCTTCTCGGGCGGCACATGTGGCGCTGGCACATGCTCGCATTGCGTCTGCTTTGTGCCACAGACTGCGCCCAGTTTTCCCAGCGTTATGATCACCCCATTGGCGCCCATTTCGATGAGGCGTTCTACTGCCGCATTTGCCTCTCTGACAAGATACAAGAAAAGTCAGTTAGAAACAAGTCAATGGAGCGCGATTATTTCGTATTCACCCGACGCTGTTGATGCTCTGCATGCCGGTCATGAGTGCCGCCTCGGTTTCGTTGACACATAGAATGGTCGACAGTTGGAGCAGTTCCCCTGGCGTCTCCTCCAGTGCTGGTGCCGCATTCACTATGGAAATGCCCTTGAATTGACGCAAAGCATGAAGTGTCGCTTCAATGGGCGTTTCCAGCTGGCAGACAAGCACCTTGGCTTGGTCAAAGAACTGGGCTGCAGCTGTGACATCACTGGCGTTGAGTGCATTGTTGGCACCAACGACAATGATTATGTTATTCTCGCCTTCGTCGGAAACAGCGATTTGGGCAATGCCCGTCGTTTGGTTTGGCAGCGGCTGCACATGCTCCACGTTAACGTACTCGGCGCGTAGCTGGCGCAGATAGTCCTGCCCAAAGCTATCATCGCCCAGTTTGGCAATGAGTGCTGTGTGCGAACCCAATCGGGCAGCGGCGACGCACTGATTGGCGCCTTTGCCACCGAATCCGGTTTGGAATTTGTGGCCATGCAGCGTTTCGCCTGCCTTCGGCAGGCGGGGCGTGTAACTATAGAGAAGAGAGGGGGGAATGGGTTGAGGTGATTAGTCAATACAAAGTCAAATCTCTTACCAGATGAAATCTATAATGGCCGAGCCAAAGACTAGCACCTCCGGCGACTCGCTCATTTTGCGTTTTGTTTGTAATATATTTTAGTGTGCGCTTATCTTATGTAGATAATTCGCAAAAAGTTGAAGTGCAGTGCCGGCGGCTTATCAACAGCAACAGCAACTGATGCCATTATGTGTGTGTTCTTTTTGCCTTGCACCACATGCCGCCCTCCGGGGAGAATCTGTGTGCGTTGCGTTGGTCAAATGTGACGTCAACGCAGCAGAGTTGTACCAATAGTATCGCTTATAAAATGCTTAACTATATATATAATTTCGTAAAACTATTAAAATAAATATTCAATGGTATTTTAACAAAATATTTGATTGCTAATCAAATCGAGTATTTCTTTTGAAAATAACCGTTTTTCATTTTTGTAAATATATCGATGAGTGTGTGTGTGCACTATCGATATTTGAAGTATCGTTAAAAGGTGCAACAAGTGCCAACAATCCGTTATAAATAAACAAGGCAGAGTTTTGACAAAAGTTTTCGCTAATAAACAAATATGTCGTCGTTGCTAAGACAACTCACTAACACAAGCAGACTGCCAGCCAGACTAAGTGGTAAGTGTAATTAACTGCAAATGATGTCTGAGGATAATCACTGAGGTTAATCGAGAGTCGACCAACTAACCGGTTCAAAGTCCGATTCTGTTCGTTTGGCCGACAGTCTAGTGTTAAACCTTGGACAGTTAATTGAACCTCTATTGCAGTCATGCAGCCTCATCGCAACAATACTAGTGGCCACAGACAACCTGCGGCCAATGCAACTGGACATTTCAAAAGTCTGGCCATTAGTTCGCCCAAACCTTTCGTTTTCCATGTCGAACTGAATCGACCCAAGAAGCTCAATGCTATCAGCAGGGAAATGTGGATGTAAGTGCTATCTTTGCCTGTATATTATCATATTACTTATATTATTTGTATGTGTGCGCAGTGAGATCAAAGACTGCTTCGAAGCGCTGGCCATCAATCCCGATTGTCGCGCCATTGTACTGTCTGCTGCTGGCAAGCATTTCTGTGCGGGCATCGATCTGTCGTCCATGATGAGCATGGGCGAACAGATGGGCGAGTATGATGATGTCGCACGCAAGGGCGTTATTCTCGAGCGTACCATCAAACTGTATCAGGATTCAATAAGCTCCGTCGAACGTTGCCCCAAGCCTGTGATCATGGCGGTGCATCAGGCGTGCATTGGCGCTGGCGTTGATCTGATTACTGCCGCCGACATACGCTACAGCACTCAGGATGCATTCTTTCAGGTGAAGGAGGTGGACATTGGCATGGCCGCCGATGTCGGTTCGCTGCAGCGTCTGCCAAAAGCGATTGGCAGCCAGTCCCTGGCACGCGAACTCTGCTTTACCGGACGCCGTTTCGAGGCGGCCGAGGCGGAGCGCAGCGGCCTGGTCAGTCGAACCTTTGTCGACAAGGACGCCCTGCTCGCTGGTGCTCTGGCTCTGGCCGAAGATATTGCCGGCAAGAGTCCCATTGCCATCCAGACAACCAAGGAGAGCATGGTCTACTCCCTCGAGCACACCAATCAAGAAGGACTCGATCACATTGTGAGTAATCGAATAGTATTTGAATTAAATTTAAATAATAGATACACAAGTGCTTGTGGTCAACAGATGTGTAGGGTATATGTTAGTCGACCAGATCACATCTTGAATTTCTTACAAACCTTTTATTATTTACCCCTTGCAGCGTATTATCAACAAGCTGCATTTGCAGTCGGAGGACTTTGCCCAAGCGGTTGCCGCTCAGCTGACCAAGGATGAGAAGCCCGTGTTTGCCAAACTTTAAGAGATTAATTCGGTTTCAGTTGTGTAAACTTGAACGAATCAAATGTAATTTCATTTTATTTGCATTTCATATCCACATTATATATCAAACATCTAACTAGATTGGCCCAGTCGCTGCTTGGGAGCTGTTATCGTCTTTTTGATCACATCTATTCCGAAAATTCTATGCTAGCTTTAATTATTAATTATGACTAGGAATTTGGTAGGCCGACGGATGAGGGTACTCTACTTGAAGAGACCTTCGATTGTGCGACGCTCCTTGCAACAGGCGGCGGTCAGCACCTCAATTTGGCCACGCTCATTGATCAGTATATCGTCCTCGATGCGTATGCCAATGCCACGGAACTCGGCCGGCACATCTGTGCGATTCTCATCAATGTAGATGCCCGGCTCCACGGTGAAGACCATGCCCGGCTGGAGGCGTATATTGCGCGGCACATGCGGCGTATCGTGCACATCCATGCCCAAATAGTGGGACACATGATGCGGACAGAACTTGTAGCCGAGCGTTGCCAGCTCCTTGATCCCACTGACATGCTTGCCCACCAGACCGATTTCCTGCAGATATTTCCCCAGCTTGAAGCATGTTGTCTCAAACAATTGATCCAGTGTCTCTCCACCAGGTTGCATAATCAGCTCTGCGAAAAACAAACAAGAGATTAGCTGATCATACAGTGCATCACTCAATCAATCATTCAGTTAGTCAGTCTATCGAGCTGCTCACCAATTGCCTCCTTTTGCAGCTGCTCCATCATGTCGTAGAGGGTGCGCTGTGGCTCAGTGAACTGTCCACTGATCGGCCAGGTGCGTGTTATGTCGCTGGTATAGCCACCGTATTCACAGCCGGCATCCATGAGGAGGAGCTCCTGCGGCTGCAGCAGCTGTGTGTTATTCACATAGTGTATAACGGTGGCATTCTTGCCAGCAGCAACCACCGGCGGATAGGCCAAATAGCTGGCGTCGCGCATGCGGCACTTAAAGTCTATGGCGGCATACAGCTGATGCTCCGACTGACCTGGCCGCGTCTCGGCAATGACCTCGTTGAAGGCCTGCGAAGCAATGGAGCAGGTGCGTCGCATCAGTTGCATCTCGGCGGGCGATTTAATCAGCCGCATGTTCTCCACGAATGTGTGAAGGGGCAGCAGTTGGGTGCGCTCTGCATTGCACACCTGGAGCATGGCATCCGTCACATTGGGCTGCTCCGATTGTTTCAGATCGAACCACAAATGCGGCTTTAGCTGGGTGAAACGTGTCGCGAGCATCTTGTGGAAACTGTCGATGGGATACGCCTCTTGGACGCCAAACAATTGGACGGCATAGTCGGGACCTGTGCGTGGACCATCCCATAGTTCCGCATACGGATCCTTGGGTCGCATGAAGAGCGTCGACTGCACAACGTCTAATTCATCAATGGTTAGCAATAGGATCGAGTCCGGTTCCAGGCAACCGGTGAGATAGTAAAAGTCAGAGCTTTGACGGAACACATACGGTATCTTTCCACTCATATACTTCTTGGCCGCTGCTCCAATCACCAGCTGTAATTAGCCATGTGTTTTTTAGTGGTTTTACACAGTCCACCATTTCTCCCCTGCCCGGCTTACCATGTGCGATTTGGAGTTGCTGCCACCGTTGAATTTGTCGCCAAAACTTTCAGCATAGGCGCGCAGGCTGTGCATGAGTTGGGTGCGACGCGTTTGAAATTCGGTTGGCTCGATGCCCGGCACCAGCTCGTGCGGCCTTATCAGATGTGGATGTGTTGCGCTCGTTGGCTGGCCCAACAAACGCGATCCGCTCTTGAGCGTATCCACCACAGGCTCGGCGGTTAGCTGCGCCTTGCACATCCGCCGCGACGAGCATGTGGAGAATTTGGGGTTTGTGGCCAGAGCGCGTAGCAGGCGGAAACGTGGCATGCGCTTTAGCGCAATCATGGCGGGATTTGGTTTCTAGTCCGTGTTTTAAAAAGTACGTTTAATCTCGGCCCAACTCACTGATTTGGCACATGGAGATGAAGTAACTGATGAAAACAAAACATTTGCCGCTTCGCTTGCCAAGTGCTGGCACAGAAAATCATCGCCAGCCAGCTTCGACTTATCGATGTTTTCGTGCCTTTAGATCCCATGTATCGATATCGATGCGATAGATTGTGTTCACTTGGCTTGTAAATAATAAATAATAAAATAAAAGCAATAAACCTGATGGTCATTTATCATTTAATGCATGTACCCATATGCTTGAAATCGAATTTTCAATTATGCAAACGATTTGAATTATTTCAATGTTCCAATTGAATAATGCAAACGATGTATCGATGACAAATTTGTTATTTGTGTATCCTTTAACAGTTAATTTATTGACAGCACGCCAACATAAATGCAACAAACGCAAGTTGCACATCCAGCAGCTATGGCGAATGAGGTAAGTGGCCTGCGAATTTATTTCATATTTACATCTGTGCTTTACGTGCCTGCCAATGCGAAACATTGATCACCCGTAGACGAATGTGTTCCGTTTGCCGGTGGACGCGGAGTCGATACGGTTCAATGATTGGACGATCAGCTATGAGAAGTCGCACATATTGAAGAGCATGTGCCATTTGGGCAGCGACAAGTGCTGCGATAAGAACGATGCCAATCGCTGCGAGCTCTGCAATTATCAACATTCGCTGGAGTTGCCACATTTGCCGGACATGGTGTTCCACAAGAATAAGCTGGTGCTCCAGCACAAGGATGGCGCTCTTATGGAATTCAAGCCCATGGATGCACTCGCCCTGGTTGCCAACGGCAAACAGGCTGAAGAAATGGAAGTCGCCTGCGCTCAGGAATGGCGCGAAACACGGTAAGCAAATCTTTCTCCACCATCTCCATTTGCAAACCCTCTCTATCTCTATCTACCCTGCCTTTTATCTTCGCAGAGCGGAGCAGAATATGGAGCAAAAATACAAGCCATTCGATTGGACATTCACATCCACATATCAGGGCACGCTGAACGATAAGTTTCGCACAGAGTCCACTACTCAGTCGCTGAACAAGATGAAGCTGATGCAGCGCGAGAATATTCTATTCTATCATGATCTCACACTCTACGAGGATGAGCTGCACGATCACGGCATCTCGGCGCTGAGCGTTCGGATTGTGAGTAGCTAGCATCCAATAAGCATCTGATATTTATACACTTGGAGAGTGTATTATTATCTGGTCATAAAAATATGTAACCCCTTCAAATAGTAGACGCTCCAAACTGTCTGTCTGTTTGCTTGCTCTCTTCTATTCCCTTTTGTAAAGATTGGTATTGCTTATTCTTTTGCACCTGCAGCGAGTGATGCCCTCCGGTTTCTTTGTGCTGTTGCGTCACTTTCTGCGCATCGATGATGTGCTTATCCGGATGCACGACACACGTTACCACTGCGAGATTGAGAATGACTACATACTCAAGGAGTACATTCACCGCGAAGCACCCTGCTCCGCATTATTACAGGTACTCCGGCTAAGCTTAATGTGTAAATTGAGAAAACGTATAATCGATTCTCTCTTTGTTTAGTCACCATCTAGCTTATGGACGAATCCCGACGAAATACAAAACTTTCTGCCAGTAAAATCCAAGGAGTTGCACAAGCTGTTCTTTGAATAGTTTTACTTGTAGTATTTACAAAGTAAATAAATTGTGGGACCCCCAGTTCCCATAATATTAAGGCGCTCAGGTCCATGTATTCCATGTATTGTGTGTACCAATTAAATTTTAAAATATGTCAGCGAATACATTTTTTGGCACAACAGTGCAACTGCTAAATACGATGTTTATTAAAAGCACTATTCGAATTGCGTTAATAAGTTTCCAATTCATTGTTTAAACTTTTCAATAGCTCAGCTCTATCTTCGGTATCAGAATATATATAATGCCAAATGTCAATTTTTGTGCGAGCCAATTCATATTGGACTTTTATGTATGCACGTATTTATTAATTTATTTTTATTTATTGGCACAACTGTGCGCATTAGTAGACATTAAAAGCAAGATTCTTTAAAAGCAACTACAATACTATAATTTCGATAAAATGTTAGTAGATCATCACCAGATTTAGGCAGCGCCCAACAGAGCAACCAGAGCCGCCCTGTAATCTCCAGAAGTCTCCGCCTGCAATAGATCACAAATGGGACACAATTAGCAGTGGGTCAAGTGAGAAGGTGGAGTGGGTGGGGTTGTGTAGATAAAGGAATGCATTGGCAAAGAAATTTTGGGAATTCCACAAACATGCAGAAACTGAAGACAAACCAATATGAAAATGCCGAATATCAATAGGAATACGAATACGAATACGACTACGAATATCAATACTTACGTCCTAGTACCAAATACAACAATAACACAAGCATAGCAAGGACACACAAAGGACACGCACGGAGGACAACACACCAACCGCGACGTAAACAATTGTACGGAGGAGTGTAGAGTTTTGGGATCAATACCGAAAGCAAAAAATGTGGATGGAAAATGCATTACTTAATACGGTTAAAGACTAAAGTTGGTCGCGAAATCGATTTTGAGTCACTTACCACGATGGCGCTGAGGAGAGTGCGATTATAGATGCGCTCGAACTCATCCTTGATCGTCTCCAAATCGATCTCCGAGCGGCTGACAATAATGCGTATGAGTGTCTTATCATCAGTGCCGGCGCCATTCATTGCCTTGTAAAGGCGGTTAGCGAAAAATGCAGCCGGCGACTGAACGCATTCCACTGGAGTACAGGTAGAGAGAGAGAGAGAGAGAAAGAGAGCGATTGAGTGAAAGAGAACGATATATATATATATTTACATGGGGACTTACCAATGGCCATCATGGCCTCATGCAACTCATCGGCCATTTCATGCTTGATGGCCTGCTCGATGGTTTGGCCGGAGAGCGATTTGTATTCATCGAAAACGAGACGCAGCTGATTGAAGCTGGCATGGGACATGATCCTATTGAAGACACCCTCGTCGGTGCCCAGTTTGGCCTCGCCGGCAGCATATAGCTCTGCGGCCTGTTCCTTGGCCTTTTCGGGATCAACAGGTGTATCCAGGTCATCGCGCACACCGGTCACAATCAGAGTGAGCAGGCGTCGAAAGAAGCCGGACGTTTCGCTGCCCATCTGCTCGGCAAGCGGTCGTTCGTACAGTCTCTCGTAAGTGGCCACAATTTCGTGCATCTGTTCGTTGCTCTTGGTGCACAGTATTTCGACGAGGGTGGCCTCGTTGGTGCCGATGCCGGCCATGGCGCCATGCAGCTGCTTGCACAGATACTCGACGGGCGGCAGCATTAGTGCTATAATCACATCCTCAAATGTGCCGCCCAGTTCACCCTTCAAGTCCTCAATTAGATCCCGATCGAATTCGGACAAATAGGCGGCAATCATCTCCTGACGCTGGGCATTGCTGCGTGTAGCCAGCACATCGATGATCTGCTGCTCATCGGTGCCCAATCCTTGCATGGCCGCACGCAAATCCTGGCTATCGCCGGACGCATCAAAGTTCGTATGCGGCACAATGCACGGTACGGGCTGCAGAAATTAGATGAATTGATTGGTTGGTTGGTTTGTAGGTGGGTGGTGGCAAGCCCATCATCGAAAGAATCGATAAAATTGCATCTATTGCATGTACTCACTTACCTTGTAATCCATTTCTCTTGTTTTTAGTGTTGTGATTTTCTTAATGAGTATAACTGTTGATTGCACCACTTGGCTCTCTTTGGCAATTGGCTCTCTTCGATGCAATTCTATTGCAAAATTGCTATTTAAAGTGAATTCTTGCGTAGCTATCTACGTGTCACTTGCCCGTACCTTTTGCTACTGACGCACGATGACCAAATAAACAATTATCTCTGCCCGCAGTTGTCGTAGTCTCTGCTTCTGTTCTGTTTACCCCTCTTCCAGACAGAGAGAGAGAGAGAGAGAGAGAGACAGAGAGAGAGAGAGAGCTTTTTATGACGAAGCTTTTGATTCGGTTTAACTTCGGCTTTATTCGAAATGGGAATGCATTTGTGCTTATATAATGCGCATGGCATTCGCATGATTCATGTTCAAATACAAATGAGTGTATGAGTATAGCCAATTAATTCATTACTCATATGTGTGTATGTATATAGATATATATATATATATGTGTATATATATTTGTTATCTTTATTAAATCTCGTTAAATAGTTAGATGTTGTCTGTTGCATGAGCTACATATTTTTAAATATACTACATTTAACATGAGGGGGTCGAAAAATTCTTCATTCTTCTAATTCTCAACATGTTCGTTTCATGCACGTGTATGTAAATATCGCATTATATATGTATATATATATATATATATATATATATATGTGTATTTCTGTTCTCATATTTTATTTTATTTATATTATATAAACGTATCTATTTGCTGCTGTTGGGAGAACACAAACAGAGCAAATGAGGTGTTATTTTCAATTTGTTTTCATTTTACTTTTACTTCAATATTAAACAGAAAAAAAGAATACAAATCAGTTCTAATCATACTCATAATATGTATATCGAATAAATTACAATACCAAAGTTGTTCAATTCAGCACGCAGAACATATCGTTTCGTATTTAAACTAAAACCGTTTATAGCTTACATTGCATGCTTTATTTAATCGCTTTTTTTATGTTGTTTTGTTTTTTGTATTTATGTCGAAATTCATTTGATGAATTTCACTTAAATACTAATAATCGACCAGCTAATCGCAGAAACGGGGAGGATTATGCCAACTAGATGTTTACAGTGGTCGCTCAATAATTGAAAAATCAGAAGTAGAAAAAAGGAAATGGTAATCGCTATTTTCAAGTATATAATTAATGGTTATTTCTCTGTTATTATACACGTTTCGACACCTACTTTTTTGTTTGTATATTAAAGCGGCAAATAAATTTGAAGCTTTCCAACTGTCGAGTGACGACTGTAAGCGGAAAATATGCTGTGCATAGACAAATTTGGATCGAACTTGACATTATAAAATTGGCTAACTTAGGTAAATTTAAAAGTTATACAAAACAGAAAACATTACAAAAATTGTATGGTTTTGGGTTCGATTTTTTGTGTTTGCTTTTTTGCGTGGTTTGTCAACTTTTTGGCAGCGAATGCGAATAGCAATAACGATTATTGTTTAGACGAAACGTATCTCGGCTGGAAATGAATCATGCCTGAATGCCCTGGGGTTAAGTTTAGACCTCGTCGTTTTGGTTCATCTTGAGCTCATTGAGTGTCGCATTGAATCGCGACCATTCATCGCGCGACGGCAGCGCCAGATGCTCAGCCACATCGTAGACATACAGTTTGCCGGACTCATCACCGATGGTCACATGCAGTCCGGATGGTGTCCAGGAGACGCGATTGAGCGCTGGCGCACCGTCGACAACGATTGATGCTGTTGGTACTTCGGTGTCCTGATTGAGATTCCATAAATCAAGACGACCGCTACCATCAACAGCAGCAAAAAGGGCGGGATGAACGGGCGACCAGGCGACATCCATCACATAGTCCGAGTTATCCTCAAATGAGTATAGCGGTTTGGTATCCTGCAAACGCAAACATATTAATTAAATGATACCAAGAATCATCACAGAGTAGTCACTCACCTTGAGAGACCAGAGCTTAATGGTCCAATCAATCGATGACGTTAGGAACAGATGACCAAAGTCCGGCGATGATTGATTATAGTGCGTTGAAATGCCGGTTATCGGACCCAAGTGTCGCTCAAATACCTCATTGACGCCCGATCGCAAGCCATGACGCGATGCGGAATAAACATAGCCATCCTCGCTGCCCATAACCAGGCTATTAATCTCATTGGCCGGGAATGCCATGCTTGTGATGGCAATTGCCTTCGACTGGCGCTGTTGCAGTTCGAGCGTATCCTGCGGCTGGGAAAGCATGTCCAGCGACCAGGAGCACAGTTTACCATCCGACGAAATCGAGATGACATTGTGCGCATTTTGTGTGCCAACCATTTGCAGACAGTAAACGGGATGTGTGTGCGCCGCAGCACTGAGTGGTGTACGCTGTATGGGTGTACGTTTCTGGACACGATTATCCCAGAGCACAATCTGACCCGAATAGGTGCCGCCCAATATTAGATTCGGATTGAACTTGGCAAAGCAGGTGGACATCACAGCGCTCTGGCAGTGGAATACATCCTCTGGCGTTTGCTTCTTAAACTTTGTATTCCATACCATAACAACGCCATCCGGTTCATTGGGACTCTCCTCATTGTTGTGATACGAGGCAACGACCAGCTCCGGAAAGTGTGTCGACCAGTCCATGCTCGTTATGCAGCGATTCTTTGACCAGCGCTCATCATAAAATACACGATTCAGCGAGAGACGTGCATGGGATCGTTCATCGTTGGCCTCCTCGTTGTCGCCGCAGCCAATGTAGTCCGTGTAGATGTCCACGTTCTCGGAGAGGGCGCGCTCAATGACGCGACCGGCGCGCAATACGAACCTTTGGAAGTCCTCCGACAAGATGATCATTTGTTTCTGCTCCTCCGACAGTTCCTTGACTGCACAAATCGGATACAAATCGCTTATTATATTATATTGTGTACAATTGTGATAATTTGCATAATTTATATATTATATATTTTTGGTTTAGTTTTCTTTTTTCTTTTTTTTTTTGTTTTCGGCATACTCACCCTCCTTCTTCTCCTCCTGCTCCTTCTTTTGCTCGAGTGGTGTAATGGCCGGCGCCACATCTTTGACCGTGGGCAGTCCGTGGGTGAGATAGCCGGGCGGCAGTTTGGAACTAAAGCCGTGATCGAGATGTGGCAGCGAGCTCTCTTCGTCATCTCCTTGGGCATCAAATGCAAGCACTGTTTAATGTATAAAACTAACACAGCTAGAGGAACATGACAATCGACAGAACAGGAACAATTCTACTTTTTAGTTTTTGATTGACTTTCTTTTTTCTTTTCTTAGCTGCATTTTGTTTTAGTTTCTTTTTTTCTTATAACGGGCGCTTTAACGGTTATTCGTGGCGTTTCTTTTTACACATATAGTTTCTCGTATATTTGGTTTTTGCTTGTTGTCTCTGTCATTCTAGCAAAATTCGTTATTTCCTTTCTTTTTTTGTTTGTTTTGGCTTTGTTAAAGGGGCTTTGTGGGTATGGGTGTGTGTGTGTGTGTTTGTTGTGTAGATTTGTTTTCGCGAAAGTGCGGTTAGGTTAAGGCGCAGTGTTGGGAAAGAGCAAAAGAAATATGGATCGACAAGAGAGAGAGAGAGAGAGAGCGAGAGAGAGAGATAGAGCACAACTCTTGAACTCTTAAAGAGCAGCTCCAACACACCTGTGTGTGGGAGTAGATGGAGAGCGGGCTTTAGCGAAAGAGGAAAATGGATAGAATAGATAAAATAGACGGTGGTCGCTCGAAAGATATCAATTCGACATTGTAGCTGTCCAACTCTTGAATTTCGTTTTCTTTTTGAGAACATTTTTTAATAAATTTAATTTTTTAAATATTTAAGTTTGTTTTGTAGAAAAATAGAATTTTAAGATTGCTATTGTTTTGAAATTAGAATCGTTTCCGCTTACTATTGAGCGACCACAGTATATAATATATACATAAATAGTCAGGGAGATCAGGTGAATGACGGTTAACCGCCAAAAAGAGTAAGACAGTGGGAGAAAGAGAGAAAGAGAGAGAGGGAGACACCCACACTCACGCACATATACTAGTGCAATATCGAAGAGTAAAATGTTTAATAGATATTATACACTAAGTATTTATTTATGTATGGTTTGCGTGTGTGTGCGTGCGTGTGTGTGTGTTCTGTGTTTGTGCGTGTGTGCGAATGTACTAGTTGCTGTTAGTTGTGCTTTCGACTTACACCGTTCAACTTAATACATAAAGCCAATTATAAAACAAAACAAAAAATGATTATTTTTAAAATATAAAAATAACAAATTAATTTTTATCTCATACGCCGTTAATATATGTTTGTATATGTGTGTGTGTGTGTGTGTGTATATATATATATTTATATATATGGATGTACATTTTTATATAGTGTAGCAGCATAAGAGAGATAAAGAGAGAGAAGAATAGAGGTATATTTCAAGTAATATTATAATGTATTGTAGTGAGTATTTGGTAGATATGAACTAGTTTCAATTTTAACACATATGTCTGCAGAACTCTATTAACACTTCCTTTTTTTCGTCTCTAATTTATATTATTGTATAACACATTTTTTTCAGTTTTCTCCACCCAGTTTATAAATTTTTGCGCTTATAATTATGTATGTATGTATTTTATGCTAGAATATATTACAGATTTGTTCTTGTTTCCTTTGTTTTATGTTTATCATTTAACATAATCAGCCAACAGAGTTCGCTTTTTTTTTGTGTGTGCTGTGTTGTGGGTACATTTAACAGTTAACGGTACATTTAAATTAGCCGCCGACAACGCGCTTCGCTTGCTGTGCTTCGTTGAGAGAGTGAGTGAGATGGCGAGAAATAGCGAGCTGGAAATTGCTTGTGTATTGGTGAAATAAAATATAGCAAGAGAGAGGGAGAGGGAGAGAGTGTGTGTGTGTGACAGCCAGTATTGGGCTACATTGTGCGTAAGAAAATGAGAGAGACAGAGAGATAGATAGGTTTAGAAAGTAAAACGTCAACGGCCAAAACAAAGCCAGACAATTCTCAGCTAGCGTAAAATTTCCCCAAAATAAGAAACAGAAGAATTTAGGCTATAATTTCTGAATGAGAGTATTCGGTATTCGAGTCATTTTTTAAGGTTAATTGTTGCACGCAGTTAGCTTAGTTGTTGGCATTGAATGATGTAGATGGGTTTTTGCGACTTTGAGGTTAGAGCACAAATTAATGAAGAAATGGGAGTTATTGTTTTTGTAAAATGAGGCTTGATCCATGCAGGCAGGCAGATTATCACATGGAATTTATTAAGTATTCAGCAAGTAACGGTTATAATCTTCTTAAAGACAGACAGAGGGAGATATAGAGACAGGGAGAGAGAGCGAGAGAGAGAGAGAGAGGGAGACGGTAGGGTAGTGTATTTGTCTGCGTGTGTGTTTGTGTGTGTTTCTAGAGTGTGACAGCCAGCGCGAAGCTTATTATCTTCATTTTCTGTTGTTGTAATTTTTAATTTTTAATTAATTTGATTAATTAAACTTGTGATCAACGCGTTGTAGTTAGAATTTGTACGTTCCTATTTTGCTTCATGTCGATTCCCGTCACTGTTTTCAAAACGCCTTTCGGTTGGGTGTACCTACCTGTGAATTCATCCTCCCACTCTAAACCCGGATTAAGATTGTATTCATCTTGAAGAAATATAAAGAAATAAATATATTGTACATATACATTGTGGTTGTTTGTTGGTTGATTTTGGTGTTTTGTTATTTTTTTTTCTTTTTTTTTTTGTTTTTTTTTTTTCTTGGTTCACTCAAAATCAACGGAAATTAACGCTCGCATCGTGGCCATAACGAACCGCCCTTTGAATTAATCAATTTTTGTTGTTGTTTAAAATAAAGTATTGAAAAAAAAAAATGTTTGAACAAAACGATAAAAAGCAATTGAGTATTATGGATATAAATGTTTCGTGGAGGTGTATCGATGTTATATGACACATCTGGAGTACATATATATTATGCAGATGTAAAACATAAATTATGGTTTTTCGATAAGTATTAGCACACAAGTCGGCCAAAAGGGGCGACCATTCAGATTATAATACAATGTTAAGATTATAACTGATAAATACTAAATTCAATATGTTTATATATTATATAGTATACATGATATTTCTCAGTGCTTATCACATGCATTCGTGTTCAATATAAATGTGTGTGTGTGTTGTGTGTGTGTGTTTTGTGAGTGTGTAGGTGTAGCTTACATTTTGTTTTATACTTAAGATTATAATCAGTAGTTATACTCGATACTTGCGTTGGAAAAGCTGGCTAGGCACATTATAATAATATTAGACATACATATATATATAATATATATATATATATATATATATATGTATGTATAATTTTGGTTATGCTAAAAACAAAAAAGTACGAAGATTAACAAGGCAAACCTCGTCTAATAACTAATACTAGTGCAGAACAGTTAACTGTTATCCGCAAAATTAAAATGCGAGCTTTGTTTTTTTTTTTGTTCTTAAGAAAAGAATATATGTATATAAATATATATATATAAAAAAAAAACTTAAAAAATGTCAACTACTTAAACGAATTAAAAAAAACTTATAAATTGGGTGGAGTTGAACAATTTCATATACATAGTTATAAACGTTTCGTTTATATATGTATATATATATATAAATATATAGACGATAATGCTGACAGAAACTGAATTTCTTTTTTTTTTTTGCATATTATGCTGTCAGAGCGCTACATATAAGTCAATCAATATAATTAGAAACAAAAATCTCCAAATTGTAGTTTCAAATCGTATTAAATCAAATAAGGGAATAATTTGTTTCGGAAAAAAGCAATTTAAGAATTTATATAGATATGTACGGATATTTGGATACAAGTTATCAGTCATAACCAAAGAGCGACAAGCAGTAATACTATAGAATAGAAACTACATACACACAAAACTAACGAGTAAAAAGTAACGAGAGGTTATACGTAGCGAGTAACTACAGCAAGAAATTGAGAGACAGAGATAAATAGAGAGAGAGAGAGAGAAGGCGAGAGCGAGAGATTTTGGGAGATACACATACGTATAGAGAGATAGAGAGAGAATACAAGAGATACATATGCAGCATATCCATATCGATATATAGATGATGGATATATATATATTCTATAGTTTCTACTTGGGATAGGTATTTAAGTAGTTACATACAAAACTCAACAACTACTCACCATAATAATCCGTAGCATGAGCTGCAGTTTTTTTTGCGTGCGTACCAAGAACAGATAAAAGGGGGAAGAAAAAGTAAATAGACAAATTATTAAATGCGCTCAATCAATGCCTACAAATACAATGAAATACATTGCCTATTTGTGTGTTTGAATTCAAAATTGAAAGCAGCGAATGCGTAAACTGAAAGCATCAAACGATGAATGATCCAAATGATATTATAAAACACAAAACCAATAAATAAATGAGCCTATGTAATATGTCAAGGAAAATGAAAAATTTATATATATATATATAGCATACAAATACATACATAGATTGTATATGTTTGCATTATTGGTTATCATAAAGAATTATTATGTGCTTTTATCTAAAATTTGAAATTGGTGGCTGCTTAAAACTATGTTTAATACCTTTACGTGGACGCCACCAGTCCTCCATATATCCTGACAGAGGCGATGAGTGGCAAGAAGAAACTGTATTTGTTATTTTATTTCACTTATGATATTTGCTTGCTCTATTTTGTTTCGATCAGAACTTTGCGACAGCTCAGAGCTCAGAGCCAACAACGATTAAAGCGCAACACAAATGTGGCAAATATGTGTGATTTGGTGGCGGGTTGGTTGCGGGGGGAAGAGTGGACATAGTGCGGGCTACTTTGGAGTGTTGTATGAATGGACGGGGTGTGTTGTATTAAATACATATGTTGTATATTAGAAGAGCATTTCGAGTATATACTTTAGCGAACAGACGGCAAAATAGAGAGGCAATCACAGTTACATATATATAGATAGAGTTGTGAATTCATACACACAAAATAAAGTAGTAGTCAGAAAATAACAAACTATGGAAAGTGTTTACACAATAGCCATTAATGATTTCGATTTGGTTACACTAACTAGCATAGGGTACTATATATATACATTTGTGTGTTGTGTTTTTATATAAAGTATATATCAAGTATATATATATATATATATATATATATATATATATATATATATATATGTAAATATATATAAATATATATTGTATACGCACCATCACGCTCGTGTCCGCCGGTGCTGGTGGTCTGTGTTTGTTTCGTATAGACAAGTGTCTCCTTTGGTGGAATGTTTGTTGCTTGCACATTGTAAACGCTCAGATTTAGTGGCTGCTTTTTGCCAACGCTGTGTGTTAATTTTCATATTAGTTAGATAAATATCAGATTAGAAAACAGAATCTATTACGCTGGTCGCTCGAAATGGCACTCTTTCTAGAGCATCTTTTCGTGTGACCAATGATTTCTTATTTATATCTTTTTACCCCTGTCCATTGACGGTCGCCTGCAAACTAACATCGGGCGTTTGTGTATTGGAATTATCGGATGTCAGCGAATTGGCTGAAGACAGCGATGACAACACTTCCGAAACGGGCGCAACGCCCAGTGATGAGAGCATCTCATCCAAATCTCTAAAGGAAAATGATTCATATCACAATGGAGATTATACAGATTAGATTATATATATATATTTTTTTTTATATCGACTCACTTGCGCTGATCTTTGTCGATGCCGGTGCCGGTGCCAATGCGTCCAGCGGCCTCTTCCATATCTTTTATCTCCTTTTCTCGACGACGTCGATCCTTCTCCTCGCGCAGTGCAGCCAATTTGGCCTTCTTACGCTCCAGCTCAGCCTTGCGATCCATTTTGGAGGTGTGGCAATTCTCGTTTCTTGCAAGTAAATGTCTTTTTTTTTTGTTTTTTTGGGTGCAGAGGGTGGGGGATTGGCTGTTGACTATTGGACTACAACAACTACAACTACAGCGAGTGCAGTTTGGAAGCAGCAGTTTAAGCTACGCTTGCTGCAACAGATAGAAAAACAATGAATCAGTTTTAGCCAAAATCTAACCAATATTGGTCAGCGCAGCTGCTTGATGATGTCACCCCAACAAAAGACAACAACAGCAACTGGCCAAATTTAAGAAAGCCTCACAATTGTGTGTGTGTCTGCGTTTGTAATAAAACTTTATGCAAATTTGTTATCCTTAATTCGTTGGGTAAATGCCAGCAGCCGGATTGCCAACAAAACTGTATGTCGAATTAAAAAAAAAATCAATATTCAAATGCCAACCACAATGATGTGATGACGGCGGCGCAGCAGAAGCAGAGGCAACAGCAGAAACAGCGCTGTCGTCGTTGTGACGTCGTTTTCAGCTTTTCGCTCGTGTGCCCATTTTCTGCTTTCCATAAATGATCAACGGAATAACGCACATCACTTATTACTTAGTACACAAATGAATCACACCTTTAAATGTTGTTCACACGCTGGTTTCTGTCGAATTTAACGCTCTCAAATTGTTGTTAAAATAACATTTTATTACAATTGAAAAAGCGACTGCAATGTTTTGCGAAGAACGCCAGTGTGACCGCAGGCAGCAAATGAAATTTGTTGATATAATCGATATACCAGAAATACCGTAGCTAGCAACAGCCTGCGGAATGCGCAGAGGTGGCAGCACTACACTTATGCTCGTTTTTCATTTGATCTGGCTAGGCTTGAGGGCGCCAATTTGAAAAATGCTTAACTTGTTTTGTTTTGTTGTGCAAAAGCAGAAAACAAAGAAAATGTCGCAAACGCAATTTAATTGTTGTAGCTTTTTTTTTCACCTACCAATAGTGACATTTATTAATGCAAGAAGCATTTCAACGTCAAGTGAAATCATTAAGAATCCGCCTTCGATGATAGTGGTTCACCCACAAGTGGCCACAATGGAAATAGAAAGCTAATGAGAATGCTACTTGTTGTAATGTGTGATTTTATGCACCGAAACATAACTGTAAACTGTGGGTTTACTCTCTGTGTGTGTATGTGTGTGTGTGCAATTGGCATATTAAGCGGCCTTTTCCATAATTACCCATTAATTGTTTGGCTGACCTGGCACCAAATGCCATGTGAAAGACCAACTTGTCTGCCAAGTTGTGTGATACCCACACACACACACACACACACGCACAAACGCACCCAGTGACAATGACATAGTTGGGCGGTTCGTTCACTTTTGACAGCGCAGCCCAGCCTTAAAAATTGTACACTAATACATTTTTTAATATATGTACATATGCATTGTACATAACAAAAGTGTTGTTGCTTGATTTTTATGTATTTTGTCTTTTACAAGTTTTATTTTTGTTTTTATTTTTCCTTTAGGTTGGCGCATCTTCATTTTAAAAGCCACCAAGTTGATGGCCTATAAATTGCATATGCATCGATGTCGTAATGCCAATAATATTAACTCTGATTGTGGAGCGTCTCCAATACAACACAAAGCTGGAGCTTTTTCTTTTGGCTAACGTGGCTGGCTGACTGCAGTCCAAGCGAACTAAAAAAAAAAAAAAAAAAACAGAAAAAACAACAAAGAAAAAAACCTTGAATTACAAAATCTTTCATTTGGCTGATGCTCCAGGCAGAAGCTGTTAGTTGCTGTTGTTGATTGTGGTAAATCAGCGCATCTGCCAGTTATTACAGCAACAACAACAACAACAGCAACGAAAACAACGAAAACAACGAAAACTTAATGAAGCCAAATTCGTTGTTGCCAAACTGTGAAGCAGTTTGTCTTTTTTTTTTTGTTTATCAGCTTTTGCTAATTGCAAGAGCTGTTTGCATTTATTATGAAAACAGTTTATAATGATGCGCACATAATTTACAAATTCATTTGCTAATATTGGTCAATTTTTTAGAATTGATATTGTTTGCTTCTGCTAGAAGCTCTTGTGGAAGCTGTTAGTTTTTTCTGGTATTTTTGTGGAATGCCGGTCGAAAGTAAAAGTTTATTTAATGAACTTTAACTAGTTGCTAACTGATTTTTAGGTCTACCTTTGCCTGTGGTTTTTCTTGTTTTTTTTTTTGTTTTAATTAAGTTATTTTTTTAATACTCGTACTATGCTCGTGCTGTTTGCCGGCTATTTGGATGCTGCTCAAGGACAACAGGTTTTTTCTTCTTCTTTTTACTTTATCGGGCAATGCGTTTGCGTCACATTTAGCATAGCCGCATTTACATATGTATGCTTAATGCTTATATTATGTATAATGCCAATATATTTACCATTCATTTCATACGTACATATTTCATATTCAAATTCATACAATTTGGAACTGCTTGACACAGTTGCCTTTTTCTTGGTTTGCGCTTACGCATCCTGTCCACCTGGCTTGCCAACTGGCAGCCAAAATTTATGTGCATATGCTAATATTTATTTATTTTTATTTTTTGCCCACTTCATTTGGGTGTGGCCAGAGCGAAAGGCTGATGACGTTTTTAAAATTGCATTTACTAATCGATGGCGCTTGAACGTGTACACACATATATATATATATATATATATATATATATGTACACGCGCAACAGCTCCAAGTGAAATGGTGTAGCTGTTATTTGAAAGGGTTTTGTCGCTCGTCTTGAATTTAACATTTGGATGGCTATCAAGTTGCTGTTGTTGTTGCTGTTGTTGTCTGCTTCTTTTCTTATACCTTTTGGCTTTTTATTGCTGTAAATTGCTCAGCATTTGAATGCGCGTCGTTAACCGGCAAAGTTTCAGTTAAATCGTTGGCGCATATGAATTTAGTATTCTTTGTTTTTTTCACTGGGGCTTTCATGCACATACAAATTGAACACTTTATGGGGGCACATATATATACATATGTATATATATATATATGTATTCATGTATTTACTTGCTTCATTACAGCTTTGTTTTGCCTTTCTTCGCCGTCGCCGCCGCTGCTGCTTCCCCAGGTTTACTTTTGCGCCTGCGCCCAAGCGACGTCGACGGCGCTGCCAGCATTGAGCATTGCTGTTGCTGTGGCTGTTGCCGTTACCGGTGAAAAAGTCTTGAAAAGTGCGCCTCTTTGGCGTTTCGTTGTTAGTTTAAGTTTAACCATCGCACGCTGGAGTCGCGATTTAGTTGTCCGCTAAAAGTTATTATAACTTTTTTTTTTTGCCTGAAAGGATTGTCACACACACTCACACAGTTGTGAGACATTAATTTTTTTTTAAATTTAGTTTTGTTGTAAAAATAGAAAAAGAAAAAAACAAAATGAAATTATTTTTATGTGCCATTGCTGTGACGCTTTATGTGGCGGCGACAAGTGAGTGAAGAATTAATTCATTTCTATTTCCTTTGTTTGCACTCAAATCGATCAATCGAGCAACAAAGCAATTTGTTTTTGTGCAACGATCGGTTTTATTCCGTTCGTTTTGGCCAGTTGACGAAATAACGAAATAAAACCAATAACAACAAGAACTGAAAAATTTGACAGCTCTGTGCTAAACACTTTGACATTGACTTCATATTAGTTGGTATTAGTTAATGTGTGCAAGCTTTCGTTAAAAGTTATCTACGCCAACCATTGCGACACTGCCGTTGAGCAACGGTAAATATGTATTTTCGGTTGAGTGCACGCTTGCATTTGATAGATTTATCGGGCTAATGCTAGAAACGGGAAATGAATGTACATATCTGTATGTATATGAATATAGGTGTGTACGACCCTGTCTGACATTTAGATGGCAGTCAAATGTCGCGTTATTAGCCATGCGTTAAATGCCGTAGTTCAATTGCAAAAACAGGTAATAGAAAACCGGCTAAGAGCTGTGGCTAAGTCTGGGCCTGGGCGTCTGGGAAAACCGGACAACCGACTTCAACTGTAACTGGAATTGGAACTGGAACTGAGACTAAAACTGGGACTGGGACTGCGACTTCGACTGAGACTGCGATTGAAACTGCGACTGCGACCGAGCCAAGCCCAAAGCTCGATTATGCAACTGCTGTTGCTGTTGCTGCTGCTGCGGGTAACAGCTACAATTGCTGCAAGACAGGGCCAGAAACAGGAAAAACCCAAATGCGGCTTGTTGCCAATGTTCGATCGTCAATTGATCTGTTTTTCTTACCACTTTTTTTTTTCAAGTAGGAAACACTGGTTTGGGACCGGTGAAAGCGAGGCAAAAAACAAAAATAATAAAAAGAAGACAAAACTGCTCGATATACAGTTTAATGAACTTTTTCCCCAAAAAAAAGACTCCTATTATCGATAGCTAATGGAACTTGTTGTTGTCTATTGCGATCTTAGGTGCAGCTGACTTCGAGTGCCCAAAACCCAATGGCCAATTTGCGGATGAGGTGCAGTGCGACAAATACTTTGAATGCTCTGAGGGCGTACCCAAGGCGCATCTGTGTCCCGATGGCCTCGTCTTTGATCCGCTCAATCGCAAGTTCAACAAGTGCGATCAGCCCTTCAATGTAGACTGTGAGGATCGGACGGAGTTGCGTAAGTTGTTCAAAATGAAATCCAAAATGATCCGTTGACATTTCCCAATATCCTTACAAAACAGAGGAGCCCAAGTCGAGCAAGTATTGTCCACGCAAGAACGGATTCTTTGCGCATCCGGATGCGAGCGTTTGCAATCTCTTTTACAATTGCATTGATGGCGATGCCCTGGAGATGAAGTGCACCGTCGGTCTGCACTTTGATGAGTATTCTGGCACCTGTGTCTGGCCCGACACCGCCAAGCGTGAGGGTTGCGGCGATCCAGAGAGTAAGCACATACTTTATCAATTTATAGTTAACTATCTAACACTTTATATTTGTCCATAATTATTATTTGTAATACTTATCCGGCTGTATTCGACTGTCTTCTTTGTTTTTTGCGCAGAAAAATCGGAGAGCGGTTTCACCTGCCCCAAAGATCAGCCAAAGTCAGATTTACGCGGCCAAGTGGTGACACATCCCAGATATCCACATCCCACCGATTGCCAGAAGTTCTATGTATGTCTGAATGGCGAGGATCCGCGCGATTTGGGCTGCCAGCTGGGCGAGGTCTACAACGATGAAAGCGAGATGTGCGATGCGCCCGAGAATGTGCCCGGCTGTGAGGATTGGTACAAGGAGACCGATGATAAGAATTAAGCCGGACGCACTGCCGTGTGCCACCCGCCGATAAACAACGCACAGCCGCACATCCTCTTCACCCATTGCCCCCAAAACGCGCGTCTACAACAGATACCCAAAATGAGAGAGACACACACATACACATACACACACACATACATGCACAGACACAGAAAAAGACACAGTTAGACTTGGACTTGGACAGCAAGACATACGGAGCCTGGAGCCGGAGGCAAAATTGGAGCCACTGGCCGGACGCGCGTAGTAGTCACTAAAACTTAGTAGTTTGTAGCCTATTCCTATAGCGCGTATGTGTAGCACTTAATTTCCAAAACTTTTTACTTAATACTCGATACTCGTTGCTCGTTACTCGCTACTTTGTCCTAACGAACAACGAGTATCATACTTTCTTCTCTCTTCTCTGTTAAGCTTTTTTACTCACTCTTTCTGTATCTTTTATTCTATCTACAATCTTCTGTTTTCCTCTGTACTGTCTACTTTCTATCTATGATCTTAACTTCTATATGACTCTTTGTGTATATATTTCCTCTTTCATTTACTATCTATTAATTAATATACAAAATCAGAAAAATAACAAACCATCTGTGCTGTTTTACATTTCCTTTCTACTACTATCTATTTTCTTAAATATTGTATCTATTTAAAAATATAAACTGCTATTCTTTTTATAATCTATCTATCTATTCATATTCTGTTTTTATCATCTATCAAAATTCTCGTTTTCTTTTTCCTGTGTATCTTTCTATTACATTTCTGTACCTCTTTGATCCTTATGAACATCTACTCTAATATATTAATATAGCTATGGACTCACTTTTTATGTCCATAATAATCGATCTATAAACTTGGGACAGTTTGTCAATATTCATCTTTTATTTTTAAACTATTTTTCTAGATTATTCCACTTATATCTTATTTAAGTGAAGGTTCTTTGGTCTAGACTACCCATTAATTTCTTGTAAATTTATTACCAATGACTTTCCTCAACTGACCTATTAATTTAGTCTATATACTCTATCTCTCTCTCTCTCTCTCTCTCTCACTCTCTTGTCTCTCTCTCTCTCACTCTCTTGTGTCTCTCTCTCTCTCTCACTCTCTCGTCTATCTCTCTCTCTCTCTCTCTCTCTCTCTCCCTCCCTCTCTCTCTCTCTATCGCTCTCTCTCTCTCTCTCTCTCTCTCTCTCTCTCTCTCTCTCTCTCTCTCTCTCTCTGTCTATCTCTCTCTCTCATTCTTGACTCCTTTTTATGCTAAACTTAAACTGTTTTCTTGCCTACCGGGCTGACAGCCGATATAACCTAACCTAAACTGTTTTCTTAATTGATCTTTCAACATTTTTCTTTTTCACACTGAATTTCTTTTGTTTGAATCAATAATTTGATTTACTTTTCTGAACTATTTCGTATTACTTCCATTTTCTGCGCTATTCACGCAATCTTTACTAATAATACTATATCTTCTCCCCTATAATAAAAAGAGGAATGCACTGAGTGATTAATCATAGATTGAGCGCAATTTATTTAATACCCACAACAACGAATACATTCATACAACATTCACAACACAACAACAACAACAACAAAATATTCATTTCCATTTGCCAACTCATTCGATTAAATAACAAGATTGAAATTATGCCAATTGTGTTTATCTTGCGAATATGAAGATTTATATATATGTATATATATAATACATATACGAGGGCAAATCGATTTATCGTTAGTCTTGCATTTGAAATGGAGACCCACTCTCCCCATGCCCCTGCCCTTTCCGCATTCGCATCCTATTATTTAATAGGTGCCTAAGGGGCCCCTTAGGTCCACATTAAGTGAGCTTCATTAGCCCCTTGTCAACCAACACACACACACACACACACACACACAATAACCGTTAATTGCATTTGGCCAATAAGTAAACGAACCAAGACAAATAATCTAAAACAGACTGAACTATTGATACCCTTACAAAGCTGTGTCTTCATACAAATATTCAGCAACACAATTCATACAAAAAGATAACTTCAATAAAAACTTTACTCAAGCACAAGATAAATGCTGTATTCATTATATATCAGTTTTGTGTTCATTGCATAAAAAAAACTTACGGATTTCGTAAAATTTGTGAGTGCAATTCATTTTATTTATTTTGTGGTGTAGTTGTGGTTATAGGGTATAAATGTGATGGATATGTTGAATTTAAGCTCACACTCTCATCTCAAGTACACTTTAACTTAAACTCAAGAATTCCGTGAACGATTTCAGACATACTTTTAACAACTTTGGCTTAATGCGAAATTTAAAATATGATTGGGATAGGGTTGATTTTATCCGCATAACAACCAGGATGACGAAGCCATGATGCCCACTTCAGCAAAAGCCAAGCTTTCGAGCTAAGTTTTTGTTATGCAATCGTCAGTTGCCTGGGCTAACTGACAACAACAACAACAACAGTTTTGCAATAGTTAACAATGTAACGGTAATCGGCAAGACGAACGAAAGCAAAGCAAGACACGAACACAAACACAACATACACACACGAGCCCGAGGCAAGCCGAATGCAATCAATGAATGAAGCTTACGAGCTGCTTGAGCTTTGCCTTTTACTTTCAATCACACATGTTGGCAACTCCAGTAGCAACAACAACAGTAAGAAAAATCCCAAATCACGTTTTGCATTTTGTACTTATACCAAAATCGGTCGATCAATCATTGCGCATGCTCTGCGCTGTGACAACATAGTCAATACACACACACTCACACACACAGACACACTCACACGCACACCTAAGTGTGTGCAGCACACATGTATTCATGCACTGCATGCGCCTCCCTCTCCGCCTCATCCACTACACTCAATTCAAATACGGCGCGCAAACGCAAAAGCCAAATAAAAAAAAGCAGAAAAAAGCTTTGCAAACTTTTGTTTCTGTTTTTGTGTTTCTGTCGCCACCGTTGCGGACGCCTCCGCTGCTGCTGTTGCTGCTGCTGCTGCTACTGCTGCTGCTGTCTGCGCTGTTACTTCTGCTTCTTCTTCTTCTTGAGCGCGGTATAAATCTTTTTCAGTTGAGTTTGGAACGCGCAACCGTTAAAACGTGAAACGTCTGCAGCGGAAATTTTGAGTGTCGCGCTGTAATATTTAAATCGAAATTGAAAATCGCCGTCGTCGCTGTTGCTGTTGTCACTTTTTGTTTTTTTTTTTTAGTCAATTGCCATTTTTTGTTGTTGTTTTTTTATTAGCATTTCCGTTAGCTGATTTCGAATTCGCCGCAACATGCAACGAGTGCAAGTGAGCAGCGTCCTGATCCTGGCCATGTTTGCCTTCGGTAAGTGAGCGTGATATTAATAATTGTATATGTTTTTTTTGCTTTTCATTTGAATTATTTAACTATTGTGGAATATATGTAATCGCCAATGGGAGAATTAGCAATTAGCGCAACCTTCCATTGCGTGATTTGGGTTGGCTTGGGTTGAGTTGGGTTGGGTTGGGCACATTGCTTGAGCTTTTACTTTCAAAAATTCCAATCGCAATCGCATTGAAACCAAAACCATTTGAGTGCGACCGTTTTTTTGTTGCTTTTTTTTTCTTTTTTTCTTTACTTTTGTTTTTGTTCTCGCACACCAGCTCCAACCAGAATCCAGTTTAATTACCTAGTCAACCAGTGGTCGACTAGTTTGACGAAGGCTAGACCAAAGATTTGATTTGATTTGATTCGATTTCGATTCGATATTCGAACTGGAATTCGAATTGCCCTCTCTAACGTTTTCTGCTCCAATTAGCTGCAACTGTAAAAGTGACGGACGTTTAACCCTGAAGTTGATCAACTTCAGTTGGGTGGTTGCGCCACCCCTGCCTCCCTTGCCATAAAATACGCAATTGTCCACGGACTTCGCATGCAAATCACGTTCAATAATTTTGCTTTTGTTAGGTAGAGCCGCTGAGCTACTGAGCCACTGAGTCACCCTGTCAGCCAAGAAAACTTCATAAGCATCCAGATATTTACATATGTGTGCACTGAGAAAAAAAGTAAGTCAAGTCTCTTGACAACGAAAAGTAACACCAAACTATTTTCGTATGTTATAACATTTATGGTTTTTCGTAGGCACTATTATTAGTGTACGACGATAATTTGAAATTCATTCGAGATTGGTATTAAAAAGTCACAATATTCCAATCAGATCAAGATTCAATAAATTGAATCCCATAATAAGTATTTATAGCTTAATTAAAACTGGACATATCCTCTTAAATCTAACGTTTGCCGCATATCAAGCGAGAGGCGAAGTACGATGTTTATGCATAGCTAATATTCGATTTTGTAGTATTCAATATTTTGATTGAAACAAATTTCTCTTGAAATGTATAAAAATAGCAAATTGATTTGAATTTGAGCTCACTGCATTTGTATAGCAAAACGAATGGGTTAAATGGCTAATTAAAATTAAAATGGCCAAACATTGAAATGATATCAATGTTGAAGCAGAACTCGGCCCGTCAAACCAGTTGATAATTAAAGGCAATAACAGTATATATTATAAATATCTAGACCCAACGAGTTTTTCAAACAGCTCGACAAAAGGTTGAAGTGCCTCTCAGTTAACATCAAGCCAAACTGAAAACTCACACATATTAAATGGCATTGCGAAATGTCTCGAGAAACGTTTTCGAAAAATTACCAATAAGCTATGGGGAAGTTATTACCGGAAATATTTAGTAAATTTTTAAATATATTTGTATATGCTGTCGCACATAAGCGATGGCTCGGTTATCCAGAAAAAATCCGAAGATAAGCTGGAAAACACACATGCAGTCGTAAAACGATCAACCTGTTAAAAGAGGCTGCTGCTTTGGGTGTCCACTGTTTGGTTACATCACTGCATCGCTAGACGAAGATGCTCACAAAGCCGGTGCCGGCCCCAAACGACGTCACTTGCACTTAACACCAACAGCAACAGCAAAAACAGCAAATGCAACTGCAACAAAAAGAAAAAAGCAAACCAGTCGTGTGTTGGATCAGTTACAAGTTGTGGGAAGGAAGGAAGTGCGCGATCAAGTTGAATAATGACCATTGGAATGGGTGGGAAAACAGTAAAACAACAACAACGACACTTTCCGCTGTTGACAATTGCTGGCTGCCATCGATAACATTGGCAGTATCAATAACGAATTCGATAACGACGATAACAAACAAGTTCAGCAAACTGATAAGCAGCTTATATTGCCCATACCGATATAATCGATAACGATAACGATCCTCACTTGCTTACGTTTTGAATTACAGGTCACGGCTTAGCCGTCGGCACACCCGAGTGCCCCGAGAAATATGGCGAACAGGCCTATGCGCATACCGAGAACTGCGATCAGTTCTTCCTCTGCACCAACGGCACTCTGACCCTGGAGACCTGTGAGAATGGTCTGCTGTTCGATGGCAAGGGCGCCGTTCACAATCACTGCAACTACAATTGGGCCGTCGACTGCAAGGGACGCCACTGGGATCGTAAGTAATCCCAAAAAAAAAGAAGAAAAATACTCAAATGATTCACTTTCAATTCTCCGTTGCGATTGTAGCCACGCCTATTTCAACACCCGGCTGCGAGTATCAGTTTGGGCTGTATGCGGTGTCCAAGGATTGCTCGACCACGTACATCAAGTGCGCCCATGGCGAGCCCCACGAGCAGGACTGCGATGCTGGCTTGGCCTACGATGAACGCATCCATGGCTGCAACTGGCCCGATCAGCTCCTTGATCACTGCAATCCCGAGGGTGAGCCTAATCTTTTCTGTTCATTTTTATCTTAATTTAAATTTGACAAAAATGGAATTGAATGCATTTGAAAAATTTGAATCAACTCTTAAAAACTCAAACTCAAACAAAACAAACTAGTAAATTTTAAACAGAAATTTTTAAAAATTATAATTGAAACTTGGTATTTTAGAAAATGCAATCAATTAAAAAAAAAACATATTCAAAACATATAAATAAATATTGTCAATTTTAAGTCATTTTAGCAAATTCCATCAATTCTTTTTTTAAATAAATAATTTGTAAAAATTTGAATTAAACTTGGTTTAAAAATGCATTTTAGAAAATCCAATTCAATAAAAAAAAAACAAATAGTCAAAATTTGATATTTATTTGAACATTTTGCAGCTGTTGTTGGCTTCAAGTGCCCAACGAAGGTGGATCCCAATTCGGTTGCCGCACGCTTTTGGCCGTTCCCCCGCTTCCCGGTGTCGGGTGACTGCCATCGCCTGATCACCTGCGTCGAGGGCTATCCGCGCCTCATCAGCTGCGGCGATGATAAGGTCTTCGATGAGCACACGCTGACATGCGAGGAGCCCGAATATGCCAGTGGCGGTTGTGCCAGCTATGGCAAATAGTGTGAACCACACACACACACACACACGCAACACACACACACGCACACACACAACTGTACATATGTACATATATATGTAAAGAGCTGCGCTCAAAGCTCACTTCAGCTCTCTCTGTATATCTCTGTCTCGCTCGCTCGCTCTCTTGTTTTCTTTTCTTCCGTTACTTTGACACGCTCTTCCTCTCTCTCTCTCACTCACTGCCTATCCCAGTCGCACTCGTTCCCGTTTCCTAGCATTAAATATTGCAATAATTATTGATAATTTTCCCTTCTTTTTTAACAATCATTTGTAAAGTTTTTTTTTTGTTATTTTCAAAAAATGAGCACAAAATGCAATAAACCTTAAATTTATTTATTGTAATATTTTTGAAAAGTGAAAATTCAGTGTTTTATTTTTATTTTTGTTGTTGTATTATGAAAGGATCTATTTCAAATGTACAAAAATTATATAAAAATATATATAGAATTACGATCGATATAGATATAGATGTATGTGTGTGTACACTGAGAGAAAACGCCATTTCTTAGCACAGAAAACAACAGCATTGATTAATGACTCAAAACTGAGAAAAGTAGTTATTTATTTATTGTAGAAGTATTTATTGTATGAGTAGAAGCGAGCTGTGGAAGTAAGATACAAAATAATGGGGATTTGTATCGCTGCAAGTGGCCAGGGGAGGGGGGCTTGCTTCACTGTACATTGATACATTGGAAGAAATTAGTCTATCACATCGAATATGCCGAACAAGACACGCCACCACGTCCACATCCATTTCGACATTAGTCGATCAAATGGCGTATGTGATCCTGCGGCGTGGAGAATATGATCGCATGGATGAGGCCATCGCGCACCGATTCTGTCGGATTGCCCACATTGAACATAAATTTGACACGCTGCCGAATGGTGTCCGGCACACAGGAGTACATCGGATACCAGCCCATCTTGTTGAATTGCACATATATCTTGTAGATCTGATTGCGATAGATGTAAACGGGCCGATCGAACGTAATGTCCAGATGTGAATCGTATCGCACCCGTGCTGTACAGTGCGTATACGTAATCCTCGAGCCGTGCATATCCTGAATGTGCGCATAGAGCACCTCGGTGTATCGCTTAGCAAAATTTGCCGAAGTCGTCAGTTCGCCGCAGAGCACCTGCGTCGGCACCTGTACGCCCAGTATCCAAATATTTGTATCCACCTTGAAATGAAAATTCGATTTTAACAAATGATTATTGCACATGGAGAACATTATTTCTAGCGAGGATTGCTTACCTGAAAGGTGACGCCACAGTCTGTAACACTGGTGTTTTTATAGTCAAATTGACGTGACATCGAGCGCATACAATAGGATCGGGTCATGTCGTGATGCGAGCTGCTCTCCACGCTGACATCACTGTTCTCATTGCCGGGCGGAGCAGCTGCTTGAGATGGTGCTTGAGCTGGTGCTCCCTCGAACGCATCACCGAATGCGGCAGCGGCGGCGGCACCGTTGGCATTATTTGATAGCGTGAGCTCATCGCCAAACCCAAAGCTGGCGTTCATCGACATATGATCCATGTGCGAGGCGTTTAAATTTAGGGGCACACTGACCCGCCGGCTTAACACCGGCTGATAGATGCTGCGTCCCGTTGTGCCCGGCAAGCAACCAGATATGGATGTGACATTGTTGCCACCACTGCCACCGATACCGCCCCCGCAACCACCGCTGCCACTGCTAATGGTGCAACCAGCGGCCACATGGCGATATGAGGAGCTCAGCTCGCGTTGACGATGCGACGATTCATAGAAATTGCGTGTGCTGCGCGAGACACAGAAACCCTCGGGCATATCATTTAGCGTGGGACTCGAGATTTTGATGAGTATGGCGAGTGCTTCGTGCTGCTGCAGCAGCTTCGACCGTGCCGGACCCTCAGCGAACTGTTGCGGCGTCATCGTGAGAAAGCGTATCTTCTTTACCGCCTGCCGCAACATGGCCCCATCCATTATTGTGCGCTGGGCATCCATCATATTGATCATGTTGGCTGCCGCCTCGGCGGCGTTCATTTCATCATTTGCATTGCCGGAGGCATCACTGTCAATGATAACATCATCATCTTGCCCAGTCGACGCACTCAAATTGGCATTCGAATTCGAAGTGGAGGCGGACGCGGATGCGACAGTGATGGGTGAACTGCAAGCGGATCTGCTGCCAGCGATCTGCTTAAAATTATCGACATCCTCATCCTGATGCAGATGACGCACCATTGCGGCCACATCGGGCTCCATTTTGATCTCCTCGACAACGACATCGTTGGCAATGTGGCTGCTGTTGTTGTCAGCCGCATCTTGTCGCTCCACGGAACTGGATGATTTTCTGGCCACCTCATCGTTGGCATTCTCATTGAGAATGCCACGTTCGCTGGCGAATTTGAGCAGGCAATTGAATAGATCCAACTCGGAGTCAATGTTGAGCCGGTGCTGATCAAATATGGCCATCAAAGTGGACACTTCAATGTCCAGGAAACTGGGATCGGAGAGCACTTCACGAGTATTGGCCGCAATCAGATCCATGCTGCTCTGCATGAGACGCGGCTCATCGAACAGTTTGGCGAACTCGTAGGCGCGACAGGCGTTTTTCGGACTCAGGTCCGCCCAGAGAAAATGGGTGCAGCGTGTCACCACATGTGGCAACATATACTTTTTGGCCACATAGCACAGTTTGCAGGCCTTGTCAAACGAACCGATTGTTATGCGATCCGTGTATATGTACTCCAGCATCGCCTCGAACGCCTCCGGCTGCACATCGGGTATGATGATCGGATCAGTCTTGTCCGGCAAATTGCCAAAGAACATCCGTTCGAAGACGGGCGACGCCATCGCCAGGAGCAGTTTGTGGCCAACGATTAAGCGTTGATTTGGCGGCGAGCCCACCACAAAGCGACAATCGGCCCATTTCTCCGAGTGTAGCAGATACTGGCCACGGTCCTTGATCTCTGTCAGACTGTTTTGCCAGTCCAGGTCCATAATGGTCGAGTATTTATTTATTGTGTATCTTTGCTTATATGTATGTCGCGGCTTCAGTGTTGAATAAGTAACGACATACATCGGCAAAAATATCGCTAAGATACGAGCAAAACTTTCTCTTCTTTTTCGATAAATGCTTTCTGTTGTAACTCAAGACACAACCCGTTAGCCAAAATTATGGGAAACTTGTAATCGAATGCAGAGTTGCATTTTGCAATATGCGCGATAAATGAAATATCGTTTTGAATACAGCAAATGGGTCTATAAAATAGCTAACACAAAAAGCAGCCAAATAAACTGTTTTGGTATTTTCGCCGTTTGCGGTCACACTGGATTCAACAGCAACAATTGCATTGCGTAGAAAAATAAAGTGCTAAGGTATACAAAAAAGTTCTGCAGCAAACAACACTATTGAACAGCATTAACTAGCGCGCTAATATTAACAAAATATGCATTAGCATAACAAAAGCAAATTAGTCCTACAACTCACCTGTGCGTTTTTTTTGCTTTGTTCTGAACAGCCTGCGTGTGCGTTTGTGCGCGTGCCGCCGTAACGTGAAATGGCAAAGAAAACGTACGATTTCCTTTTTAAACTGCTGCTAATTGGCGATTCGGGAGTTGGAAAACTTGCATACTCTTTCGTTTCTCAGATGATGCCTTCGCATCAACATTTATATCAACCATAGGTAAGTAAATGGCGCAGTGCACTCTTCACTTACATGTGTTATGTATGTGTGCGTGTGTGTGTGTATGTGTGTATATACATCCTGCAGAGTTGCGTGGGCTCTATGTGGGTGAGTGAGTGCATATCAACCGAGAGGCGAAGTACGGTGTCTATGCATAGCTAATCGATTTTGTAGCACTGCATTTGTATAGCAAAACGAATGGGTTTCTAATTAAAATTAAAATGGCCAAACATTGAAATGATATCAATGTTGAAGCAGAACTCGGCCCGTCAAACCAGTTGATAATTAAAGGCAATAACAGTATATATTATAAATATCTAGACCCAACGAGTTTTTCAAACAGCTCGACAAAAGGTTGAAGTGCCTCTCAAGCCAAACTGAAAACACATATTAAATGGCATTGCGAAATGTCTCGAGAAACGTTTTCGAAAAATTACCAATAAGCTATGGGGAAGTTATTACCGGAAATATTTAGTAAATTTTTAAATATATTTGTATATGCTGTCGCACATAAGCGATGGCTCGGTTATCCAGAAAAAATCAGAAGATAAGCTGGAAAACACACATGCAGTCGTAAAACGATCAACCTGTTAAAAGAGGCTGCTGCTTTGGGTGTCCACTGTTTGGTTACATCACTGCATCGCTAGACGAAGATGCTCACAAAGCCGGTGCCGGCCCCAAACGACGTCACTTGCACTTAACACCAACAGCAAAAACAGCAAATGCAACTGCAACAAAAGGAAAAAAAGCAAACCAGTCGTGTGTTGGATCAGTTACAAGTTGTGGGAAGGAAGGAAGTGCGCGATCAAGTTGAATAATGACCATTGGAATGGGTGGGAAAACAGTAAAACAACAACAACGACACTTTCCGCTGTTGACAATTGCTGGCTGCCATCGATAACATTGGCAGTATCAATAACGAATTCGATAACGACGATAACAAACAAGTTCAGCAAACTGATAAGCAGCTTATATTGCCCATACCGATATAATCGATAACGATAACGATCCTCACTTGCTTACGTTTTGAATTACAGGTCACGGCTTAGCCGTCGGCACACCCGAGTGCCCCGAGAAATATGGCGAACAGGCCTATGCGCATACCGAGAACTGCGATCAGTTCTTCCTCTGCACCAACGGCACTCTGACCCTGGAGACCTGTTGGAATGGTCTGCTGTTCGATGGCAAGGGCGCCGTTCACAATCACTGCAACTACAATTGGGCCGTCGACTGCAAGGGACGCCACTGGGATCGTAAGTAATCCCAAAAAAAAAGAAGAAAAATACTCAAATGATTCACTTTCAATTCTCCGTTGCGATTGTAGCCACGCCTATTTCAACACCCGGCTGCGAGTATCAGTTTGGGCTGTATGCGGTGTCCAAGGATTGCTCGACCACGTACATCAAGTGCGCCCATGGCGAGCCCCACGAGCAGGACTGCCCGATCAGCTCCTTGATCACTGCAATCCCGAGGGTGAGCCTAATCTTTTCTGTTCATTTTTATCTTAATTTAAATTTGAAAAAAATGGAATTGAATGCATTTTAAAAATTTGAATCAACTCTTAAAAACTCAAACTCAAACAAAACAAACTAGTAAATTTTAAATAGAAATTTTTAAAAATTATAATTGAAACTTGGTATTTTAGAAAATGCAATCAATTAAAAAAAAAACATATTCAAAACAAATAAATAAATATTGTCAATTTTAAGTAGACATTTTTAAAATTTGAATTGCATTTGGTTTAAGTGCATTTTAGCAAATTCCATCAATTCTTTTTTTAAATAATAAATAGTCAAAATTTGATATTTATTTGAACATTTTGCAGCTGTTGTTGGCTTCAAGTGCCCAAAGAAGGTGGATCCCAATTCGGTTGCCGCACGCTTTTGGCCGTTCCCCCGCTTCCCGGTGTCGGGTGACTGCCATCGCCTGATCACCTGCGTCGAGGGCTATCCGCGCCTCATCAGCTGCGGCGATGATAAGGTCTTCGATGAGCACACGCTGACATGCGAGGAGCCCGAATATGCCAGTGGCGGTTGTGCCAGCTATGGCAAATAGTGTGAACCACACACACACACTCACACACACATGCAACACACACACACAAGTGTACATATGTACATATATATGTAAAGAGCTGCGCTCAAAGCTCACTTCAGCTCTCTCTGTCTCGCTCGCTCGCTCTCTTGTTTTCTTTTCTTCCGTTACTTTGACACGCTCTTCCTCTCTCTCTCTCTCACTCACTGCCCATCCCAGTCGCACTCGCACTCGCACTCGTTCCCGTTTCCTAGCATTAAATATTGCAATAATTATTGATAATTTTCCCTTCTTTTTTAACAATCATTTGTAAAGTTTTTTTTTGTTATTTTCAAAAAATGAGCACAAAATGCAATAAACCTTAAATTTATTTATTGTAATATTTTTGAAAAGTGAAAATTCAGTGTTTTATTTTTATTTTTGTTGTTGTATTATGAAAGGATCTATTTCAAATGTACAAAAATTATATAAAAATATATATAGAATTACGATCGATATAGATATAGATGTATGTGTGTGTACACTGAGAGAAAACGCCATTTCTTAGCACAGAAAACAACAGCATTGATTAATGACTCAAAACTGAGAAAAGTAGTTATTTATTTATTGTAGAAGTATTTATTGTATGAGTAGAAGCGAGCTGTGGAAGTAAGATACAAAATAATGGGGATTTGTATCGCTGCAAGTGGCCAGGGGAGGGGGGCTTGCTTCACTGTACATTGATACATTGGAAGAAATTAGTCTATCACATCGAATATGCCGAACAAGACACGCCACCACGTCCACATCCATTTCGACATTAGTCGATCAAATGGCGTATGTGATCCTGCGGCGTGGAGAATATGATCGCATGGATGAGGCCATCGCGCACCGATTCCGTCGGATTACCCACATTGAACATGAATTTGACACGCTGCCAAATGGTGTCCGGCAAACAGGAGTACATCGGATACCAGCCCATCTTGTTGAATTGCAAATATATCTTGTAGATCTGATTGCGATAGATGTAAACGGGCTGATCGAACATAATGTCCAGATGTGAATCGTATCGCACCCGTTCCGTACAGTGCGTATACGTAATCCTCGAGCCGTTCATATCCTGAATGTGCGCATAGAGCTCCTCGGTGTATCGCTTAGCAAAATTTGCCGAAGTCGTCAGTTCGCCGCAGAGCACCTGCGTCGGCACCTGTACGCCCAGTATAAAAATATTGGTATCCACCTTGAAATGAAAATTCGATTTTAACAAATGATTACTGCACATGGAGAACATTATTTCTAGCGAGGATTGCTTACCTGAAAGGTGAGCACAGAGTCTGTACTACTGATGTTTTTATAGTCAAATTGACGTGACACCGAGCACATACAATAGGATTGGGTCATGTCGTGATGCGAGCTGCTCTCCACGCTGACATCACTGTTCTCATTGCCGGGCGGAGCAGCTGCTTGAGATGGTGCTTGAGCTGGTGCTCCCTCGAACGCATCACCGAATGCGGCAGCGGCGGCGGCACCGTTGGCATTATTTGATAGCGTGAGCTCATCGCCAAACCCAAAGCTGGCGTTCATCGACATATGATCCATGTGCGAGGCGTTTAAATTTAGGGGCACACTGACCCGCCGGCTTAACACCGGCTGATAGATGCTGCGTCCCGTTGTGCCCGGCAAGCAACCAGATATGGATGTGGCATTGTTGCCACCACTGCCACCGATATCGCCACCGTAACCACCGCTGCCACTGCTAATGGAGGAGCTCAGCTCGCGTTGACGATGCGAAGATTCATAGAAATTGCGTGTGCTGCGCGAGACACAGAAACCCTCGGGCATATCATTTAGCGTGGGACTCAAGATTTTGATGAGTATGGCGAGTGCTTCGTGCTGCTGCAGCAGCTTGGACCGTGCCGGACCCTCAGCGAACTGTTGCGGCGTCATCGTGAGGAAGCGTATCTTCTTTACCGCCTGCCGCAACATGGCCCCATCCATTATTGTGCGCTGGGCATCCATCATATTGATCATGTTGGCTGCCGCCTCGGCGGCGTTCATTTCATCATTTGCATTGCCGGAGGCATCACTGTCAATGATAACATCATCATCTTGCCCAGTCGACGCACTCAAATTGGCATTCGAATTCGAAGTGGAGGCGGACGCGGATGCGACAGTGATGGGTGAACTGCAAGCGGATCTGCTGCCAGCGATCTGCTTAAAATTATCGACATCCTCATCCTGATGCAGATGACGCACCATTGCGGCCACATCGGGCTCCATTTTGATCTCCTCGACAACGACATCGTTGGCAATGTGGCTGCTGTTGTTGTCAGCCGCATCTTGTCGCTCCACGGAACTGGATGATTTTCTGGCCACCTCATCGTTGGCATTCTCATTGAGAATGCCACGTTCGCTGGCGAATTTGAGCAGGCAATTGAATAGATCCAGCTCGGAGTCAATGTTGAGCCGGTGCTGATCAAATATGGCCATCAAAGTGGACACTTCAATGTCCAGGAAACTGGGATCGGAGAGCACTTCACGAGTATTGGCCGCAATCAGATCCATGCTGCTCTGCATGAGACGCGGCTCATCGAACAGTTTGGCGAACTCGTAGGCGCGACAGGCGTTTTTCGGACTCAGGACCGTCCATAGAAAATGAGTGCAGCGTGTCACCACATGTGGCAACATATACTTTTTGGCCACATAGCACAGTTTGCAGGCCTTGTCAAACGAACCGATTGTTATGCGATCCGTGTATATGTACTCCAGCATCGCCTCGAACGCCTCCGGCTGCACATCGGGTATGATGATCGGATCAGTCTTGTCCGGCAAATTGCCAAAGAACATCCGTTCGAAGACGGGCGACGCCATCGCCAGGAGCAGTTTGTGGCCAACGATTAAGCGTTGATTCGGCGGCGAGCCCACCACAAAGCGACAATCGGCCCATTTCTCCGAATGTAGCAGATACTGGCCACGGTCCTTGATCTCTGTCAGACTGTTTTGCCAGTCCAGGTCCATAATGGTCGAGTATTTATTTATTGTGTATCTTTGCTTATATGTATGTCGCGGCTTCAGTGTTGAATAAGCAACGACATACATCGGCAAAAATATCGCTAAGAATACGAACAAAACTTTCTCTAGTTTTTCGATAAATGCTTTCTGTTGTAACTCAAGACACAACCCGTTAGCCAAAATTATGGGAGACATGTAATCGAATGCAGAGTTGCATTTTGCAATATGCGCGATAAGTGAAATATCGTTTTGAATACAGCGAATGGGTCTATAAAATAGCTAACGCAAAAAGCAGCCAAATAAACTGTTTTGGTATTTTCGCCGTTTGCGGTCACACTGGATTCAACAGCAACAATTGCATTGCGTAGAAAAATAAAGTGCTAAGGCATTCAAAAAAGTTCTGCAGCAAACAACATTATTGAACAGCATTAACTAGCGCGCTAATATTAACAAAATAAGCATTCGCATAACAAAAGCAAATTAGTCCTACAATTCACCTGTGTCACCTGTGCGTTTTTTTGCTTTGTTCTGTAGAGCCTGCGAGTGTGTGTGTGTGCGTTGCGTGTGTGTGTGTGTGTTGGTCACTGTGAGTGCGTGTGCGTTTGTGCGCGTGCCGTAACGTGAAATGGCAAAGAAAACGTACGATTTGCTTTTTAAACTGCTGCTCATAGGCGATTCGGGAGTTGGAAAAACTTGCATACTCTTTCGTTTCTCAGATGATGCCTTCACATCAACATTTATATCAACCATAGGTAAGTAAATGGCGCAGTGCACTCTTCACTTACATGTGCATGTGTGAATGCGTGTGTGTGTGTGTATATATGCATGTACATCCCTGCAGAGTTGCGTGCGCTCAATGTGGGTGAGTGAGTGTTGGTAAGCGGCAGTTGTCAGTTGTTGGCGGCGCCCAATAACAACAAGGATACCCTGACTTGAATCTGCATTTTGGGCGTGGCATTGTATTAAAAGCAGCATCACCCCCAGCCTTCCTCACCAATGCATATGTGAATGCATGTATGTATGTATGTGTGTGTGTACAAAGACCTTTAAATGGTTTATTGCGCCGGAGCCGATAGCCTTTGGACTTGAGAAGCCCGCATTAGTCGAACTCAATTTATAAGTTGTTGTTGCTGTTGCTGGTTAACCACTGCAAGCGAGCTAGTTATCTGGTAAACTAGATTAATTGTTGTGACGCATATACAATAATAAGTATGTACACACACACACACACACATGCGCACATACATACACACATGTACATGCAACAGTGTGCGTGTTATGATTCACTTGACTAATAAATTCCTTCAACTTAATAAGTTATCGTTATCAAATATGTATGTTCATCGTACGATAAACACACTGCGCATCTGTGACGTCATTACTTCATATTTAACTAAAGTTTAGCCAATTATAACGACCTGTTGTTATTGTAATTTACCTTGGAGTTTGTAGCTGAATAAATCGATCGCAAATTTCTATTGCAAAAGCGATAAATATTTATGTATTTGTGACGTCATTGCTGAAATAATAAACTATTAATCAACATATTTGTTATTATTGTTGTTTACCTTGCAGGCATCGATTTCAAAATCAAAACAGTCGAACTGAGGGGCAAAAAAATCAAATTGCAAATATGGGATACGGCCGGCCAGGAGAGATTTCACACAATTACCACCTCCTATTACCGTGGAGCGATGGGCATAATGCTTGTCTATGACATAACGAACGAGAAGAGTTTCGAGAACATAGTCAAATGGCTGCGAAATATAGACGAGGTATAGACGTTGCAACAAGCAGTCTCTTAAAATATTATACATTTTGCTCAATTTCTCTCTCTTTTTTGCTTTGTGCAGCATGCAAATGAGGATGTGGAGAAGATGATATTGGGCAATAAGTGCGATATGACGGACAAGCGAGTGGTCAACAAAGAGCGCGGCGAGGCGGTAAGAAGAATGCATAATGAAACGCACGCATAAACAATTTAATCAACAACTAAAGATGGGCGCATTTGTGTTGAATCATGACTGTTCGTTCGTGTCACGAAAGAAAGCACGACTGCTCCCATCAACAATCTGCTCACACTCACTATCGCTTTCGCTCTCTCTCTCTCTCTCTCTCTCTCTCTATGTTACTCACTGTGCCTTTTTCTTTGTCTAATTGAAAACAGATTGCTCGGGAGCATAGTATACGATTTATGGAAACATCCGCCAAATCAAATATAAACATTGAGCGCGCTTTCTGTGAACTTGCCGAGGCCATATTAGATAAAACAGCTGGACGCGAATCGGCCGAGAATCCCGAACGAGTGGTCATCGATCGCGGCAATAGCGACAAGGCGCCCGGCTACAACAAATGTTGTGCGTAATGTGTGGTGGGGGGGAGGGGTGGCTATGACACTGTTAGTTTAACGTTCAAACACACGGTTGCTTTTGTGATCTACACATACATACACACACATACACATACCCATAAATACAAACAATTGCTAGCAATATGAAAAGAGCACACACAATTTCAAGTCAAATGTCTTCTAATTAAATACAAACATTTCATTTGAATTTTTAGCGTGTGTTTGTGTGTGTGTGTGTGTTTTGTTTTTTGTTTGACAAACTGTACATGCAAATGTTGAACACACACATAAGCATTATATATAGCAAACTTGAAAAGCAGTGTTTTTTCGATGTGTGTGTGTATTCCTTTTGTAACTTTTTATATAGATCGTTGTATAATATTACTTAATGAAATGAACAAAAACAAAACAAAAAAAAATCGAACAATACCAAAATGCGTTTTCTACTACTACTACTCGGCGGCAATCCTGCAAGCAACGCATTGTACTACATGTTGTCTCGCTCTAACCAATTGCATTTCCAATGTGGACAACACGATGGGAAACTAACAAGTGTCATAACCCCATCCAAGGCGGAATGACAGTGTTTAACTGTAATATTGTATTACAAAACAAAAAGCAATTAACTTAGCCACACACACAGACAGACAGTGGAAAGAACCAAGAATGATGAACCTACCCAATGTTTAATATATATATTGTAAAATGTAATTTCGAGTAAATTTACAACATACACACACACACACACACATACATGCACACAGGAATACAACATGTGAACAAGCAAACAGTGTTCGTTAGTTGACGCACAACGAACGGATTGAAACAGCAAAGAACCAAGTGAAATCGAAAAACAGCAATAGTTGTAAAATGACAACAACAAATAAATTAAACTGCATTTTGCATGCCACGCATTTATTTGTGGCATGCGACCCTAGTTAGCTAACGTGAAACAGACCGATCGGAAACGAACGCATCAGACGCACATGTGACTTACTCTCTCCCTCTCTTTCTCTGTCTCTCTGTATACACACACAAACACACACTGAAATGCATGTGAGAGTGTGTGTGTGTTTTTTTTTTTTTGTAGACTAACAGTTTTTCTAAAAGCTTAAAGGGAACCACTTTTGGATACATACACAAGGAGACACACACACACAGAAACAACTACAAACATACATACATACATGCACACATACATACATATGTGTAACGCTAGCATATATATAAGTATATATATATATATATATATACATATTTCATCGTCTGCCTACCTGCTTTGCGGTTTTACCGTTAGTTAGCTTAGCTTCAACTTGCTTTTTGTTCTGTTATTGTCAAAAAAAAAAAACAAAAAAAAGAAGGAATAAAACGTGAAAAATTGATCACTACTCGAAGTGAGATTAGGAACGAGATACATATTGAAATATCGTATTGTATGTTTTTTAATGTAATTATGTTTCGTCAGCTGATTGCAACAAAAACAAAAAATACAACAAAAAACCGCTAAAAAAACAAAAAAATGGCAGTCGGGCCGTGTCTATGAGAACAAACCATGCCTCGGTAAATATACATATTTATATGTATATGTATAAACAGTGGTCGCTCCAGTTAGCCAATAACTATAATTTGTCTAAGTATTTTTTTTTGTTTCCCATTACACAAAAAAAAATAAAATGATTGTAATATACCAAATCCTATATTGAAGACTTGCAAACAAGAGATATGTAATTACAAAAAAAATGTTCACTAGGCAATAAAATTGATTGTAATTCCAGTAAGTTCGAACTTCCTAGCGACCACTGTACCTATTATATATATATATATAATAATAATAATAATAATTTTTTTTCGTAATACTTATTATTTGTAAATGTATATGGATTTAGCTTAGTTGTGCACACCAAATGATTTAATGATTAAATATAAAGAACAATTTAAAGCGTCATCTAATCCAATCATATTAAAAACAAAAAAAAACATAAATCAGAAATAAAAAACAAAAAACAAAAACAGCTATTTGTTGTGTGATTGAAAGAGACAGAGATAGAGAGAAAGAGGGAGATGGCAGATGGTAGATGTACTCTATTCGCTGCACTGCTGATGCACACAAATGCCCGCTATCCAAGTGGACACCAGCTGCAGCCTGTCATCGAGCAGTATAAAATCGGCATCCGAGCCAAAGTCCAAGGTGCCCTTCTCATGCTCAATGCCCAAACAGAGGGCGGGATGCAGGGTGGCCGCCTCAATTGCATACACCGTGGAGCAGTCTAAAAAAACGAAAGAGCAGAAAAACCATGCGAGTTTTTAGACTGTTACCCAGTGGGTGAGGGTGGGGGCATGGGATGGGGGGAAGACATACCCGTGGCACGCTTAAAGATGCGCACACACTCATCCATGGGCGCAATGCTGCCGCACAGTGTATCCGTATTGGCTATGAACGCCTTGCCCCCCTTCACCTCCAGCGGCAGCTGGCCAATATGATGGATGCCTTCCTTCAATCCTAGCGCCGAAATCGCATCCGTCACAAGAATCAGGCCCAGTGGATGGGTGCGATACGCTATACGCAATGCGGCCGGATGCGTGTGCACCCCATCAGAAATGATGCCATAATATATGGTCTTGCCAGCGGGTATCGCATCCGAGGCGAGCAGTCCCACCAGTCCCGGATCGCGATGATGGAACGGCAGCATCGCATTGAACAGATGCGTTATCAGTGTCGCCCCATGCTCCACGGCCCGTTCGCCATCGCCCAGGGTGGCCATGGAGTGGCCCAGGGCGACAGTGATGCCCGCATCGACCAGCTGATTGATGACGCTCGCATCCATCACCTGTTCCGGCGCCAGCGTTATGATCTTGATCCGATCCAATGAGCCGTATGTGGCACGCAACGTTTCCATGCCCTAATTACAAAATATATTGTTGAATATTTAATGGGGGGAAATCTCGATATACTTTAAAGGCTACCCCATCGATCGAGAAGAGATCGCTGTACTCACATTGTCAATCGTGTGTATACAGTTCTCGGGATGGGCGCCCTTTTTCCGCGGATTGATAAAGGGTCCCTCCGCGTGTACGCCCAAAATGCCAGCGCCGCCCTCAATGTGGTGTGGCATGCGTGGCAATATTGTGTGATAGGTGTCATTGGGTGACGTCACCAGGGTGGGACAGAACGAGGTGACACCGCATTTGACGAGACCAGTGGCAACCTTTTGGACGCCCGCCTCGATTGTCTCTGTATCGTGGGAGAAGTCAACGCCATAGCCACCTGTTGGCGAAACGTTGCAAACATTCGAATTATGTGAAGCGCTCTCATCGTTGAGTTACTGAACTACTCAATTGTATTCATTTGCCATTTATTGTTTATTTCTTTCTCTACTTCTCTCTAAATATTTCGCAGTGTTTACGATTACAAATTGGGTTTAGTGGGAGGCGGGCAGTGTCAAGTGTCTGATTAGATTAACAAGTAGGTTATTATGCTTACTTCACGATCCCACTACCAGCTGTCGCTAGTGAAGGAAAAATTGGCAACCTTGGCATAAGGATTGAAAGTGAAATTGACCTTGGCCCAGTTTGGCACAACAACAAAAACAACAACAACGACAACAGCGCACACATAATGTTTACCGTTAATTTGAAGATCGATGTAGCCGGGCGCAATGATGGCGCCGCCGCAGTCGATGCGACGATGCGCCTTGACGCGCTCATCGAAGAACACTGGCTCCGGATTAATGATCTTGCCATCGCGCACCCACAAATCATCGGGAACGATTCGATGATCACGCACCAGGCGACAATTGGTAAATTGTATTAGCTGCCTAACACTTTTCTGCGACATATTGTGAGCGAATAACAACAACAGCGATAAACAAATCCGAAAACAAAATAACAGAAAGCGAAAATAAAATATGGGTTAACAAAAACAATAGCGAACAAGTCGAACTTGAACAACGCCCGCTTTGCTGTTGGGAAACTGAATGGCGAATGTTTCCAATTGGCGAAGCTCCAGTCTAAATAAGCGGCGGTGCTGACGCTTGTCATTTATTAGGTATGCTGTTTACACAATAGGTGTGCAAAAAACGTAAGTAATCTGTGCTTTAATTGCTATAGGGCTTGCCATTAATCTGTACTTATTTAGTATTATGGCCTATGGTTTTGTGCACATACTAATAATAAGTTAATATTTAAATTATTATGCATCGCTATTTTATCAACATTTTGTTGATTCGTTTTATACGCACGGCAAACAGCTGTGAGCTGCGTACCGTAAACAAGCAACATATGTGATAGTATTACTATCGATAACCGTAACTGCCATTGTTACTGCAATGCTGTAACATGTCATAGCAACGAGAAAGTGACTGGCTGCAAATCGATAAGCGATAAGTCGAAATGCTACAATCGATATATCTTTATTTGAATTTGAATTTAAATTCACTTATTAAACTAATTCTAGGTACAAATTGGCTTATTAAAAAAGTTAAGACATTATTTGCATTTGATGCAATGCAAGCAGATAGCGGAAAAAATGCATAGAAAGTTCGCAAGAAAATGTTTGAATTTAACCATTTGCTTAAGAGGAAAAAATAAAATATTTAGCGTTGTAAGCAAATTACATTGCAATTCTTATCAATTATAAGGTGGTCGTTTCGGCGATAAGGCTGGTGGCTATTTGGTCGTCACCTAAATTGCAATGCAATTATTTTCAGCAGTGGCGTAGAGCAGCTAGCGATAAGCAATATACATATGTATATATATATAAGCACTTGATAAGTGAGTAATACGGTCACGGAACTCTGTGCTTATCTTTCTTACACGCTCCCATTCTTTCGTATAGTGCACATACCGATAGCGATAATCTTTGCGGTCCTCACTGAAGTTTGCGGCTTGCAGTGGCAATTTGCTAGGCACCACAGCCGCACATTGTTTGCTATCTCTTGCACTTGTTCGTATACTTTTGGTGGCCAACTTTGCTGTGAGCGAACAGACGGACGGACGGACGGACGGGTGGGCTATGATTCAGAAACTGTAAGGCGGTACAGTGGTCGCTCCTAACCCGCTTATGTCGGTTTCTGTTTCAAAATTAATTCAAATTTGAATAAGCTATAAGTATTCGAATTAGTCTCTCTTTATTTCAAAATTGATTATGAACGTTTTTTTTTTGTAATCTGAAAGTTTATCAAAACTCGAATTTCATTAACATTCTTACTTACTGAAAGTTCTACTGTATTTTTGCATAGGCACAGCAGCAACTGAAGGGGGGAGAGAATGAAGGGTTAGTTGTTAGCTTCTTTGGTTTTCCATTTTGGCATGCACTCATTTAGGTTATCTGCACTGGCACTTAATAAACTTAATGACTCTCGAAGCCGCATTTCGCAAATGCTGCTTGAAAATCGCCTAAAAGCTTTCAAGTTTTCGCCATCGTCTTCAAAATTTAAGCCAACTGATAAGTCCATTTCCGACCCGCAACCAACAAAAAAAAAAAAAACAAAATAAAAGAAAAGAAAGAAAAAAAACATCCAACATTCCATTTGCATTTGTGTTGAATTTTGTGAAGAGACAAAGCTACAGCAAAGTTTGAACGGTTAAAAGGACAAACGTTGTCATTGGCAACCCTTTGATGATGCTCGCCAACGGCAAATCTCGCAAATTATGAACAAAAAAAAACAAAAAACCCGAGCGCAAAAAAACAAAAGTGCTGAAAACAAGCAACTGCATTAAAGTTATAATTAGTTAAGTCGCACAAAAACCGAATGAAAATATAAAAAATAAATACTCACCACACACATACACACACACACACGCACACACACACAGCAGGAGTTCCACAGGGGTCGGTTGTAGGTCCACTGCTGTGGACGAGGTACTCAGGCTTCAGCTGCCTCAGGGTTGCAGCCTTATAGACTTTGCAGATGACCTGGCACTGGTCGTGGTGGCCAAGGAGCGTAAGGAGGTAGAGTCGACAGCGAATGCGGCAATAAAAATTGTGGCCCAATGGATGCAGGATGCGTGCTTGGAACTTACAGGCCATTAAAACGAGGCTGTTCTTATAACAAGCCGCAAAGTAATTGAGTACATACAGCTGCAAGTCAACAGCCACGTAGTCAAATCAAAGGAGTCAATAAAATACCTGGACGTCATGCTGGACAATAGGCTCAGCTTCCGGCCCCATATCGAGTATGTGAGCCAAAAAGCAGCTAAAATCCAGGGGTCTTCAGCGCGCGCATGTGGCTTAATATTGGGGCACAAAGCCAGGGAGGCGTCTACTGTTCGCGAGAGTGGCAGCCTCTATCCTGTTGTGCGCGGCACCAATTTGGGCAACGGCAGTGTCCAATTAAAAAACGACTACGAAAGAAGCTGTCGGCTGAGTGATTTCCGGAATTCGCACGGTCTCGGACGAAGCAGCCGTGGTCCTGACAGGAATGGTGCCAGTTGATCTGCGAGAGCAGCGTCGATGCAGCGTCGGCAGGGCATGGAAGATGGACACATCTGCTAACTCCCAACCCATCGCAATGGATTGACAGAAATGCAGGTGAGATACATTACCACATTTCATAATTTCTTACAGGACACGCTGAAGACAGGAGTTACTTGCACAGATTTTGGCACGGTGATCCCACAGAGACTGGATGGGGTGTGTTGAGGACGTTTGCACAGACGTTGTCATTTAAGCATTTGTGTTGTCGTCTGTCCTGCTCAATCCTTCCAGCTTACTAACTTTTTCTTTCTCAATATCAATAGGATAATCTGCAGCGTTATTTTCCACCTAGATACCATTAAAGTTAGTTCTTTTATTATTACTCTTATAGAGAATATTTTCAGTTTGTTTTCATGTGTGAAACTTGGAAGATATTCGACTTTTTGTTGCACCGCCACCAAGTACACCGGCCAGATTGGACCATTATATCGTACTGGAACAGTTCCTATTGGAATAATCGAAATAGCCATAGACACTTATATAACCTTTTCTGAAACAAAATAAAGAAAAAAATAAAAAAAATTATAAAAATATTTCTTATTTTTGAGTTAAATTTGCCACAGTCCTTTTGTTGTTTCTTTTTAGAAAAATGATCGGTCGGGAAAAGTTTTCGCATCCATAAAATTGTCAAATTGAAAACTTTATATACACATTCATCAGTCGCACTTGGTCATTGATTAAAAACCGATGTTTTCTTTTTCATTTTGGCAATCGCTGATTTAATCGTGTAACAGTTGCGCACAGGGTAGTTCTTAGTTGTGGCAACTTTGGACAGCAACATATTTACACGTTAGAGAATTCATTTGCACTGAGCATGTACTTGCATATTATTTATTTACGGCTTTTTCAGCATGACTAGAAACAGTGTGAAGCATGGGCCAGGGTCAGGGGCAGGGGCAGTGGCTGGGTCACAGAGAGCGGAGCTTTGGGTAACGGATTTTGGTTTGTCTGGTGCTTATGTGCGATCCCAACCGCCACATGTTGCACTGCAAAATGATTGCGGTGCTGCATTGCATTGCAACATGTTTTATTGCATTGCCTGCAGCAACAACGGTGGCAGCCACAACGACAACAACAACTTGCGGGCGGCCTCGGAATCAGCCTTGCCACCAGTCTCAAATACACTCAACAAATATTTTGTACATTCAAAAGTATTTGCCAACCAGTTAAAAATAAGAATAAATTAATTTCGATGGTTTCACAATTGGAAATGCAGAAATTGTAGAATATTAAATTCCATCTGAATATTTTGAGTAATGATTTATAATAAGTTGAAAAGTATTTACATCAAATTGAATTTCCTTAAATCATTGCATCTCCACACGTATTTCTCTTGCCCTTTAATAATTACAATAGTAAATAGAATATTAAACATCGACAATTTTTATCTTTGCTTTTTGCCTTCCTTACATTTTTCTGTGTGTATTGCATTTTTTGCTTACTGTGTGAGAGTTGTGTGAATTTTGTGCCGTGTTATGTGGCTTGTTGGGCAATGCCGCTACATTTTATTATGGCTAAGCACGCATTCATTATGCTCCAGAGTGTGCTGCTCATGCAGCATCAGCCAGAAGTTGGGGGTGTTGTGGCTGGGTGGTATTGGTGGTATGGGTGGTATGGGTGCTGGTGGAGTTTGGCCAAGTTTTAGCAAGCTAGAAGACAAATGAGAGCCAAGATGAAAATCCCAGCCCCTAGACATGCCTTGACTACGTGGCTCATTTGGCGCTCGACTAATCGCAAATAACGCACATCGATTAAGGCCACATCAAATGAGTTGTCTTAAATGGTAAGAACCAAGAAATACAACCAGCAACTACTCGAGCGCAACAGAGAGAGAGAGAGAGAGAGAGAAAGAAATGGCAATAGAGAATCAAAGCAACAAAGAAACAATTAGCACCGGTCAGGACATAATTGGCGTGCAGTTAGGTCTCTGATTAAAGAAGCAATCATAAAATTAAGTCCCATAATCCTCTGCAATTTGAACACATGCATGACAACTCTGACGACGACGTGGCCCGATGGGGATGCTGAGAGAATTGGAGCTGATGCTTGGGAGGATGGGCTTGTGATGGGGAGTTTTGGTGGTCAGGCAGTTAAAAGGGGGGGGGGGGGGGGGAGGGGATGTGGCTAACTGAAAGCAACTGAAACAAAACAGAAGCTGAAGCTGAAGCTCTTGCAGCTAATACGAGTAATAACCAACAACAATAGGTGAGAATGTAGACGAAAGTGTTTGATTGCAGGAATAGCCTGTATGCAGTTGTGCAAGACTAAGAAATTCTCATATTGTACTTTGATATACATATATATTTGATATATATATATATATATTTTCTTGTGCATTTCTTACTAATATAATAATACATTTGAACTATTCAATTGAGTGGATAAACTTACACGTGAATGTACCCATATAAAGAAGAAACGAATTTGGGTTCCAATTCCGTTTCTGGTACGAAAAGTATAAAAATATTGGTAGTGATATTTTCAAACTTGGTTAACTATTGTTACCT